TAAGACCTCCATTCGCGGCAATCTAAAACAAACTCTCTTTCGGCGGACTTTTTATATAGTTACTATTCATTTATTTATTTATTTTGCCAATTTTTTTTATGAATCTAAACTCAATTTACCAGCCCAAGATGCAATATCTGTTTTCGAATGCCGCTACTCACCATTTTATGAAGATATTGTTGGCAACATTCTGGAGCAGATATTGCGTCCATTGGCTTAAAGAGCGAGTTTGTGGATTGTTTTCTTTTGTGTTCTCTGTTTTCTTCTAGCCTTTCAGGAGCCAAGATAGGGTCCATGAGGTGGGCAGGCGGTAGGAGTACCTCCATCATCGGCAAGCTAAGCATCCTACTATGTCAACAGTGTTATTTAGCAAGACCAGACCTTGGTGGACTACATCAACTTTATAACAATGCTATTGTCATTTTGTGGAAAATGATTAATTAGCTGCATTTCATCTTTTACTTTTTGGAAACTAGAGCTCTTGCAGTTCTATGACCATTTTTTTTTTTTTTTTTTCCCTTTCATCTTTAAAAAAAAGGTTTAGTTTCTATAAAATGATATTCATATATAATCCATGAAGCCTTGTTTTGTAAATAGAAATTACAAAAGAATGAATAAGAAAAAAATAAATTTCTTTGGATTCCTAAACTTAGTGTTCTGTAATGCAAGTGTTTACAGGAAAAAGGAATGGCTATAAGAGTAGCATTTTTTGGCAACTTGAGACATTCCATGTAATATCCAATCATGCAGTTTACTTGCAAGAAAAAGTCTGGATGTTTGGTATGAAACTATTAATGGCAACATTTCTAAACCCTAGCCAGCAATTGCATGACTTTCAGGGCATGGCGTCGAGATTCCCAAAGTTTTGAGAGGTCTTAAGCCGCCGCCTGAGCTGTCAATACCCAGGGCCAACCCTATTCTGTTTATGTTTTATATTGATGAATGTCGATCTGAAAATTTTGTAGAGCTCAATATCGAAGTTTTTAGCCACTGGATGGGACGGTTCATATTTAGATATCCATCAACATGACAACATCATGGTGTCAAAAAAATAAAAATAAAAATATCAATTTGTATAGAAAGTTGAAGTTAAAGCAAAATGGTCAAAAGAACTGAAATATATATCACAGAATATTGAGGTAAAATAGCTTCAAAATGCACCCCAAGTATAAACCTGTTAATCATCAATTAGGTTATCTTTGGTAGATATTGAATTAGAGCTTTGGATTTGAATTAACATTGGTAGAATTGAAAAAATAAAAAATAAAAAATAAAAAAAAACAGCTAAAAAATTTGAACTAAAATTTTCCCTAATTTCACAGATTTTAATTCCATGTCGCCAAATACAGCCTTAATGTTTCACAATTAGATGTTTGGCATACATCAAATTAGAGATTTGGAATTGAAAAAAAACAACTCAGAAAATTAAATTAAATTTTTTTCTAATTTTATCAATTTTAATTTCAAAACTCCAATTCTATGTCGCCAAACACTACCAAGATAATTTAAAAACATTGCTTATCCACATACTCAGCAAAGTGGACTGTCCCATCATTAGTTACAGCTAGGGCATATCTTAGAGTGTCACCATGGCCAAGCCAAGCTCTGTAGCAACACTGTAAAACTAAGCCCTGCAGCAACCTGAAACTTTATGAGTAGTCAAAACCTAATTCAGGATTATGTCAACGTCCACGAGCGTGACTTTTAAAGAATTATTTATATATCGATTCTGATGTTCGATACTTAATGAGTACCAAAACCCAATTCTTTTTAAAATAGAATGCCTATTATTTTACTTATTTTTTCCCCTCATTTTAAATATTTTAATAAAGTGTCTTTGGATTATGTTCTTACATATTTTTTCCTCTCATTTTAAATATTTTAATAAAGTGTCTTTGGATTATGTTCTTTTAATTTTTGTTGAATGATTATGTTTTTTTTATACTAATTTATATATAGATAATGATAGGAAATCAGACAGTGAGACAAATTCGACTAATATTATGTGACATAAATTGAAGTACATGTAACACTTAACCAATATTTCCAATTTATTCCTATCCCAATTATCAACCCCTAGTCTTATACCATAGAGCATCAACCCATATTTGACCACTATTTCTAATAAATGGTAAAATATTATCGATTAATATAATTTTAATTTCCCAATTACTTAGTAAGTGCAATGGAAATATGAATGCAGAGTGTACACGTGACTAAGATAATAAAGGAGGATATCATATTTAGTGGTATTAATGCCAGGAGAAGGAATTTCTATGACTAAAACAAGTTAATTAAATTAAAGTATTTGTCATGCATAGAACAAAATAATAAAGTGATTTAATTAACTTGACCTCATCCGGTTCAATACTGAAAAATAGGTGGGTAGGGCTTGGACTTACTAGGACAACCCAGGCTGGCATACAGTCTTAGAAACATTGACATGGAGTTTGAAAGTTAAGAAGCAAAGTCACAGGGACATATCCTATTTTGTGCCTTTTTTATTTTTATTTTTTTCAGGGCTCTCATTTTTATATACTATAAAACTTATACTATATAGAATATATTATATATACAGTTTATATTATACTTAAAATACATATATTATATATAGTACAGGTTATATACTTTAAACAGTTTTATGCTAATATGGTAGCCATGAGGCAATCTATAGGCCTGCTCATTTAAATTTGCCAACGGTAAGAAATTTGTAATTCAGCAGCGTCTTGTTTTTTCTTTTTCTTTCAAGCTGGATCAAATAAAGCCCAAATAAAGTATTTACAAGGCTCGCAGGAATACCCTCTGCGTTATTAAAAAGCAATTCATTCCTCTGCGTTATTAAAAAGCAATTCATTCCAAATCCAAATCCAATATCCAGGTTATGTTTATTTCTAATAATACCCTCCTTGGTTATTATATAAATCAATCCCTAGTACTTTCCTAAATCCAAAACTCCAATTAGCCTCCAGCAGCCGTCTCTCTCTCTCTCTCTCTCTCCTCTCTCTTCTCTCTCTCCCAAGTTCCCAACAACCAACTTCTCTCTAGCTCCGTCTTGTTATATTACGAGCATGCATGGTACGTCTTAATTGCTTAATCAAATTTTGCGTTTCTTTTGTTTTTCTTGATCATCAAGCTCTCTTTGAGAGCTCGGAACCCATCCAGAGTAAGTTTGCATGGGTTGTCTCTTATTACCTTTTCCTTTCAATCTTTGATTTGTGTGCCATATTTAATTTCTTTTCTTGTTTCTTGATGTATATATATGTTGTTTCTATAATCACATCTTTCTCTTTTAATTTCTATATTATCAATTGATTTTTTTTCCCCTCTGTTTTCCGTAGATGTTATTGTTCCACTTCTTGTTTATATATATGTCATTAGCTTAATCAAATATTCGATCATGTTTTATATACCATATTTATACGTATGCATCTATGTATTAATCGAATCCAAACACCCTGCTTGAAAAAAATATCAAGATTGTACAAGATTAATTATTTTGTTTCTGTTTTATATTGATGGACCAAGGTCTGAAAATTTTGTAGAGGAACGATATTTGCATTCCAAGTTATATATGTTTCATGCTTTCAAGAATGTTGAAAAGTAGATTCTTAGTCATATTAGTTGTATAGGTGAATAATTTATGTTTACATTAACGTGCAATGTAGTGCAGATTTAATTTCTTTCACATTATTAAGGTTTCAACTTACTCTCTTTAATTATTATTTGTTTTTTATTTATTTTGGATCTTAATTAGTTGGATTTGCTTTATTTTCTTAATTTGGAAGGTATGAATATAAGTTTTCTCTTTTTCAAATGTGCAACATAGAAAAGATTTCCGCATACTCTCTTTAATTACTATTTAATTTTTAATTTTTTTATGAATCTAAACTCACTTTGACATAGTAGGACACTCTTTCTCTCTTTGAATGCCGCCATTCACTATCTTATGAGGATATTGTTGACAACATTCAAAGGGAGAGAAGAAGTGTCAATCGGGTTAAAGCAGTTTAGATTCTTTTCTTCTCTTGTGTTTTAAGTTTTCTTCAAATATTTCAGGTGACAAGTTAAGCTCCATGTGTTGAGACGGATGGGCCATAGGAGTATCTCCATTCGCGGCAATCTAAACATACTCTTATTCGGCGCATATAGTTACTATTTATTTATTTATTTTGTCAAAATTTTTTATGGATCTAAACTCAATTTACCAGCCTAACAAGCAATATCTATTTCCGAATGCCGCCACTCACTATCTTATGAAGATATTGTTGGCAACATTCTGGAGCAGATATTGCCTCCATTGGCTTAAAGAGCGAGTTTGGATTGTTTTCTTTCTCTGTTTTCTTCTAACCTTTCAGGAGCCAAGATGGTAGGAGTACCTCCATTATCGGCAAGCTAAGCATCCCACTATGTCAACAATGTTATTTAGCAAGACCAGACCTTGGTGGACTACATCAACTTTATAAAAATGCAATTAACATTTTGTGGAAAATGATTAATTAGCTGCATTTCATCTTTTACTTTTTGGAAACTAGAGCTCTTGCAGTTCTATCACCATTTTTTTTTTTTCCTTTCATCTTTAAAAAAAAGTTTAGTTTCTATAAAATGATATCCATATATAATCCACGAAGCCTTGTTTTGTAAATAGAAATTACAAAAGAATGAATAAGAAAAAAATTAATTTCTTTGGATTCCTAAACTCAGAGTTCTGTAATGCAAGTGTTCACAGGAAAAAGGAATGGCTATAAGAGTAGCATTTTTTGGCAACTTGAGACATTCCATGTAATATCCAATCATGCAGTTAACTTGCAAGAGAAAGTCTGGATATGTTCGGTATGGAACCATTAATGGCAACATTTCTAAACCCTAGCCAGCAATTGCATGACTTTCAGGGCATGGCTTCGAGATTCCCAAAGTTTTGAGAGGCCTTAAGCCGCCACCTGGGCCGTCAATGCCCAGGGCCAACCCTATTCTGTTTATGTTTTATATTGATGAATGTCGATCTGAAATTTTGTAGAGCTCAATATCAAAGTTTTTAGCCACTAGATGGGATGGTTCATATTTAGATATCCATCAACATGACAACATCATGGTGTCAAAAAAATAAAAATAAAAATATCAATCTGTATAGAAAGTTGAAGTTAAAGCAAAATGGTCAAAAGAACTGAAATCTATATCACAGAATATTCCCATTCATATAAGGTTACACTTACACATGTTAGTGCACTGAAAATAGGGATACAATCAAATTTCTTACCGTAATCCATGGCACAAGTTTCAGAACAGAGAACTTCACTATTTCATGACAAAATGCTCAATGCACACGAATGAATTCAGATAACTAGCTACAGCTATAAAATGATCACTCGAGCCTTCTCCTTTTGAAAGACGCAGCTTCTCTTTGCAGTTTGCTCAACCTCCTTATTTGAACCTGTCTGGAGTTTTTTAGTCCTCCAACAGACCCTTCTGTAGACTTCAACCTTGCACGGTGGTGGCGGTGGCGGTGGCGGTGGCGATGATGACGACGACTTTGATGTCCGCGTCCATCTTTAGATCCTTGCCTTAAAGGGTAGAGAGAGCTCCGCGTCCTATCATTTCTTCTCTCTTTAACCAACTTCCGTTTTCTAATGACACTTGAACTCCGATCAACATCTAACAACTCACTTTCATCACTTGAACTATGCCCTAATTCAATATCTTGAAAAAGGCGCCTGCGTTGTCGTTGGCGCCGGCGATTTACCCTCTTGACATTCTTTAGCTTGTACCACAGGAAACAAGTGATATCTTCCAATGCCGTCCAGTATACTTTGCAAGAAGCCCAACACATCTTAAAAAGGCTTTTTCCTATGCATTGGCATATCCCCAACTCGAACATAAGATAGAAGAACATTAAAACTGGACATGTAGAAGAAATAAGAAATAAGAAATCAGTCATTAATAAACTAAATTTTATTACTTTATAGCAACAATCTTGCACAACATCTAACCTAATTTGATTTTATTGAAAACTAGTAGCTCTTGGTTGCAATGTACAGTTTCAACCAATTCAAAAACTATTAAGAAAGAAGAGAATTACTTATGCAGCAAAGTCCGAAAACCATCAATAGTTTCACCAGATCTCCAATACATATATGCTCGATAAAACAAGTTACATCCCATGTTCCTGAACAGATGTCCCTGCAGAATCATCCACGCCGTAGACATTTCCAAACCTTGGTCAGTACTCGGTCGTCGATCAGAGTAATCAAATTTATGACAGCACCAGAAAAGCAAGGTTCTAGTACTAGATGCCTACGCATTTTAAGAACTAGAGCAACAAAATCAGGGCGACTTGTGAGAATTAAGAATACCTAATTATAAGATAAGAGGCTAGGCATCAATTTCAACTACAACAATTTAAATCTTGTTCCAGACAGTTCTTTTTACTAAAATTGGAAAACTATCGTAAACAAGCATATAAATGGTTGCAGACTTGCAGGAGTATATTGTAGACAACATCCTACTCAATCAGACACGTTTTGACACCGAAATTTGCCAACCACAAAATTCGTATCTCACAAAATGGAAGTGCTACAGTTATCATCAATCCTCGATCACAATCTACTGCATCCGAATTCTAGTTAAGAAAATGCTTTGACATAAGATCCGATCCTAAAGATAAAGAAAGACTATCCAGAACCCGCAATCCCCAATGCTAGAGTAAGATGAAATCGGTCTTTCACCAAAATTGACACTGTTAAAATACTTGTGTAAGTCTCAACATTTTGACATTTAATGGAACAAATAACATTACTGACTAGAAATGGCCATGAATGACTAGGAATGCCTAAGAGGGAAGACGTCTTGAACCAGGTTACTAGATACACTCGACCGGGAAGTAAAAAAGTTTACAAAGATGTCAGTTCATCTCTTTCAATCCCATTTCCCGCTTCGTTCATCTTTTTTGAATAATTACAATAAATATCTTAAATTGTAACTATAAAGCATTGACAAAGGCATGCAAGAATGTCCTAACTCCAACATTTGTTCCTCTGCGTAATTGAAAAATATTGCTAGTTTGGAGATTTTGTCATTCATAATGTCTGACCAGAAGTGATCATATTTCAAAGTACTCAGATTTATTTTTCCATTATACACAGGATCAAATACTGCAGCCAACAAGCGTAACCAACCATGAATGATATGCATCAAGCTAATGGAAATGTAAACATAAATAAAAATATAAATAGAAAAACATGAATTACACCCTCGCTACTGTGCAAGTTCAATCAATTAATTAAACATAAAAATGGTGCATTAAGATCAGTTAAGAAAAGCCATGGCATGACATGAAAAAGTGTGAATACATATATAATGAAAGAAAAAGGATAAGATTGTTATTACTCGCAAGATCTGCCAAAAATGGTTTTAAATGGAGCTACAAAGGCATTCCCAAGAAGCCCTCCAATGCCGTTGGCAGCTTTACTCACGACAGTCCCCATTACCGAACAACTCCACGAATATTACATTCCATCCAAGAAGTCACAAACAACGATCAATGGCACCAACTCCAGCCCGATTGCACTGTGATCAAGGGATAAGAATTAGGGTTTTTTTTTTTTTTTTTTTTTCATACTTGATATAAATATTATTGATTTTTGAGTAGATAAAGTCAAATTTCCCTTGTGTCATTGGATTTCCACATAATAAAGATGAATGAACAAGTAATCAATCGATTGATCTTCTAATTTATCAATCCTGTATATATATATATATATATATATATATATATATATATATTATGCATATCGAATTCAGCCTATACATATGTTGAGGCATAAATAGAGAGAGAAGTCAAAACAATTGAAGAAATCATGCATAAAGAATCAAAAATAGGAAATGAAGATGGAATTAATTGTTGAATCCTGACCTATAACAAAAGGCTGCAATTATTGACGAAGACAAGAATAGTAAAACTAGGGCTTTTTTCGAATTTATTTTTCTGTCATGAGAGAGAAAGATGAGAAACGGTTTAAACGGTTGGGTCATTTTAAAATACTGTACTCCAGTATGGTGAATTGTATACTACTAAGGCGAAAGGGTATATCCTGATCGTCCGAATTGTGGCACCACCTATCACGGTTTTGATCTGACGGTGCGTCGAACCTTCCTGGCAAGTCATCTGATTCTGATCTAATAGCTTTATAAATGGGCTTTTTGTAAAACCCAAAAAAATAATCAGCCGGCCCAAATAATATACCAGAAGCATTGCGAAGGGAAATTACTACTTCTTTTGTTTCTTTTTCAAATGAATTTTAGTTCCTATCTGTTTTATTAAAATTATTATTTTTTAATATTTTTTATTCCAAAAGAATAATTTCTGTTCCTTTATTTTTTTTTTCTTCCATCGGGTGGGGTTACTCCTTTGTGTAATCCTTTTTATTTTTTTGCATTACTAAATCACTTTGCATATTCACTGAAAGCTGTATAACTACCATTGATTGATCAATATGTTTAACAAAACTAAACTAAACAACTAACAAAATAATTAACCCGCACAGGTGGCCAGTGGTTAAGGAGTCTCAAGGAGCAAGTCGTAAACTTGAATATATTGAGTTCAATTGTCGAGTTTCGTGAATTCGATTGTCGAGTTCAAATGATATGTGTGATTTGCGAGTAATTATATGTATCTAACATTTACTATATACCATTTTTATCTTTAAAAAGAAAAAGAAAAAAACACAAGACCTGTTTTTTCTTTCCTGTCTATTGCAGGTGCTATGCAATCATGACGATCATTAAAGTAATCGAAAACAAAAAATGAAAAAAAAGAAGAATAGTGCTTGTAAGAAAGAACTTGATTTTATCAATAAAAAGGAGCCACTACAATATATACAAGTACTGAACAAAATACTGTAAGTCATTCAGGAGAGGGGGTAGGAGGAACAAGCATCCTTCCAAGACCCATAAACTCAGTAGCAAATTCGTCATCATTCTTGGCCAACATATCTTTCAAGCTGCATTCCACATTCCGACCCTTAAGCACCCAGTATCTCGGTTTTATCTTCTTCTCCAACGAGTAACTGAAATACCTTGGATAGTCAACTACATCAAGCAGCGGTTTTTCCATGGTGTTCACTAGGAATTCTAACTTTGGTCTCAAAACCTCTTCAATGCTGTACCCTAGTAATGGAGAGAACCTGCCGATCATGAACGCCACATCCCTCTTTCTAAGCCCGGCCTTCAATAAGAACTTAATTCTGCCAATATAAACCAGATAAGTTAAAATATGAGCGATGTTCTCATAACTTCTGCATTTCCGCCTTATGCTGTTTATCATTGTGTGTGCATGTGAGTGAAGCCCTGTAAAATTTGTTCTTTGTAACATTGTTTCCGTCATCTTGCCACTCAATTCAAGGTGTATTTGGCGAAGTAGGGCAGTTTTACACCTGATCCAGATCTATCACACAACATGAATTAAGTGGCAAGGCACAATCTTTCACTCTCATGACCTGTGACCACAGGTTTGCGGAGAAGACCAATGATTCTTACAGAGTTTGCCAATACTGATTCTCAAATTATCAGATAAGTCACATTAGACCGGTTCAGTTTTGTGAAATGAAATTGTGTTCGACAAACCCTCATTTTATGCCTTTGGAGGGCAACTAAATTTCAAACTAAGCTGTGAATTTATTGACATTATAAACTTGAGATGTAAGAACATTACCGAGGAAGCAAGGCTCTGTTAACATCACACACAAAAAGCTCTGGGTATTTCCTGATAACGCGAGGAAGATGATTCTTAGAGACACCAATACCAGAAAGGAAATCAAGCTTCTTCTTAAGAGTTTTCTCAATGCTTGTGGCAAAGATTTCAGGACAGCGACAAAGTATCCTACCAATAGTTTCCTCATCAAGTCCCAAATCTTTGAAAAAAGAAACCACCTGCACATAGCCAATAAAGACTTATAATACGATTTGCAGGGAACAGATACATATATACAGTGCTGCAACAAAGGAAGAGCAGAACAAGTTGTCAGTTAATGATGTTTTCTACAGATATTAATTTGTTCTGGCAGTACAATGATCTACTAAATTAAGTGATGCTAAGCCATGTCAAGCATGCTATAATTAGGACTACAAACAATCCAAATTGTTCGCTAGCACTCAGGCTCGACTCATTTTGAGCTCATGCTTGGCTTGTTTGTGAGAAAGATGAGCCTAGCTCAAGCTTGCCTTTAAGCTCATTATTTAAATGAATTTATCAAGAAAAAGAGGTGTGTTCTAAATAATCTAAGCTCAAACTTCAATTTAGCCCACACATTAAGTCGAAGACTACTGCATCTGAACACTTGTAGATGCCTTAGTATTTGGAAATAAAGAATCTAGAAAGTGAATATTGCAATTGTGTCTTGAAGTTTCAGGTATAAGATAAATTCCTTGCTCTCTTTATTTATTTTTTCTTTTTTTAACAAAGTGGTGAGTCTGCTTCTTCAGCATTTCTTCACTTCCCTTTTTCCTTTTTTCCCTGTTTATCTGATCACATATCAAGAAGTTTAAATCCTAATTTGCCACAAGTCATGAACAATAGAAAGGATACATTACACTTTGGTCGCTATTTCTTCCATTATCAGGTTTCAACTCCTATAGTTAAAAATTTCATCTTTGAACAATCACATTTATCCTCCTCCTATGCGCATTTTTTTTTTTTTTTTTTTTTTTTTTCATAACTATAATTCTGTTTGAACAGAGATCTATATCACTTTGCCCTCTTTTGTCAAAACAATCATCTTACTACACTTGAGCTGGCGTGAGCTTGGTGAAACTGTACAGAGCTGAGTCTGAACACAGATGAGCTTCACTAAAGCCGAGCTTGAGTAATACCTCAAATCCGGCCAACTTGACCAAGTCCGTGTAAACTAGATAAAAGTTCTGCCTCTAAGCCAGGTTGTTTGGGGAAACTAGGAAGGAGCACTAAAGAGAACTGACAATACACAAACCTCTCTTAAATGAAATCCACTTGTTCCGGAGTTTGGTTGTATCCTTTCTTTCTTCAAACCTCAACTTCTTCTTTATGATGGTTTGTCTGAAATAATTATTTTTCTCCACTAATTGACTGCAGTTCAACCAACCCCCCAACCCCCCCCCCCCCCCCCCCCCCCCCCCCCCCCCAAACCCACAAAACAGAGAAAATAAAAATAAAATTAAAACAACAGCTTAATATTAGAATAAAGTCTATTCTCAATTAGACACTATAAATTTAAGAAAATTGCTTCAGTCATACAGAAATTATCCCCCATGTCATTGGAGTGGAGTATCAAAAAATCATTTACCATGGCAATACACATCCTGAACACAAACGTGAAGTACTATATCACCAGCATAAGGCATTAAAATTTCTATACAATTTATATATATCTTGTAAACACATTACGGAAAAACTGTTCAACAGATTATATGTCAGGAGCAGCCGCAGTAAACATGAACAGTTACAAACGAAAACCCCAAAAACATCCAGGAAACTTGAATTAATACATACCTACATCTCTCACTAATGCCTAAATTTATTAATCACTATTTTTTTCCGATCATAATCGTAGAAAGCAACACTGAACACATAATTTGTGCGTGTGTTTGTTGGGGTGCGAATGGAGAGGGCACATATATTGAGTGATATTATGAATCATGGATAGATGAATGGGAGTCTTACATTGTTAGAAAGGTTACAATTGTCCAAGTATGAAAATGAACTTAGCAGTTAGCACACTGACGTCACTGTCTTTTAACAAGGAAATAAAGTCATCTTGTAACTGTCACTAAACTATAAGAAAATACCGTTGCACCTACAAAATAAGATAGCCAAAGGTAAAAATTAATAAATCACCAACCTGCAGAAATTCTTGAGGTTTTCGAAGTAATAGCTGAGGACTTTTAGCAATGACCTGACCTAACTTCTTGCTTCTAACACCCAAGTCATCAAACTGTTTAACCATCAACTTCAACTTGCTTATTGAACAACCCAAAAGATGGGGCCAACTTTTTATTGCATGCTCAACGCTAGCTTTAGGTACCTGCCATGAATAATTATAATTTCTTAGCGTCTCTAATATAATGTAACAATAAGCCTTCACTTCCTGTTGATGAATTGCAGATAGAAAGAGCCAGATTTTTAAATTGACACATTAATAGAGAGGAACTCAAGACACTATAAGTGCCATGGCCCCTGGAAAGAAAAGGAGAAAATATGAAAGAAGGAAAGGAGAAAGAAAAAGAAACAGTGACATGGAAGCAAGAAACAATAGTGGTGGTGCCTGAGATCTCAACCCCACTGCTTAAAGGGAAAGGGGACGGAAATTAATTAAGTCATTTTCTGATCCCAACCAAGCAATTTTGTCAGGCATGATGTGTGGAGCGTATATACAGTAAAACTTATCCAAGCATGCAATTATGTTGTTTAGGATCTGGTACCTTCTCCATATCAAAGAAAGAAAGGATTTCCTTGAAATTTCCTTGAATACCAGTAGACATAATCCATGGATACTTGAGCAACATCCTTCCAAAATCTTCATCTTCTGCACCTACCTGAAGAAAAAAATGCGGACAAATGCAAAAATCATAAGAAGGAACAATGTCCATGTCCACATTAAAACATGAATATGAGCAAATCCAATGTAGACACATTAAAAAACATAAATGTATTTATTTTGAGATAAGAAACAAGTGAGTTATATAAACTCCAATCATAACAGAAATGATACCTTATAATTATACCACTACCACTGTGGATTCAAAGAGAAAATGCAACAATCTTGTCCATTCTAAGGCATATGGGTGTTACATGGCTAAATATTGCCCAGGACCACTACCTCCAGGTAGTTGAGAAATCAAAACCTCAACACCAACATCATCTGTAACGCACAAACATCTTTTTTTCCCTCCATGTGCTGAGGACACATCGCTTTCATGGAGCTAGTGATATCTATTTCTTAGCTATGGCTGGGCTACTGAAAACAATTAAGAGGACAATTGCCATTCCAGTTGTTCCTTTACCTATTCGAAGAAATTATTAAAGGATTCCATTAAGTGTACCTTTTACAAGAGTATTGCTAAAGCCCAGACCATATTTGAGCATGGTTAAGAAGCAAGTGTTGACATTCAACTAGTCAAGGTTTATTTATACATTCTTCAACCTCAAACTCGCAATGAGTACTCAGAAACTTGTACAAATAGTAATTTCTCTAATTACCTTCAACAAATTCATGTCTCGAGAAAAATTTCATGTACAAAATTCATAATGTAAAGAAATACTTTACAAATTTCTTCTAAATAATTATAAAAAACTTACAGGAAAACCGAAAAAGTAATGAATTGGCTACTTTCTTGTTCAATTTTCTGAATCTGTGTCTTGGTTTAACTAGTCACTTGGTATGTTCGCCTACTTCTGAATAACCATTTTGATTAGAAAACCAACTCATATCCTTATTTTTTTACCGAAATAATTCATCAACTTATTTCATTAGCCAAACCATAAAAGATTCTTTTTAGTCTAAATAGGCCACCTTAAATGTTTTAGGACACCAATTAAACTCAATTTGTTAAACACTGTGCTTAAACCAGGGGAATATAAATCTTTCACTTTCCTAAGCCATTCTGTTTCAAGATTAGAAAACCCATTTTTCATTGGAAAGAACATCTAAAGACGATTCAAATTTCAACATTAATTGCACGTCTTTATTATCATAATAAGTCGATGAAAACATACATCTTAGAGGGTGAGTTTAAGAAAATAAAGGGCAGTTAGTATTAAAGATACGTGATGATACCTTCTCAAAAACCTGCATTCTTGGTTTAAAGTCCTTCTCTATGTTGTAGAAAATAACGGGTGGAAACAATAGAAGAATTTCTCTCATGCATCCTTTGCTCACTCCAATATCTTCAAGATATCCAACCATTTGCTTCATATGCAATTCTATTGGTAAAAAAAGAAGACGTGGAAATGATTCAATGAGGTAGCGAAAGGAGGCATCTTTGGAACCCAACATATCCAAACCCCCACGTTTAGCTTCAATCTACAGCATAGAGCAGCCAAGAACACTTCAAACATAATCTTAAAACGTACAGAAGAGCATATAAATTTCATTTGCCAAAATCACCAGAAATTTAGCGAGGCCTACAAACCTTCTCAAAAAATGATAATGTTTGTTGCACATCCTCATCAATGGGAATTGAAAGGTGCATCATCATACGGCGGGCATTCTTCCCCAGAAACCCTTTATCATCACTGTCAGAAAAGAACATTTCCTTCACATACTTAACCTAGAAGCAAATGCAAAATAAGCAACAATACTAGGCCAGCCAAGTGAGAGAAAAAAGAAAAAAAAAGCATGACATATGTTAAAAGCAAATGCAATGTAAAAGCAGCAATTTTGAGTCACTTAGAAGCATTTTGAGAAACACCCATGTATATAATTTGAATTGTGCTTGTGTGTCTTCTCAATCTTACCCTGGGAATGAGGTCAAAAGTTAAAAGCAAATGCAAAGTAAAAGCAACAATTTTTGAGTTTCTTATAAGCATTTTGACAAACACCAATGTATGCAATTTGAATTGTTCTCGTGTTTCTTCTCAATCTTACTCTGGGACTGAGGTCATAAGTTAAAAGTACATACAAAGTAAAACCAGCAATTTTTGAGTTTCTTATAAGCATTTTGACAAACACCAATGTGTGTAATTTGAATTGTGCTTGTGTTTCTTCTCAATCTTACCCTGCGAATGAGTTCAGGGAGTGTGTGGGAGTGGGAGGAGACGTAGCGGGCGACTTGGGAGGCAGAAGAGAGAGAAAGTCCCAGGCTCTCCAAGAAGGGAAGTGACCCATTATCCCCTTTGTCCTTGGCTACACGATACACCTTCTCTTTGAATGAGAGCCCCTCCTCAACAGCTCCTTGTTGTTGTTGTTGGCTGCTATTCCATGAATCCCACAAGGACAGGGAGAGCTCATCCAACTGGCGAACGCTGTCAATCAACATCTCTACATATTTGGGGGAATTCAAAGCTATATTCAGCGAATCATCCTTGGAAACCCCAAATTCTTGAAGAATCTCTGAAACTGCTTCTCTCGCTTGTTCTTCTTCCTTTGATGAAGATGACGATTGTCCGACAGAGGATGCTTGAAGCAGGCGATGATGATGGTGATTGAAGGAGAGATTTTTTTGGAGTGAGATTTTGAGAGGGAATTTGTTGCAATTGAATGAAATATTGCTATTATTATTATTATGAGAGTTTGGATTGGTGAAGAGGAAGAGGTTACGATGATGAGGATGAGTATTGAATAGTGAAATTATTGTGAAATTTCTTTGAATTTGAAGCAACTTGTTGTTGTTGTAACAGACTACGCTGCTGCTATACATTTCTTCTCTGCGTCTCTGCCTGTAAGCCAACCATCACCCAAAACCCTTGCAAATTCTTGCTAGACTGTCCTGTCTTGTATACCATACCCTGCCCCCAAAAGCCTAAAAAAGGGCAATATTGCCAATATAACCCTCTTGTCCTGAGTGTGCTTTTATAATTTTTATTTATTTATTTTTGTGGAAAAAAAAAAAAAAACAGAAAAGAAAAAAAAAAGAATGTATTTCTTGGTATAATACTATAAACCAACAATGCAATAATTACGCACAGGCATTGAACAATTCGGCAACTGCATGTGTTGAATTGATATTATAGTTCTTAATGTTCAACTTAGTGTGCTGAATGGGTGTTAGAATATTTCAGTATCATATAATATATTCCTAGGTGTGTTTCATATATATATATATATATATAGATATATATATTGAATGTAAATTCGTTGCATGTCACCAGCGCTAGACATACTACTTTTTCTTGTCCACATCGTCCATATAAATTTTTTTTTTTTTTCATTTTAAATGTTCATGTTTGAAAGTTGACTTTTTAAGAAATTTATTTTTAATATTTTCTTATTAATGAATTTTTAAATTTACCCTTTGTTTTGAATTGATGTGATCCACAAATAACGTTTATCCTTTTTAAGGTAATGAGAGTAAATTAGGATTACAAAATTTTGAAATAGAACAATTACCGTGGGACAAATAAAAAAATAAAAATAAACAACTAAAATGAAACGAAAACGAGTAATAATTTTATTAAAGTATTCGATTCATTGTTTTGTAGTGAGTCAAAGTCTTGTTTGACGAGAGAGTCACACAGATAAGTCAAAACGCTAGAGCCTAGAGGCTCACCTCATGACCGCCTGCACAAATTTTTTTAGCAAGCTTGCTAGCCCCGTCTTCTCTTTCACTCTCTATATTCACAAATGGGGATGGTCAAAATGAGTCTCCATACATGATGCTCTTATATTATGACAAATAGTTGGGCAAACATCAAAATGCTTAATTCTCATATTTGAAAAGTCCTACAAGAGATCTGAATATCTAAAGGTGCTTCAGAAGCCACAGCTTTGTAGGAAGAAATTCTGAGGAACATAAATCAGTAAAGCACCATAGGCTCCTCATTAACAACCAAAGACACCACATTTACTTAAGCTTGGACAGAAGGTTCTCATGATTCTTTTGTTCAAATTGATACCATGTGCCTTTTCTAACATTTATACAATCACTTCCCCAAAAAACATTCACACATTCCAGAATGGCTGAAACTGCTCATAGAGATCAGTTCACCAACACCTTAATACATATCAACAACACACATTACATACATATCTACATGGTATAATACATTCAAAGCTACATATATACATGATGAGACACGCCAACTGCATTACCTTTGGATGATTATGTTGAAACCCAAGTGCTATTCACCTTCACTACTCTTGTTCTATGTCATCTGAAGACGATATGGAAGCCGCTATGAGCAAGAATTCACATCCTTCGTAGTTCAGAAAGTCTGGTGGATCAGCTGGACAGTAACGTCGTTGCCCAAACTGGGCTTGTAGATGGGCAGGAAAAAGGGCCTTGCGCTTGTTTTGAAGTCCTCTGAACTGGGAACTGCCAGGTTGATCTGGATTCTTTATTTGTATCACAAATGAGCCTTCGCGTTCAATGTTATGCGAGTCCTGAAGCTCATTCTCCTCCTTTTCTGGTGGGATTTCGAGCTTGTAAATTAAATGGGAGTGCATTTTCTTGTGTGTATGCCTCAGGATGCCATAAACGCCTTCTCCTATAGCTCTGGCAGGAGGTTTGTGTTGATGTCCTTTTGTTGAAGTATCATATTCCTCTGCAATGTGAGACATTAATTTCCATTCATATCATGTATGTTAATAGAACAACTTAAGTTGCCTCTAGAAACAGGTCCATACCTCCTTTAAGAGCAGCCTTCACATCTTTAATTTTTGTTGTAACCATCTCCACAAAACCCCAGTAAGTGCGGCTTTTCTTGCTTGGACGTGAAAAGCTTTTTCGCCCCATAACAATAAACCGGAACAAGGGTTGCTTCTTGATATTTACTTCCTATATTGTTCAAGGAAGTTATAATAACATTGAGAAGGACATATTATCATTGAAGCAAACTTGTAGTATATGTTAAATACTCCGATTCACTAGTAGAGCAGACATTAATCAAAGAAAGTAACACTAGCAAGTCCTGCATCACTTGCCATAGATTATATCCACTGCGTCTTTTTTTGTTTGTATTAATGGTGAACTGTGTGGTTTCTTTAACAGCATTAAAGGACTAAGACAGGGGGATCCCCTACCACCATATCTGTTTGTACTGGCAATGGATGTGTTCTCAAGTGTCACCAACCTAATCACAAGCAATGAACCACTCTTTACATATCATTGGAGATGTAAAGCAACCCTAATATCTCATATAACCTTTGCAGATGACATACTCATGTTTTGCCATGGTTTGGTCTCTGCACAGTCACTCAAATTAGCCATTGATACTTTCTCTAACCTTTCTGGCCTCACCCCTAACCCCAACAAAAGCAACTTGTTTTTTAGTGGAACTCCACCACAGACCAAGAATACCATTTGCAACATCTTCCAGTTTCCCTGTGCAGAATTACTAGTCAAATACCTTGGTCTACCACTGATCTCTACTAGACTCACAGCAAATGATTGCTAATCCATTATTGATAGCATGCTTTCTAGAGTAACTAGTTGGACTGCAAGAGCACTGACATTTACAGGAAGGTTACAGTTGATACAAGCCACACTCTTCAGCATGCATATTTACTGGACAAACCTTCTGATTTTACCAGCTAAAGTGTATGACAAGATGAACCAAATAATGCAAAGATTCTTATAGTCAGGCAAAGCAATGAACAAGTATAGAGCAAAGGTAGAATAGGAGCATGTGTGCAGTCCCAAACATGCAGGAGGACTGGGAATCTATGATATACAACTTTGGAACAAGGCTTCAATATTAAGACATATATGGACTCTGTGCTCCAATGACATAACAGGAATTTGGAAAGAATGGACACTCAAACATCTGGTAAAAAAGAGGAGCATTTAGGACATACCTATACCAAATGATAGCTCCTGGTTCTGGAGAAAGCTGCTGCAGAATAGAAATTTCGCTCAACCTTTTGTCAAACACATCATCAACAATGGCTCATCAACAATGGTTTTCTTTGACAATTGGCTTCCGTGTGATCCCCTCTATCAGGTATTTGCTAACTCCAATCATAGACAGGGCTGGTTAATCAACAAATCCATGAAAGTATCATCATTAGTCACCAACTCCCAGTGGTCATGGCCTAGACACATTTCAAATATTGTCTCGCCACATTGTAATATCAGAAACCTATCATTCCCCAACCTCAATTCTAATGATACCATCCAGTGGACTCCATCCCCCAACAAGACATATTCCCTTAAATATACACTCCTAGCCATTACCCAACCAATCCCACCTACCCATTGGCATAAACTCATCTGGTTTAAACATGCCATTCCAAAGCATTCTTTCTGCCTTTGGCTAGCAATTCAAGAGAAGCTACTTACCCAAGATAAACCTGCACTTCTCTACACAAAGCAACCCAATGTGTGCATCCTTTGTTTAAAAGCTACTGAGAACCATGATCATTTGTTCCACCACTGTGATTATTCAAAGATAGTTTGGGCTGGGTTACAACACAAATGTGGGTTCTGCACACACCCTAACTCTTGGATTTCCTAATTTGGGCATCCTCGAATTGGAAGCAAAAGCTAAAGAGAAGCAGGGTCATGGTATGGAAGCTAACATTGGCTAGCTATGTTTATCATATTTGGAAGGAGCGAAACAATAGAATTTTCAACAATATTTCATTACCTCCAGTCCAAACAATGAATTCAGTGATCAATACAATCAGAATGAAGCTATTCTCAGTCAAGAAATTTGAATGCCCATTTGCAGAAGAAATTGCGGCAGATTGGAATCTCCCATCATCCTTTTATGAACTTACCCACTCAAATCCTTTCTTCCATTTCACAACCACCCACCACGCACACCCTCCACCACATATACCACCACCTCCGACCGCTCAACCAACCTCAACCATACCCCAGTAGTGTTGATACTTTGGATTTGTTGGTTCATCCCACCCGAGGATGTGTTTGAAGGTAGATACATACATGTGTGCTGAAGGAAGGTTTTTTTTTTTTCAACCGTGGGATTAGTCATGGCTTGGGCCTTTAGTTGGGTTCTATGGGCTACAATAGTGGACATTTGTTTTTTTCTCTTTCTTGCCCAGTTCTGTAATGTTTGGGCGGAGGAATACCCTCCTTTTTTTGTACCTCCTCTTTCATTTATGAGAATTACTTAATTACCGAAAAAAAAAATGTTCGATAAGGGACAGTATTGTGCATTAGCTGGTACAATTTTTTTGTTTAGACATTATGAGCCAGTGAGGAAAGTTAACCATGCAAGAAAGTGTAGGGCACCTGACTACCGTGTCCGCCTTCACTTCCATTCTTGCCAGAGCCGGCACTGCTTTCACTTCCAGCCAATTTCTTTTTGGCACCTTCCTTCCCGGATTCTGGGTCCTGTTTTATTTCAACTGGCCTTTCTCCGGCTCTGGGCCGGAGAACAACATACAACCGTTCAACGTCATCAGCACTGTGAACTTCTTTGTTAATTTTGGGCCTGTAAAAAAGGAATATCTCTCCTCTTTCCTACAAGAATATATACAATATTACAGCCACATTCATCCCACATGTATATAGAGATCACCATTGAAAATTAATTATCTGGTTCCAAATATGCAGAGGATGAATTATCTGTGTCTCTTAATTTTTGAACATCTATTCTCCTGAAATATTGAATTAATTAATAGCTTTTGACTTATGATTTAGTATGAACATTTTATACTAATTAGAGGATGTTAAATAATAATTTGCATTCAACTTATAAAAATTTGAATAAAAAACATTAAAATGACAATTAAGTAAATATATACATGGGAAAAGCACAAAGATATTAATTTCCGAATAACCCTGCCCTTCATAACAATGGAAATTAGAACCTTTAATGTGTTAAAAAGGATTACAATATGCATAATGCATTGTGGGAATACAACGTTTGATTGAATTTTCAGAATCTATATATAATTAACAAATGACATTTGTTGTCCAACAAATATACAAATATAAGAAGTATATACTAGTTTAAGAAAAGAAAAAGAATATCTTGTGCAACAGTGCAAGTATACCATGATTGAATGCTTGAATTTAAAAGTAAAAGTAAAACCTGTGTAATCTAAAAAATTAATTCTACTGTGAATACTTATAATCCATTTTTGGATTTTCCTTCATCAGAACATATCAGAAATGTTTCAGATTTTATATACCTTTCAAGTTGAACAAGAGGAAAAGTGAAATTATAGAATGAAACCAAATTAATGAAGAACACTTCTGTGTGTGTGTGAGAAAGAGAGAGAGAAAGAGAGAAAGAGAGAGAGAGACCTGAATCTGAATGATGGGTTGGCCTGTTCTGGTGTTGGATTGGTGTCCTTGTGGCGCTTGAAACAGGCGATGATGATAATAGTGACGGGGGCAGAGTACTTCTTGTTGTGAGATTTTTAGAGGGAACTTGCAATTGAATGAAAGATTGTGATTTTTATAATGAGATTTTGAAGTGGTGAAGTTGAAGAGGCTACGATGATGATGATGATGATGATGATGATGATGATGATGATGATGATTGGATGGCGAAATTATCGTGAAACTTCTTTGAATTTGAAGCAATTTGTTTGTGTAACAGCTATACATTTCTTAGCTATACGCAAAACGCTCCTCAAAACCTAAATAAAACCCTTGTCCTGAGTGGGGGAGAGAGTGACGGTGGAACTCTCGGTAGTAGTACATCTGCTCGTAGCCTGACAAGTGACAACAGAGCAGCCATTACTCACATGGTTTTTTATTTTATTTTATTAAAAAAATTGGGCTGTTTATTCTATTTTCGAGAATAAATTTTTATTTTTTCGAAAATAAAAAAGAAGTACAAGAAACTGTTTTACTGACAGCGTGAATATTAGGGTTTGCTTTATTTTGTCATTTAGAAAATAATTTTTTATTTTTAGAGAATTAAAAATTACAAAATTGTACAAACACTTGCTTTGATTTTTATTTTTTACAAACTATTTTTTTGAAATTTAAGTTATGAGGCTTGTGGCCTAACAGTATAAGATTTCTACTCCTTAAACGAAGGTCAAAACTTTGAACCTTAACGAAGCTTGGTAGTGTGCGTGAGTCCCAATTAAGAAAAAAAAAAATTTTGAGTTATAAAAAAGTTTATTTTTAAAGAATTGTCTTTTATAATTTTTAATTTTCTCAATTTTTGAGAATTATTTTAGAATAACAAACCAAACATTATTTTTTAAGATTAAAAAAAGACATATTTTTAGAAAATTATAAATTATATTTTATAGTAAAGTTTTAACAACTGTTTTTTAGAAAATTAAATAAATATTTATTAAATTTTCCACTTTCAAGAGATGTATTTCCGCCTTCTTAAGAGCTATATTTCATTTAGAATACATAATCAGCATTTTAAATTTTAAATTAAAATGAATGTATTTATTTAAATTTAAATTTCATTTAGAATACCGGATCAGCATTTAAAATTGTAAATTGAAATCATTTAAAATTGTAAATTGAAATGAATGTATTTATTTAAATTTTAAATTGAAATAAATTTATTTTGCATTATTAAATCGGTACCTTGAATTTAAAATTTTAAAAAAAAAAATATTGCAAATTTTGAACAAAATTTCTTCTACTTCCAAATCCCGCTCATAAACATAACTAAATTTTTTTCTCCTATTTCACCTAATTTTCTCCGATTTCAAACTACCAAATCGGTACTCCATCATCTGTTTCTTACAAGCTATAATGATGTAATCCGAACTCTAGAGATTAGTCTACCAACACCTCAAATGGTGTAATCTGAACTCTTGGAGATCAGTCTACGAACCTTAATAATGCAGCCTCGGACCCTCTTTACCACTTTTATCCCAATTGGAACCTACCAAATATTGCCAAAAAGATGTAGTCCATCCTACACACGATTTTACAAAATATACATTCAAAAGATGCAGTCCATGCTACGCATGATTACATAAAATGTACATTCAAGATCCACAAGGTATCCAAAACTATGGCATAGACCTACAAACAGGATGTAAATCCTGCACAACACGCACATCTACACTACTATAATACATTCAAAAGACATACAACCTACATAGGTACATGATGAGATCCACACGGCAACTGCAGTACCTTTGGACGATTCTGTTCAAGCCCAAGTGCCTTCGAAAAGGGGAGCGGGAGAGGCAGTCTCTCCAAATGTTTTCACTAAATCCGAACAAGATGGCTCCGGCTGCTCACATTCAGTCTTGACCTCCAACCCCAGTTCCTCTCCTATGTCATCTGAAGCCGATATGAGCAAGAATTCGCATCCTTCGTAGTTCAGAAAGTCCGGTGGATCAGCTGGAGCGTAGCGTCGATGCCCAAACAGCCCTTGCAGATGGGCAGGAAAAGAGGCCCTGCGCTTGTTTTGAAGTCCTGGGAAATGGGAACCGCCAGGCTGCTCCGGATTCTTTATTTGTATCACAAATGAGCCCTCGCGTTCAATGTTGAACAACTCCTGAGGCTCGTTCTTCTCTTCTGGTGGTGGCAACTCGAGCTTGTAAACTAAATGGGTGTGCATTTTCTTGCCTGTATGCCTCAGGATGCGATAAATGCCTTCTCCTAGAGCTCTGGCAGGAGGTTTGTGTCGACGACCTCTTGTTTTAGTTTCATATTCCTCTGAAATGTGAGACGTTAATTTCCATTCATTTCATGTACGTTAAACAGAACAAACAGAAAAGTTGCCTCTAGATACAGGTCCATACCTCCTTTAAGAGCATCCTTCACATCTTCAATTTTAGTTGTGACCAACTCCATGAAACCCCAGTAAGGTTGGCTTTTCTTGTTTGGGTCTGGAAGGCTTTTGCGCCCCATAACAATAAGCCGCAACAAGGGTTGCTTCTGGATATTTACTTTCTGCAATGTACAAGTTACGCTAACATCAAGAAGAACATAATAACATTGAAACAAGCTTGAAGTATATGTTATAAATACTCCCATGTTTTATTAAAGCAGCATGGACATCAAAACAAGTAATACTTGCAAGCCTCGCATCTCCTACCTTAAATTACTAAAATGGGAATGGGCGACAAGTGACAGTAATGTGCATTAGATGATCTTGATAATATAACTACCTGTTAATGATACAGACAGAGTGTACAGAATATATTGCAGCAGAGTTTGACAAAGCAAAACTCAACAAAATTTGAAATTAATCTGATCTGCTGCTTATAAATTAATTTCTGCCTTTGTTTTTTTTTTCTCCTTCTTTTCTTGGTGTCGTTCAGACAGGCCAAAACGAACTTGATCCAATCAAAATTTACCAATATTGTAATAAAGTTGAAACTTTGACCTTAAAGAAAAAATTTCATCACTAAAGAAATACTCCCTCCGTCCCATATTAGTTGTCCGCATCAAAAACTTTGAATTATAATTTTTGCGAGTCAAAGTTACCAAAATAGACATCTAATATGGGATATAAGTAGTATATTAGTATAAAAAATGAATACGACTAAAAATGATCTCAAATGACTCGAAAAAAAAAAAAATAGTAGTGAGTCAAAGTTTTTGAATTGAACAACTATTATGGGACGTAGGTAGTCTTATTTATGTTCTCTCTCCTTAATTACTCGGGAAGTCACTGCTTAATTAAGTAATTAAGGGTGACTTTTGATTCATATCCATTCGGTGGAATTTCGAGTGAATTTGGCATTAATTTTGAGAACGATATGTCTGTACTAGCTTCTAGTCTACTTCTTTGTGTAGTTATTTCCTTGTGGATTTAAAAGCATGTAGTGAAACAGATGGATGTTCAATAGCACAAAATAGGTTTGTGAATGGTAAGACCTTCTATTCTAATATGAAATTTCTAAATACCAGAAAGAATAGAAAAATGCGCTTACCTTAGCAAGAAGATCTAGCATGCAGTGTCAAAAAAAAAAATACATTTCAGTGATCTTTTGAATATTAAAATTTATTCTCATATAATGAACTTTATGTGTCAATAAAACAGAGTAATATACAAGTTCCAGAGGACAAAGAGAATTGAGTATGATATTAGTATGTACAAGCATGAGTGCTCACTCATTAATTTTGCAAGATGGTGTAACAGTTCCATATACAAACATGTTTTTGTGCATCATATGGTATGAAGTAGTGAGAAAAATTAACCATGCAAGGAAGTGTCGGGCACCTGTCTACCGTGTCCACCTTCATTCTTGCCAGAGCCACCGCCTTCATCCCCAGCCGATTTCTTTTTCTTTTTGGCACCTTCCTTGCCAGAGCCACCACTTTCATCCCCAGCCGATTGCTTTTTCTCTTTGGCACCTTCCTTGCCAGAGCCACCACTTTCGTCCCCAGCCGATTGCCTTTTCTTTTTGGCACCTTCCTTGCCAGATTTTGCATCCGGTTTTTCTTCAACCGGCTTTTCTCCGGATTCTGGCCGGAGAACGATATACAAATGTTGAACGTCATCAGGGCCATGAACTTCTTCGTTGTTAACTTTAGGCCTGTAAAAGAAGAATATCTCTCCTCTTTCCTACAAGAATATATACATGGCAACCACATTCATCCCACATGTATATATATATATATATATATAGATAATTAGCATTGTACATTAATTATCTGGTTCCAAATATGCAAGGATCGATCAAGAAAGAAATAATGAACTAAATATATATCTATAATTAAGAGGAACAATGTATTTGTTCTCGGGGGCTGAAGATCACGGGAAACGCGGGCCTCTTAATTTTCAAAATCTGTTTTCTTAAAATGTGAATTAATAACTTATGATTTAGTATGAAAAATTAATAGTAATTAGAGGATGTTAAATAATAATTTGCATTCAACTTATAAAAATATGAATAAAAATATTGAAATGACAATTGAGTATATATCGGAAAAGCACAAAAAGGGGAGATATAATAAAGCAAAATGCTAAACAAGATGAGATTAGTTTCTGAATAAGCCTTCAATTCATAGCAATGGAAGTCAGAAACTTTAGTGTTATAAAAGATCACAATATGCATAAGGCATTGTAGGGATACAACGTTCCATTGAATTTTCAGATCCTAGATAGAATTAACAGATGACATATTCTGTCGAACAAATATACAAGGATAAGAAGTATATATTATTATTATTATTATTATTATTATTATTATTTGATAAATAAGAAGCATATATTATTTCAAGCAAAGAAGAAGAATATCTCATGTTCTGGACCCCGATTGAATACCATGATTGGAAGCTTGTATTTAAAAGTAAAATTTGTGTTGTTCGATAACCCAATTCAATACTTAAATCTAAATCGTAGTTTCAAAGATTTAAATATTAAAAGTCACATTATCTCTAATATCTTAAGCTTCTAGCGTATATGCTTGTTAACATGGTATTAGTATCAATCCTAATAACTAAAATTGAAATAACACAGAGGTCGCACCTGCAAGCCGTGTTATAGAAAATTTAAATATTAAACGTCACACTCTGTCTGCCCTAGATGGTTAAATAATTCATTATCACTTAAAACCTGGGATCTTAATTTTTAGTTTTATCAAAACAGCATCTAAGTCTATTGTGAATACCTATATCATATTATTATGGAGCATATTTAAATATAGAAATTGTTGTTATAAAGGAACAAAATTTAGTATCATGTCAGAACTATAATACATGTAACAAATACAAATTTGATATTAGGGTATTATATAATTGAAGTGTTTGGTTAAAAGTACATACCCTATATATTATAGTAATATTATTCTATAATAAGGGTTGTCCAAGATATATATATATATATATATATATATATATATATATATATATGATGGTATAGATATATAGCAGAGACGAATGATTATAGTCAAAGAAATTACCCTCTCCAATTAATTAATCCATTTTCGTTTATTTTTTATTGATCATAACATATCAGAAATGTTTCAGTCCATGTAACTTAGTACTAATTTTATACACCTTTCAAACTGAAGAAGAAGAAAACAGAAATTGTAGATAATAGAATAAAACCAAATTAATGAAGACGACTTCAAAGAGAGAGAGACCTGAATCTCAACGTGGGGTTCGCTTTTGATCTTGACTTCCTCTCCTTGTCCCATATCTTCCTTTGACCTTTCTTCTTTGGATATATATTATATATATACAAATATAATGTGTGTGTGTGTGTGTGTGTTTGTGTGTGTGTGTGTATATATATGAAGGGAGGAGAGATGCTACCGAATGAGAGAAAATGGCGGTTGGGTCGGAGAGGAGGGGGCACGTAGCCTACAGTTGTCCATGTAAGCAGCCAACACTCTTCAAATTTCAGTAACCCCACGTTGCCTGCCTTGCTTTTTGTGGCCCATGTGGGTGGGCCTAGATTTAGGTCTATCCTTGCTCACTCTGTTTCTAATAAATAAAACATAAAACATAAAAAATAAAAATAAAATGTTTATTTAATTAGTGAGAATTAATTTTAAAATGAGATTCAAAACTCACCTACCCTGAATGAACCTATCTGATAAATTTTATAAATATATATAATTTAAACGTTTTATTTGTTTTTTTCCCATAATTTTTATGATATTTTTTCTATTATGAAGATGTTTAAAATTGTATTTAGTTACTATTTAAATTATATAACTAGGATATTATAGGAATGTTTGATTCAATTTTTTGAAAATAGTTTTTGAGAAAACAAAAAGTGGTAATAAAAAAAAATCTGTTTGGTTTAAAAAAAAAACTCATTTAAAAAAAAGTCATGTTTTATCTAAAAGTAATATACTGATTTCTGAATTTTCGAAAAATATTTTTTTTTTGAGTGAGAAACCAAGCTCATTCCTAAATCACTCCATCTCGGAACAAATTTGATAATTATTTTATCCATACGTTTTATTTGGAATAGGAACACTCCAGTCTATACACTATATCATTCCTTGAGTCAAGCTCACTATTGTGTTTGCTTTATTGATCTGTCGTGTCACACACCGATCACGCCATATTTGACACAAATAAGAGCAACCCAGCGCTCGGGTTGTTTTCCATTCCACACATTAAATAAAGTGTATAGTTACGTCATTAATTTTATATAAAATGTACAATTACGTTAATAATTGATTATACACTTATTTTGAAGGCTCTACGTTCTTATTGTGCACTCATTTTTTCATTGTACACTTTATTATATTATTATTTTTAAAATAATAAAATAAATTTTTTTATTATTTTTTTTTTCCAACAATTTTATTTTCAATAACTATAATACTAACTGCTATAATTGTTTGCTCCGATTTAGATACAAGATTTGAAATATATATATATATATTAAAAAACAATAATAATACATATATAAAGTGCATTACATAACTTCCTACAAATAAAATAAAACAATATAACTCAGGAAAAAAAAAAAAAATTGTAAACATTACAAAAATAGTAAATTTTATTTTTTATATTATTATGAAAATTAATTAAATTATTATGTAATAAATAAATAAATAAAATTGATTAGTCAATGTGTACAAACTTTTTAAAAATATATATATAATTAATTAAACTATCATGCAAATTAAATGACTCTTTTTATTTATTTAGGAAAAATGATTTTTTTTCTTAATTAATAAAAATTTGACTATCTTTACATTAATTAATTAATCTAATACACATACAATAATTGTTTTACACACCATCACACAATATTATTTTTTTCATTTTATATTATTTTCTCACACACAATGACCCAACAATGGCCCATTGCGCCTGCGCTTCTGCCACTGCCAAGCGCTACTTCATTCCTTAACTGTGAAGTTTGGAGTGTGTAATATGAGATGGGCCCCACTTGTGTGTAATCAGTATACTAGATCCTTTTCATTCCACACAGACTCACATATTATACACTTTGCTACGCGCTAGAGTTGCTCTAAAAGTGTCATATAACTTAAATATATATATATATTTTTATTGGACATGACAAGAGCATGCACACTTGAAACACATTCACAACGCAAGAAGATAGTAGTGAAATTATTAATTTAAAAAAAAAAATTGAGATTTCAGTGTAATTTTAAAACATATTATGCATTAACTAGAAAAATAATATAAAGTTTTTTTAAAAAATATATATTAGCTATCAAGTAATTTAGTAATTCCCTTCATAATAATTTAGATAAAATACGCAAAATTATCGATAAAATACGCAAAATTATCCTTTTTATACATAATATATTATATTATTATTTAATTAATGCATTCATGTCATACACATATTATATTTTTAAGATATTGCTATGTTTGTATGTATGGAATCATACTAGTATTTAGTGTGAATCTCGACAATAGCATATCCCGTATGAATCCAGAGAATTGCATAAGTAACCGAAAAAACCACCTGTAAAGAAAGATTTGAATTTAGTGACTCTTATGTGGGCGCGCGCACACATTTGCTATGAATATTTGCAATGTAATCTCGAATATCTCATGGAATTCCACATGATTACATACATTACTACTCCGTCATATTCACAAATATACAATCAATAAATCATAAATTACATGGAATTAAATTAATCACAATTCAGGTGACCAGAGACCTTGCATTTGCTGGCTACTCGACTCCTCCTGATGCTTTGTTTCACTTCCCTAACTGAACCTACCCAAACCATATACATATATATAAATATACATATAAAGGTACGTGAGTAAACATACCAGCTCAACAGCGTACTAGCTACTCTGGGAACACTAATTTACAATAATTTACTGATTATGAGGAATTGCATTTTAATTAACTGCCAAACTCCCACTGAATCTACTCAGTTGGTCCTGTGAATCAAAGCAAATAAATTAAATAATAATAATTATAATACAAGATTTTTTAAATATCACACTATATATCTGTTTTTTTTTTCTTTTCCAGTCCAGACTTTTAAAAATCAATACCTGGCTTTTCAGCTAGTGAAGATGAGCTTGAGCGGCAAGTTGAGCTATTGTATCCTGAATTTATAAGCAGAGGGTCGCTCATCACTTCCTGCAATGAAAGTTTAATTTCAGCAATGCGTTAAAAACTCGGAAATTTAGTTTAACATATGTTTGTTTATTTCTGCATATATATTGCATGAGGAAGTCTTCAAGTACTCATACTAACTGTAAAATTTATCCCAAAACAATTATTGTTCTGATATGTCTGGTGCAAACAGATTAAACCCGCAAGCAAATGCTTCTCATTAATTCAATATAGCTAGGATATATTTCTGGTAGTATTTGGAGTGAATTATTTTTTTATTCTCCGAGGGACCGAAAATGATTTTTCATTTCTATCTATTACTGGAAGAAAATATGTCACTTTAGTATGAAAGGAAGAGAGGATAATATCATTTGCTACGGCTAATGCCTAACGCTTCCAAAATCTGATACATTTTTCTGACTCACCTGCGAGATGGAAGCGTTGCTGTTGTTGGGGGAGGGGCCTACACTACCACCCACCATGAAGTGGCTCATGTTTTCTTCACCAAGTGCTCTCAATCTGTTAAGCTCTGGTAAAACAACCTTGCCAAGATCCGGTCTGTCCTTTCGCCTTAGCTCTGCGCATTGGAGTGATAGATTTGCAAAGCTTAAGGCCTCTTCAACTGGCCAATCAGGCACAGCTGGATCGAGCATATCAGCGAATGTTCCTTTCTCAATAGACCGTCCAACGTGGTGAGTCAAGCCCATTGCTGGCTTGGCTGTTATCACTTGCAAAAGCATGATGCCCAGTGAATAGATATCAGATTTGATGCCAAGCATTCCAGTTTGTTGGTACTCTGGATCAATGTAGCAAAAAGTTCCAGCCGTTGATGTCATTCGATATTGTGTTACATCATCAGCTACAGAGGGAGGAACGAGCCTCGCCAATCCTACATCACTGATCTTGCTGACGTAGTTGTGATCAAGTAGGATGTTGCCAGGTTTGAGGTCACGGTGCACAAGTGGCTCTGGCTTGGTCTGGTGGAGGAAGAGCAAGCCTGTGGCAATCTCTGCTGCAATTCGGAATCTAAGTTGCCAAGAGAGAGGTTTAGTGTTCCCCTTTCGAAAAAGACGGTCATCTAAGCTACCATTAGCCATGTACTCGTACACCAAACAGCCATACTCTGGACAGGCACCAACGAGTAGTACCATGTTGGGATGTCGCATGCAGCTTAGTACTTCAACCTGCATTAAATTTTCCAGAAAAATTCTCAGAAGCGAAGATTAACTTCTAGTGGTAAAAGGCACGCAACAGACACATGAAGAATCTACTGTTAAAACAAATAACAAACTTCTTTATGATCAATAAGTCACAATCTTGGATATAGACAAGTACACCCAACTACTTATTAGGTTTGGGTAGGAGATTTATCTACATTGTCGAATCAATTATTGGAGAGAGAATTTGAGTTCTTATAAATGGTCTCTGCTACATGCTCATGAATAGTCGAAATAACTGACAATCTTCATTTACAGGTTTTACATAGGCAGATGGTAATAACATAGGCAATTTTTGGTTCACTTGAGACAGAGAAACAAAAATGGAGAAATTATTCGGTAGTTGAGCTGATTTTATATTTTTCTTTCCCTTTTTCAAGGATTTCATTTTGAATTCGATTGATTTAATTCTGAAAAGAAGTTCCTTCTACAACTTGATATTAATCATGGAAGGGTTGAGTTATATAATACATATATAATTATATACTCATTATCAATTAGTTACAAGTTTTAAGTTTTCTTTGTCCTCACCTCTTGCTGAAATTGTGCCCTTCCTTGAGCTGCATCTGGACGTAAAACTTTCACTGCAACTGGCGTATGATCAAGATAACACTTATAAACAGGGCCATAACCCCCTTCACCAATCTTGCGAGATGCAGCAAAATAATCTGTTGCTATTTCAATCTCATCAATCGTGTATCTCCTGTACCTGACATCTTTATGGGTTAGAGTATCTAATATCTTCTTCTTTTCCTCTACCTCTAAAAGAGCCTTCATTTCAGCATTTATTCTCCTTTGAGCTTCGAGTTCTGCAATCCTATTAGCGGCTTCAGCTGTATGTAGGGCTTCCCTGCACTTAGCTTTCTCCTCCTCTGCCATCGCCAGTGCTGCTTCCTCAGAAATTCGAGCCTCTTCTAATCTTTGCTCTTCTTCCATTCTCCATTGGTGTAACTCGATTGCCTGTCTTAGATATCAATTAGCACTAACAGTTACATTCTGTGAATGTATAAAAACAGATGTGACATCTCACTACCTTCTGTTTTGCTGTAAGTGCTTCTTTGCAGGCTGTACTATACAAATCCATTGTTTGTTTCAACTCTAACTTTAGCCTCCTCATTTCAGCTTCCACATCATCCTGTATGTTCCCAGAGAATACAATTTACAATCATCTGATATGTGATGATCAAATGGTGGTTTATAATATTACATACTTTAGAACTGAGTTTTGTCATTTTTTTTTTTTTTTTCAAAGTCAAAATGAGTTTTGTCAATATTAACATAAGAGATGTATCAAATAAGGTGGAAGTGCAGTATTTTTGCATATACTCAAGCATGTGTTGTACAATTGTAAAATACATGATAAGATGCTATAATGATACAAAATGTTCCAGAATTTGACGATCAAAATTGCATAATATTGCATAGGAGCACAAGTATGATGTGGGTGTAAATAAGTAGGATGGTAAGTGGTGCTTATACACATTAAGGAAATTATGTTCCTACCATATTTTGTGATGAACATGACGTCCTTCCACTGTCCACTGAGGTTGTTGAGAATTCATGCAGAGAGCTGATATCAGTCCACTTGGCTCCCAACCGGAGTGACCCAATGCTCTGATCTGAACTATTTGAAAGACGGGAACTTCTCGCTAAATCCATGGCATCATATTGGGAAGCAGTGCTTGGCCTGCCAGAGCTTACAAAGGATATATCAGTATCTGATTCTGAGAACTCGTCATTAAACTTTGCATGTAAGCCTCTTCCTCTAGCAAATGGTGACCTGTTTCCAACCATCGTGACAGGTCAGTCACTTTTACCAAACTACAGTGCATCTATATAGAATATTGAAGACAGAACCCAAGGCCTAAGTAGCCAAATAAAATTCTGGAGTATAATATCAGTACAATAATTTAGCTAAACATTTAACAAGAATCACCAACCAATGAGACTTGAAATATAAGAACTTCAATCGATCTCAACCTGCTATATCCAAGTTGACAAAGTAATATAATTTTGTTTTAGTTCATGATTTTATTTTAGTACTTACACGAATTTGATGTTAAAAGTACTTTCAATTCAAAAATTATCAGAGCAACAGGAAGTGGTTCTTGCTTTTGCTATCACCGAAAGCAAAATCATGATTTTCATTTTCCCTAACTGTGTCAAATTGCTGTGACTTACCTGACTGACTCGTCATCGGGCACATTACGAGGCCTGCGCTGTGTCCTTTCTGTTACTGATACAGATTTGACATATTTTCTCTTGTTAGTGAGCATCTAAGCAAGTCTAATCTAAACGACAAGGAAGGCATTATGATTACAAAAAACAAACCTCTAATGCTAATACTATGCTTCGAGCGTGAATCAATAGGACAAGTATTGTGAGTATACTGGTTAGCTTGGTTCTCTATTTGATCGTGAAGAGGGGAAGTGAATGGAGCTGTGCGAGAAGCATTTCGCACAGAAGAGATCTTTCCTTTGGAGATGACATAAACAGTACAGAAATCTGGCGCACCTTTTGATACATGGCTCGGAACATCTGACATCTTGAATCTTCTGAGGCAGAAAGTTGATGATACACAATTAGTCAAAGCACATACCGATAATGGATTTATAAGTATGTAAATTTAAAGTCTCAAGTGAGAAATTGAAGCAAAAAACAATGATATACATTATAATTTGAAAGAATGGCCTTAAAATAGAAAGAGATCAAATTATCCAAGAAAGGATGCTAACGCTACAAATGAACCAGCCCTTGTTCACCAACCATCATGCACAAATACTGATCTCATTAGAAAGTTTAACTTATTACCTATGGGTCTGTTTCATGAATTTTGTTAGCAGTAGATATTGAATTTCTTACAAGTTTATTATAGATATTTGTATCCTATTTAGTGCTAGTGTCTATAAACAAATGCAATTTTTACAACTCGGGTACTCTTCTTCGTGTTAGTCTACTTTGAGTTGGAACCTTCAAACTTCACCCCATTGCCTGTGCAAATGAAGCACGCTTAGATTCTATGTGCCTTCAAACAATTCTATTTAAATATATAATCAACTAAGATTTGACTCCATCTGACGCAAAATTTATTTTCATTGTGATGAGGGATAACTCTGTTTTTGTGTTCAGAAGTGATAACCATTTGTTCTCTTCACCTGTAGAATTAATTTTTACAATTTAATTGGGTGCACATGTCAGTATACCACGCATTTATTTCAGATAAACATAAAGATGGCATGGAACTTGCTTTAACTAACCCCTTTACATAAAAATAATATCAAATTGCAAAACCGAGCATTGATTTATCCAAATAACCGAAGAAAGAGGATTTTATGAAGGATACACCATATTTGAAATGTTGCACTGCTTTAAGTTCACTGAGAATGTAAATTGACATACCAGAAAAAAGGGAAAAAGCGTTTAGATTGTGAAATTTGATAAGTTTTCCCATCTTTTTTGTATTCATAACTATTTTTCATTTTTTTTTCATTGGCAAGAAATATAATCACACACCCACTTTTTGCCCCTACGGGGACTTGAACCCTCGACCTTCTACTTTAGAAGGAGAGGAGGTACCACTAGGCCACAAGGACCTTGGTCATTTATAACTATTTTCTGCAAACAATTTTTTCTAAGTTTGAACAATTTAGCTTCTTTTCTTGAATTATTGTTGTAGGTGATATGCCAAAACTTTTGCTACTATGGATGTTGGTGAGGAAAGTCAACATAAAAAGGGAGGAACTCACCTGATAAAGCCATGCCGTGACGAGGCACCAAGAATTAAGGTCTCAATTGCAGCATAAGAAACATATTCTGTTAATGCTTTTGCTATATCCGTATCTTCAAGTATGACATCAAGGCTTTGTATCTGTTACACAAATTTAAATATGTGAAAGCTATAAAGGGGAAATTCACTTTTGATTTTTTGGTTCGTTAAGTATTCACACACACATTTCACAAATTCACATGTTCATAACTTCATGCTATGAAATGCAAATCCTAACTTCTAATTGACGTTTCTGTCATGTGAGGCAAGATTTGATAAAATAGGTACTATAATGATTTGAAAAAATTTACAAAGGTCTTGACTAATATTTATTTCCAAGATGTCTGAATGGGGACCAGTTCAGCTTACTTATGGTACAATAACAAAGATACCCATATAAAGTTTCAAAAACTTACATCTTTACGGGTACAAAAGCAATGAAAGGTAAGAAACAAATCCTTGGTTTGTTTCTCAAGTTGTTGCTTATGTGCAGATGCAGCCCCATTGACATCAGAAACAGCAGCATGGTGCCCAGCTGCATCAACAAAATAAATACTTATCGCTGTTAGCTGCAATAATAAGAGGCGGCACAAATATAGAAACTCTGACAAATCAAAAAATTTCCATGTGCAGCTTATGTTTTAGATGTTTGAGATTAGTGTCATTTATCAGTTCTTAAATGTACTTAATGTTTGACATTGGCCTGTCAACTGCTTGCTATTGTTGTTGCAAATGTAAATGCTCAGTGTGCTACCATCGGCTGCCATCTTTCGTCCTTATGTATGCCTTTTTCTTTTTCCCTTTTATGTTACGATATGCAACGTGTTTTCCTGCAAAACCACTTATCTGCCAATACTTTTTACAAGATTTTCATTATGATGAACAAAGCCTTCGCCAAGATAGTTTTTTCAATCTTCAGTTTTGCAGCCATATATACATTTGAAGAAAATTTTGAGTATCTTATATTCAATTTAAGGGGAAAAAAGTATCGTTGTTATTGTTGTCATCATGAATCTTTTAATTCATTTAATTTGTTTATTTTTAAACCGAATATGGACTTCCATTCTTGGGTGTTTAATGCCATGTCCTTTTAGCTGGGACCCCTGAAGGCATTTTAGTCGGTAAAAAAATATTTGATTGCTGCATTCCTATGATTTAATATTTGATTTTTAGAATAAAATACTTTTATTTTATTTTTTTGCTTGCTATTTGTTTTTAGCTTTTCCTTTCCAAATGTCTTGGTGAACAAGATAGGACCAAGGCTGCCTACATTCTTCTCATCACTAGTTACTTCTCTTCCTAAACACCTCAATCGTGCCCATAATTAAGCAAGTTCAAATGGTCTCCCAACTATGGTTGCATAATGTATCGTTTAAGTGCCTTTCAATTATGCATCATCACCCAGAAAGCACAGAGATACAAGTAACTTCATGTAACAATAATGATCCAAAGAAATCGATCTGAAACTTGTTTATTCAGGATACACCATCACTAACGGCTTAAATTTTTAGAATAAATGATCGTTAACATGCTATTGGAGCCAAACTTTATCGTCACCTCATTCTTAAAATTAAAACATGTGGTGGACCAAAAGAAAAACCACACTTCGAGGTGATGTCTTAGAGGATATAAATACTTAAGTTACATCCCATATAACAGCTTAGCTTTTAAACTAGATTTTGATTACAAGTTGTTTTTAAATTAGAGGAATCAAAGCAATTGTGTGTGTCTTGATGGCCCGGTAAGGTTGCTCTGACCGAGAGGTCACGGGTTTAAAACCGGAAACATGTAACCCTCTTCAAAGCCCACAATGGCTAGAGTCTTGTGCACTTGGCTAACCCTTAAAGCAATTTTGTGTGCGTGTGTGTGAGAGAGAGAGAATGTATGTATGTATTACCAGATGAAGGTTTCTGAACAACATGGATGAGTATAACAGTTTGTCCTCTGGTGAGAAGGTTCTCAATGGCCCATTTGAGGGCATGCTGGCTGCCTTTGTCTCTGTCTATAGCAACTGCAACCAACCCATTTCTTCCCGCCTTCCTTTCTGTGTGACCAGGCTTCGGAAGCCACATGATCTCTCTCTTTTTCTCTCTCTATATATCTCTCTATATATATCTCTTTCGCCGCGATAACTAACAAATTAACACTACCCTTTTCCTATTTACAGGAGAAATTACCAGAGAAGCTCTACACAATTCTCTCCCTTGACCAGAAGTTTGATCTCTCTCCACATACAAATATTGAGTAATATATATCTGTATATATATAGAATGCATATTTCATGCCCCTTTCTCCTGGAAGTCGTTGGTTATTGTAATTTTTTGTATTCAAAGGCCCTCAGCCCTCACAACAAACAGTTTCTGGATGAAATTCTATTTACCATAAAAAGAAAAGTAAAGACCTGCACCCATAAATCTCTCTCTCTCTCTCCCTGCTTCAATTTTTGGTCAATTAACAAGAATAGAAGCTCAAAGTCTCTTTCATGTTATTTCCCTAATGCTTTATCTATGGTGTGTAAGAACATAATTATAGTGTCCCCTATTGCTATATGTTTTTTTTTATTTTAGGTTAAATTATCACGTCTTGCGTTTGAACAAATTACATGTGAACTGACTATTTAAAATTTATTACTTTGGCTTCCTATAAAATTTTAGCTCTTTGTTCAATAAAAACTCTTATTATTTCTTTCTCACAAACATTTTGACCAAATTTTATAACATGACAATTTTGTCCTTTCTTTATATAAAAATCTTGTTATTTTATTATATGAAAATTAGAACATTATTAACTTTTTATATTCAATGGGTCAGTGACCTAGCGATACCAGACCCTTGCTTTTCAAAGAAAGGTAAGAGGTTCAACCCTCAATGGAGGCATGTGTACGTAAATGTGTGAGTACACTAATTAGGAAAAAAAATAATAATAATAAGTTACTTTTTAATTGTCGACAAACAAATTTAAAAAAAGTCAAAATAATAAATATTGAAAGTCAGTATAATTTATTCACCTTCATTTTAATATGAGTTGGAAAATACTAAGATGTTTCTTTTTCATTATTATGGAAATTTTAAATATATTCTCATTAATCTAAGAAAATGATAGTAGTTTTGATGACATGTGATGTAACATTTTTATGAGTTTCAAAAACATTAGAATTTGTTTTTGGCTTTCATGTGAAAAGGAGGCATTATTTTTTTTTTTGTTTTAAAAGTTCAAGCAAACTGGTCATAAACACTCAAATACTATCTAGACTAGCCTACCTATTGGCAAGTAGAGGGGGCTTTACATTTCTTAATTGTACATTTACAATAATTCTATATATATATATATATATATATATATATATATATATATATATATATATATATATTAGATGTGTAGATATTTTAATGTTGAGCCCATAGGAAAACTTTATGCTTTGCCATTCAGAGTTTCTTTTAGCCTGAGGCCCTGAACAAAGGAAAGGCTTGTCTGATTATTGGGAAAATTTTCTGGGTGATTCTTGATAAAATTGAAAGAAGTAAATAAAAGGAAAAAATAAAGAACCATTTGTCTTTGGTTTGGTTTGGATCCTTGCTTGAAGACAAGACATTGGAGTTCTGCCAGAATTTCCAACCACCACCAACAAAAAACAAAGAAGTCAAGCAAAGTTGCACACTTCATTTATCAGTTGATATTGACCTAAAACACACACTACATCTTAGTTCTTACTAATATATATATTTTCTCAGGTGACAAAAACAGGTTGAATTTGGTGTTAGACATTTCTTAAGTACTTGATTTTGATGAGAAAAAAAATGAAAACAGTAAAATTTACATCATATTGTATCTACTTCACACTGGGGGAAGATAGAGAGGTGAACAGTCTAACTAAATATTTATATATATATATATATATATATATATAGATAGATAGATAGATATATATAATCTTAATTATTTAATTGCACTGTCAGTACAATGATTAAAAGAAAGGAGAAAGAAGGAAATACTTATCCTCAACCATTGTACTGTATAATAAACAAAACAGCAATTTCATTTTTACACCAGCAATATGAAAAATCAACCTCAATGCCTAAAAAGTAACAACCATCCACTTCTCCATATTTTTTTGATGTGCAGGAATTTATATAAAATCATCAACCCTTCACATCAACTTTAGCAGCATCTGGTTTGTCATTCTGATCAGTGCTGTCCTTCTCTTTTATGCCTTCAATCTTCTCTACAACCTCCTTCAACTCCAACCTTTTCTCCACATTCTCTTCACAGCAAGTCTTTCCAATCTTCAAAAGCTTTTTGATTTCTCCTTTAGCTTTCGAGCTGTCCCCCATCTTCTCATCAACGCTGTCTTCTTTTATCGAGCTGATCCAACTTGACAAGTTATCATCTGCTGCACCATCTTTACTTGTACCAACAGCAGCTTGTCCAAGGCATTTCGCGGCAGACTTACCTGTTATGATCTCTAATATCAAAATTCCTAGGCACCATGCGTCTGTCTTCCTGGTGACTCGGCCCTGTTGCACGTAGTCTGGTGACTTGTAAGCCACCAAGATTTGCTGGGCTTTCTCTAGGTTGATCATCGGCACCAGAGTGTAGTCCATCAACAGGGGCTCCAAGGAGTCATTTAGAAGCACATTGGAAGACTTGAGGTGACCATGGGGTAAACTAAGGGTAGGGAGCTCAGTGTGGAGGTAAGCCAAGGCCTTGGCTACTCCTTTCACAATCTTCAAGCGCGTTGGCCAATCAAGCTTCACCTGCTCCACATGACGGTTGCCTAAATAAACACAAATCAAAACAGCGGCTGCTATAAGTAATCATTCTATTTGGAGTGAATTTTCAAGCAGACATACAATTTATTTTTTTTAGTTCCACAAAAGGGATTTTGAATAGCATAAATAGAAAAATAAACCGGATATGTCCTAATTTTCAAAGAGTGTTCATCTCAGGTAACAATGGTCAAGATAAAAGCCTAGCTACAAGAATGTAACAGATTGAAGCTTTAAGCCTAGCAAAGACTAAACGGCGCAGACTTATTCCAGGTAACAAACTATATTGTTAGTTCCACAAAAGGGATAATTGAATAGCACAAATGGCACAAGAAACAGGATATGTATGTGAAGCCTAATTTTCAAAGAAAGAATGTCCATCTATCATTATAAGCCTAATTTGCTTTCCTAAACATTTGCTTAAAGAAGGATGCAACCAAAAAAAAAAAAAAAACTGTTTAAATTGAATTGAGTGCATACTTGCCTAAACTCTCACATTTTCAATGGTTTTAAAGCAAATTAGTACCATTAGTTAGGCCAAAGTTACATACCATGGAGCTGATTAGCCAAGCTGCGATTGTGAACATAGTCATATACCAACAGCTTCTCTTCTTTTCTGTAGTAGTATGCCACAAGAGGAAGCAAGTTGGGGTGCGTCAATCTCCCTAGCCTTCTCATATGCTCGTAAAACTCCTCTCTTTCAATGTCGTCCATTAACTTAAACCTCTTGACAACCATGGCTTTGCCGTTGTTGAGTAAAGCCTTGTAGGAAGATCCAAAGTTGCCGCTACCCAACACTTCTGCTGAGGCTTTCAGCAAGTCTTGCAGCTCAAACTTCTCACGGTCTTCCCTAACGAACGACAATTTCCCATTTTCACCTCTTCTTGAGCTCCTTGAGCTCCCAGACCTCTCGGGAGATACCTTCCCAAGTTCTGCATCAGTTGGATGGGGAGCTGGCACACTCCTCTGCTCATGTGGTGAAGCTGCAGCCTGCTTCTCTTTTTCTTTGTTTTTGCGCATATACATAACAACCACCACCGCAATTACTGCTATAACTATCACAACAACAATCACAATTATGATTGTTCCCATAGGAGACTTCTTGTTAGCAGCACCGGCAGCTTTGGAGGCGGCCGCTGCACCTCCGGCCTTTGAAGCATCAGCATCTTTGCCCTTAGAATCTTTGCTAGCATCTTTGCTGGCATCTTTGCTAGCATCTTTGGTCTTAGAAGCGTCGGCAGCAGGGGTTTTGGTGGCAGCAGGGGTGGCGGGAGTTTTGGTGGCAGCAGGAGGGGCAGGGGGTGATTTCGCAGCTTTGTTTCCTGCATTGTCATATATAAAAAAGAAACGTAAGATGCAGGATAATTAAGAAGAAGACATGATCAAAAAAGCAAGAAGGCAAAGCAAAAGTTTGATGAATTACCAGCAAATCCGGTCGGATCCATGTTGGCTAGACTTTCAGGGATTGGACCTTCTAATTGATTGTTAGATACATTTAGCTGTTTCAAATCTGGATCCTTGAAATCTGGTATTTGCCCTTCAAATTGGTTGTCCTCAAGCCTCAACTCTCCCAGCTTAGACAATGCTGCAAGCGACGAAGGAATGCCACCACTAAACTTGTTGCTTGCCAAATACACTTTCTTCAGATTTTCCATACCAGCAAATGCATCATCCGGAATCTCCCCAGAGAACTGATTATTCGACAAGAACAAGAACTTGAGATCCCCGAGTTTCTTGAAGTCAGGCAAGGGACCCTCAAACTTGTTGTTCATAAAGTCCAGAGTCCTCAATTGGCGCAAGGGAACAAGAGCATCCACATCAATTTTACCGCCTAGGTTCATGCTTTCGAACTGCAAAGTCAAGATGTTGTCCTTAGAGCAAACCACACCAGTCCAATTCGCGGTACATGGTTCAGTGGAGGGATCCCAACTGCTCAGAGCCTCATCAGCATTTGTCAGTGACTCCTTGAACTTCACGAGGGTGTCAGCGTCCGGTGATGCAAATGACACAATGAAGCATGATGAAAATGCTAAGAGTAGGAGGAGGTTAAGGATGAGCAATGGAGGCGTGTTTGGTGGTGCACGCATGATCCCACGCGTGCCCATTGCCTTCATTTTCACCAGCCACAATGTGTAGTAGTCCCCAGGAGATTGCAGGATCCTCCTCCTTGGAAGGATACTGAAGGCATGAGGTCTCCCTCTTTCTCTCTTTCTTTCTTCTTTTGTTTGAAATATTCCATGACAATGCATGAGAGAGAAAGAGAAGAGGGGAGGAGAGAGAGAGAGAGACAGGGAGGAGAGAGAGTGGGAGGAGGAATGGGGATTGAATGGGTTTGAAAAAATAATGCCAAGAATAGAATTAAGGCAGCAAGAAATAGATGTGGAGGTGAGAGATGCAAGGCTGACCTTTGAATTTTGGAGCTGACGGTACCTCTTCATATCTGGTGACGTTTCTCAACCGTTCACAGTAATCATCCATTTCTGTCCCTCCCATGCATAATACTATTGGATTTCTGTGTCTCAACATTACATATATATGCAAAATGACAAATAATTTGTAAATCAATTTTTTAATTTTAGGTTCAAATCCTATCCTATATCTGTCTTTTCCCTTTTTAGGAGGAAAACAAATTCAGTTGTCTTTATCCAAACTTCAGTTGTTCATTCTGTAACCTAAACCTTTTTTACTCATTCCTGTGTCTGCCAAAACACTCTTAACAATACCACTTGCTTCAAGATTTATCTTAATTAGAGCTTCAAGAAAATTCACATTTTAAATTCAGCTTCTCACACTCGAGGCCTTTTTTATTACTAGAAAAATTCACAGGAAGTTAGAATACTAGTAGCAGCTAATATTGCATGGAAGGCAAAGGAGGGGCACATAAATCCGTCAGGGTATCCTGTTTACCCAAATGGTGTCATTTCAATGCACAAGCATGGAGCACAACACAAGTCCTGTGTTATGGTTCTACGTGACCGGCGTTAAGCTCCATAATATGCACCAATACGACATTATTTCCACAGGAGAGACCCACACGAGAGGATCCGGGACCCGAATCCTCTTCAGTGGAATAGTAATTCATGTCCATCCAGTAAACATCCCAACCTTTTTGTAAAGTACATCCCAAACGGAACTTTTTGTAAAATGCATCCCAAACTGGATGGAACATGATTTAGTACTGTTGGATTTTCTTCCTAGACAGTGAGCCTTAGTTAAGGGAATAACTGTTTTTGGGCATTTAGGACGTTTTCCCTCGCATAATTTTAGCATATCTATCTTCATTTCTGTTAATTGGTAAAATAAGGACTGATATTGCCTACTAGTGTTTGACGAGCTCCAACTTAAAGCATTTGAAGGGAATAATTCAAAACTTGAGAATTTGGCAACCAAAAAAAATATGCTGAAAAGCTAAACTTCCACATAACTCTCTCTCAAATTTGAAATGGATTATAACAGTTGAAGGTATATTACAATGACGGTGCCTTGTATATAAATGATTGTATCAATTTCCCCTTTCAATTATGTTCTCATCATTAACTTCACCCAGCCACAATCTCTCATAACAAATATGTAGATGTTTAGGTGAGTGTCCTAATAAAACTAGCCTGTGTTCACGTAATATCTGGCTGTGTTACGCCACCTTGCCCAACGCCTGTGTTCATGGCGAAATGCCATTCAAGCGTTTCAGAATCTCCTCGACAAGTCTACTTCTAGGGATTTCCTCTTCCTTGCCGGCTTCAATGTTCTTCAATTTTACAACACCTTCATTCAGTTCACGTTCTCCAACAATTACCATCCAAGGGATCCTGGACTCTTTCGCACGATCAAAGTGTTTCGTAACTCTTTTATTGGCCATGTATTCCGCTTTCACTCTGACAGTCCACAATTCATTTACCATTTCTGAAGCGAGAGCTAGGTCATCCCCCAAAATAGAGACCAGGACTTGAGTCTCCGTAGCTCGTGTTGCCTATAAAAAAACAAGAAAAACACCAGTGCTCGTTCAAATACAAATATGGACAAGTTAAACAAATATGAAAAAGTTACTTCAAAATTTTTTAAATAAAAATCATTCAGAAAATTTAGGCTTAGAATAATATGGCAACCTTGGGAAGAATTGTGAGGACATATCTTTTAGTACAATTAGGGAGTGCGAGAAAAAAATGTATTGAAGGAAGATAAAGTATCTTGGCTAACAAAATTGTTTAATAAGATAAAACAGGTAAAAGAATGACTGAACAGTGGCACAAAAATATTATAGTATCTCTGTGTATATATATATACATGTATACACACACATATACATATAAAAGGAATATGCAAAGTCGTACTACAAGTTATAGTGGTATTAAGTTAAAGAGTCGTACTATGAAACCGGGGGAGAAAATGATTGAACAACTACTATGACGAGAAACTGAATTGTTGGAAATTAAATTTGGATTTTATGCCATGGAGGTCAACTACAGAGGTTATTTACTTATTGAGAACACTAATGAAAAATACAGAGGAAAAAAGATTTAGATATGGTATTTATTGGATTAGGAAGTCTATGGTAGGATACTTAAAAGATCTAATATGTACGATTTTAGAGAAAAAGTCACAAAGGCATATATTGACATGATAAAGGACATGCAATATGAAAATTTGACTATATTTCAAATGACCATGTATGTTATACACTGATGATATTGTTTAAATTGATGAAACTAGAGAACATATGGATACTAAATAGGAGGTTTAGAGGAGCTCAAAATTAAAAGAATTCAAGATACGTAGGAACAAAACAGAATATACGTGTAATACTAAATTTTCTACAGATATAAATAGTAATGTAATGAAATTTGAGGAATGAAGGAGAAATTGAAAATGAAGTTAACCATAGAGTCAGAGAAGGATGAGTTAAATAAAGGAGTGTGTTTGTATCCCTCTAAGATTGAAATGAAAGTCCTGTGAAACAACTGCTTAGAACAGACATTCTTTATGGACAAAATGTTGGGCAGCTAAGAACTAAATATATACACAAAATCAGTGTGGCGGAAACTGGGATAGATGTGTGTCAACACCATAGATAGAATTAATTATGAACACATTCATGAGATGTTGAAGAAAAATTGTAAGAAAATTGATTAAGATAGTTTGGACATGTGTAAAGAAGACTACTAAGTTCACCAGTAAGGAAGAGTGGCACGGTCCAAATTGAAAGTTATGCTAGAAAAAGGCAAAGACCAAAAAAAAAAGGGTAGTCAATAAGCAAGGATATGATAATATGTGGTTTGACGATAGCTATGGTTTTAAATAGAGTGCAATGAAAAAATAGGATTCGTGTAGATGACTCCAAGTAGTTGGAAAAGGGCTTTGAGGTTGTTGAATTCAGTATAGTTAATATTTCTTCTTTTTTCTTTTTTTCCTTTTCAGGCAAGAATACTTTAATTGGATATAGTTTGTAAACTAATACTTTCCTCATGCTTGACTTTCCTAGAAACCTCATGCAATTCATAAAATAAAATAAACATGTATAGTTTTTGTTATTTAACATTAGAGTAATATATTAGCATATATTATTTTGATTGATCAAATTAGGAGAGAGTACAAGGAACCACCTATAATTTGATGGTTTTGAGCACTAGCATTAAATATGCTTCATATATATATTTTAATATAAACCGCTCAAATAATGCAACAGATTGATTGAAGTAGATAAATATATTAATAAAATTCATAATTTTTGGCAAGCCTTATTAGATTTTTTTTTTTTTTTTGATAAATAATAATAAATTAAAAAGGGCGTTCAAAAGGGGAACGCGTCCCTTAAACATTAGAGGAACTGGGATCTAAGGCCCGAAAGAATCCAGAAAAGTAATTAAATCATCAGAAGAGGAACATGAACTCCTCTTCACATAACTAACGAGAGAGCAAATAATAACGAGTTTCAGTGTCGCCGTAGGCGACTCCTTCCCTTCAAACAGTTTGCTATTTCTCTCCTTCCAAACGCACCACCAGACACAATGTGGGACAGTTCTCCAAAAATCGCGTACACCCCTACTCACACGACATCCTCTCCAGGCATGAATCAAATCCTTAGTAGAACGTGGCATTACCCAACATATGCCAAACAATCCAAGAATAAGATTCCAACAATCGTGCACCACGGGGCAATGCATTAGGAGATGATCAACAGATTCCCCATCTTGCTTGCAGAGGCAACACCAATTAACAATACAATTTCCCCTCTTCCTCAAATTATCAATCGTCAGAATCTGACCCCAAACAGCTGTCCACACAAAGAATGCCACCCTTGTAGGTGCCGAAGAGTGCCATATGGTCTTCCAAGCCTTATTAGATTTAAGACCCATCAAGATCCAATCCTTTGTTGTTTTGCACAAATTGAAATTATTGCAACTACAATAGCTACTTAATACATTATGAAATATTAAGTGTGCCTAAAGTTAACTAATTTTGATGATTTTAGATATAACTCAATTTGGGATGTGGCACATTAAGTCCTTAAAATGGTGCACACCAATTACACAGATCCAGTTTTTCTTAGTTACAATTAATTCCTTTTAAAGTCTGCAAGAAATATTTTAGTATAACAAAATGAAAAACATGACAATTTCTGGATAAGAGAGTTCTGTATTTTATATTTTCTATATATATATATATATATATATATATGTATATATAATTTCATTTCAAGGTGCATAATTTTCCATCAAAGCAACTAAGAGACCATTGTAAAGTTTTATGTGTTTTGTGCAATATTGTTATCACATATCATCCCATATGCCATCTTCAAATATGTAGTTAAATGTTGCTTACAGAACAAAGCTAGGCCCTTGACTAATGCTTTTCTGACTTTTGCCACTTTGCAAACATCACTCTAACACTCTTCAACTGCCATTCTCAATTGTTACAATAGCAGTTTTTTGCAATTATTAGCAGCTCTCTCCAAACAAATTTAAATCTTCACTTCTTCATCCAATAAGAATTGTTCCCCCTTGGGTCTTCTACAACAACATCTACCATCCATTCTAGAAGCTTTAGAGCATTAGATGAGTTTGATTCACAGCTCTATCGGTAGTTCCTAGGTGAATTTCTTGCATATGTAACACAAATTCTAGTGTGACACAAAGGAAAAGAGTGTAGAAAGATGAAAGATTCATGCTGCATAATTTTACAATAAATAACATGTTGGGAAATCATAGGTGTTGAAATTGTACTTCTATATGCTTGTAATACAACCACATCCTGAACCTAGGAAATTGACAATTGTAAACTTAGAACAGCAGAGCTCATAGGTTAGAAAAGCTCTAAATAGATTAGAGCATAAGTGAATATACAGTGCCTTGTTTAAAAAAAATGACGTTAGATGCCCTTTTGATAATTTTACACGATGTGTATATATATATATATAACTGCAAACTGGTAGGCATTTAACATCTGGTGACAAAATTATAGTGTCACAGATCCATGTGCAATGCAAGAGCAAATGACGGGTGTATCTATATAGTTATATGTAGGGAGAGCGTTAGGTTATTGTAAATTGGAGCTGCACGTGCAAAGGGGATGAGGAATTGGTTGATCATCTCCTTCTTTATTGCCCCAGAGCTCAGGATGGTTGGGATATGCCGTGTGCCATTTTGGGGATTCAGTGGGTTATGCCAGCATCCATGTTCAACTTCATTGCTGCTTGGGGAGGTTGACAGGCGTGTCCCCAAGTCAGATACGTGGAGGACAGCCCCCTTTGCTTGTGGTGGGTATTTGGAAGGAGAGGAATAGGAGATCCTTTGATGGGGGCAGACTCCTTGGGGGGTGTTTAGATATTCCATTTTGAGTTCTTTATTCTTTTGGGCAGGGTTCTAATTGAAATCTTTGGAGATTCTTTTGTCTTTTGAGGATAGCTTGAGGCTATAGTTTTTCTGCAGTTGTTCTGTGCCGCACCGCGTTTGGTGCTCTTTAAAGAACTTATCAAAGAAAAACTATAGGAAGAGCGAGAGATGGAGGGAGACATGGAAGTGAAAAAAGAAGGCAAAGGTTCCAAAGTAGACTAAGGGTGTGGGAGATTTTAAAATTTTAAAAGTACCATTGATTTATCCTTATATTTACAAGGGAATAAATGACACAAGTATTTCAATGGATAACAAAAAGATATGGTGAGCCAATCGCCTCCCTGATGTCAGATTTGGCTTGGCTTTATATATGATTTAAAGTTTAAATTGGGTTGTAATTTTTTCTTGTTGTCTTGTTAATTACTACAGTACTGTTTACATAGACAAGCCTTGCATGAATTTTAAAACCAAAGCTCAAATGGGATTTTTAGTTTCAAATTTTAGTAGAGTTAAGACACACTTGTGCATAAGAAGACTGATATAGTATTTTCCTCACTGCAAAAAGGAGTATAGGTTCACTTTAGAATTAATCTGATAATGAGATGGAGAATTATATACAATGAAATACATCCTCTAAAACATTGTGCACTTGTCACCTGATTCTGGTCTTTGTGAAGCTGTTCCATTATGGTAAATACTCGTTCAATTCCTAAACTAACACCAATTGCAGGAACCTGCTTTGTACCAAACATCCCTATGAGGTTGTCATAACGTCCACCAGCAGCAATTGAACCAACCTGAGAGTATAGATGAGTCAGATTACTAAAAAAATGTATCATGGTTGACACAAGTGCATGTTCACACAGACACTGATGCACATAGAAAAAGGAAAGGTAGAATATATGGATTATCTTTATTACTTCTAGTAACCACGAAATCAAACAGGAAAAATAGAGGGCAACTCATCCTAACAGTTGACTGCACAAAAGGATTAGTTGGGCATGCCAACTCCAGGAAGAGGTTCAAAACATATATTATAGCAGCTATTAATTATCACTCATTGTAAAAGAGGAATGATGAATCACGAATCATGACTAGTTCTCTATCATGATAAGGTACAATAATAGGTACACTACTACATGCAACACACCAGTCCATGAACATAGATAATCAGTGGCAAGCTGGTAGGGTAAGAAAAATGGTTCTCAAGTTATCTGTTTAAATAAGCATAGCCTTCAGCCTTCAACTAGTGTGACGCATTAATTGATCATTTCAACTCAGATTCACGCATTAATTGTCACTCAGATTATGATTGATGTGAATATGACTATAAGAAGAGACATGGTAACAAAGCAAGTGGACAAATGCAGAAAAGAATTTAAACAGAGAATGTGATGCAAAAGCTAGGTGACATCTTATAAGATCTATTCATCACTATAATAGAAAGAGAACAAACGCTGATTTTTCAAATACCATAACAAATTTACAATCAAGATAGCTAAAAGGTTAAAAACTGCTTCATGGATGTGTTATAAGCAAGATAACAAACACAAATTGAAAATTTACCTGTGTAGCCCCTTTAAAAACAGCTTCATATATAACTCCAGTATAATAATCGAGCCCCCTGGCAAGACTTAAATCAAAAACCACTTTGTCAATACACTTCGACTTCTCCAGACATTTAAATAATATGTCCAAATCATTTAAAGCAGCAAGAGATACACTGTTTTCTAGAAACTTGCTGCCTTCCTGTTTAAGTTTAGATAATAATTCCACAGGGGACCCCCTTTCTTTCACATAAGTGCCAATTTTATCCGCTGTCTCACTAGATAAACCCTTCTCTTCCACCTATACAAAATGAGAGAAATTTTACAAGAGTTATATGCTCATTATTAGAACTCAACAAAGGAACTTATAACTGATAGTGACACATCTAAGCTTAAAGAAACAAACAATAAAAACACAATTAGTTCGAAAAACACTGTAATTCAGAAAAGTTCAAAGAATAAATTTCAGAGCAAAAAGGACATCTATTAAAAGACAATGAGAAAATTTCATTATCATCTACCCAATATATGTCTTAATTTCTACTTCTGATTCTGATTCTGATTTGTTTGTTTAATCAAAATATTAGAAAACAGTCCAAATATTATCCAATAATAAGGGATTATATGAAAAGAAACATCCAGAATTCAAGTTCAACAACAAAATGTCTTTGTGAGCAGAATGTTATGCTACCTACAATTGATATGAGATTGAAGATACCCAATATCATTGTGTGGATCACATTGTACATCTAGCTTGATAGTCATTAGGTTTCTGCACTGGAATCTAACATATTTACTTATAATGAAGGAGAAGCTTACATAACAAGAAGCTACCACATGGCATCACTATAAAAGAAGTCCTACTTCTAGACTTCCTGAGAGAGTTTTGAATGGAAACACTAAATTATTTGTCTTCTTCTCCTAAGTTTTATTTTCATCTGTTCTGAATCTATCTAACTGCAATCCAATTAAATGTCCTAATGAGGATAATTACGTCAAAATTGTTCTCGTTAACTCTAGTCTGCTTTAAACTAGTCAACTGTTTTAACAACTAATTGAGGTAATTTGATTCCTCCTTTTTTTTTTTTTTTTTTTTGGTTAATTAGTTAGCTAAGATATATACAAAAAAAAAAAAAAAAAGTGTAGACTTGTCAATAGAACATACATATATAAGAGACAAGGAAAAAAAATAAGAACCATATTAAAAATCTGAAAAACTAGTATAGTGTTTGTAATTCCAAAAGGCTTTAAAACAAAGGTGTTTGGTGAATCTTAGGACAATAGTCCAGATCCACCTAAAAGGACTATATTTGGGATGATAACAAAACAGTGAGATCTTTCTTTTCTAGAAGACTGGAAAAATATATTGTGGCTCTCTGTAAATAATATGATGTGCACATTCAGAGAGAGAGAGAGAGAGAGAAGTAGAATCAGGGGCGGTGGGGGGGCTAAGCTGCCTCTAACATTCCCTTTTGAAATCTGTAGCAAAAAGTAGAACATTAAAATCAACAGAAATATGTTTTTTCTTACCATTTCTTTCTTTATTTGCTCGAATGATTGCTTGTCTAGTTTGTCAATACTTGAACAAATAGTTCTGAATTTTTCAGCTGGCACTCCACATATATCTAACATTCCATCCAGTAACTTTCGATGATTCAATTTTACCTGCGAAAATATATAAGACATAGAAAAGATCAAGAAGGATATCACTACTCTGGAGAGCATTTCAATGAAATCCAAATGACAAATTGCAGGGAATTATATAACATGAACAGAGCTGTATTTACAAGTAACGACATAGTCCCTAATCCAAGTGCGCCTAACTTGCTTGACACCAAAATTTTTGGTATGAAGGAAAAAATTAAAAGCCATATATTATTTCTAAGCTATTCCCTTGATAAGCCAATATTACAATGATCTCCACTGTCATCCATACATTTATCAATATTCATGTTTTTGTATGTTACTTCTATATTAACAGTTGAATACTGCATCCAAATGGATAAAAGTCCCTTATGGATAGACCACATCTGAACATTGATATCAGAGAGGATAGGAGGTAAAATAAGGCCAAGAAGCTTGTTAGCTTGTGTAGCGGAATGAGAATCTATGTCTAATATCAAATAGTAATTGGACAGGCTTTCCTAGAGGCACTACAGTAAAGAGCAAGATCTGGAGAAAAAGTACCTCATAATCACCAATATTTAGCTCGTCCAGCAATTCAGTCAAAATCTTTATGACCTCGAAGTCTGGCCCCATTTTTTCATATTGACCGGCAATATCAAAGTCACATTGATAAAATTCGCGATATCTTCCTTTGGACGGGTTATCCCTTCTGTACACCTTGGCTATTTGATACCTTTTAAATGATGTGATACCATTCATAGCCACATATCGGGCAAATGGAACTGTCAAATCATACCGTAGTGAACAAAGTTCTCCACCCTATCAACAATTTAAACAAAAAAGTACAAAATAATTAGCAATTGTATACTAACTTCATTTTTTTCATTTAGAACAGTATCAAAGTAAATTTAAGTTTGGGTCTCATAACACAGTTTCAACATAAGTTAGAAAACTTTGCACTTTACGTTACTCTAGCAGTGTCAGAAAAGATTTTAGTACAGCACTATTGTCACACCCACTAACTTGGCCGAATCAAATCATGAAAGTTTATAGGTTTAATATTCAATATATGATAGTAGGTTTCTTTACAAACTCAAACATATACACGTAACACTGTATACACATTTATATATGATTATTGATGAATTAAAACCAAACAGAATAATATTCAACAATCTTTTTACATGAAACTCATGTTCAAAGATGGTATATTGCATGCCTGTAATCACATATAATGATCATTACCACAAAAACAAACGCATATACATACATCTTCATGGTCAATAAATTAACTAATCTACCTAAAATTTATACCAGAACATCCTAAACATTGCAGAAAAGTAAAATTATCAGTTACTATTAATCTCGAGTTGATATTGGTAGTCTTTTAATTCCTCCTCCTCCTTCAAGGTTGCAAACAAGAGTAGAATAATCCTAGAAAATGTCAAGACAACCTTATATAGCAAGTAGGGGCGCAACTTGGGCGGGCCAACCCGAACCCAACCCAATCCTAGTCCCATTTTTCACAGGCTTGGACAACTATTTCTACAATTTGGATTGGGCATGGCCTGAAAAATCTCAACTCAAACTTAATTAGGGTTGGGCTTAGATTGAGGTGTCAGCAACCCGAACCTGAACCTTAAGCTGACTTCTATATATTTACTGTTGTAAATATATTATATATACTTGTGATCATGGTTAGCCTTTTTTTTCTTTCAATTTCTTTTTCTTTAAATCTTGATTTATTGTATATTAATCCTTTGAAAAATGAATTTCTTAAGAATCTGTTTACAATATTTTATTCTTAAGAGGTGTTTGGAAGGTGTTAAGAGGTGTTTGGAGGTGGCCCCTCTTTCTTTATGGTGGGGCCTTTGGCGTGAAAGGAACAGGAGATCCTTTGAAGGGAAAGAGACACCAATTTGGGCTTTGAAATTCTTTATACTTGGATCCTTATTTTTTTGGATTCATGGTAGATTTTGTAAATCTGTGGAGGAGCTATTGGTTTTTGTGGATAGCTTGGTGATATAGTGCTTTTTGTATATGGGATACGCTCCTTGTTTGAGCGCTTTTCTATGATATCTTTACTTATCAAAAAAATATTATATATATTAAAATTCATGTTTTTGGATTTTTCATGCATAGAACCCGATTTTCAGCCCTGATATTATAACCCAAACTTAACAGGAATTAAAAATTTTAAATGTTAGTTGGGCTTAGGTTAGGAAGCTTGGGTTGAAGGTCGCGTTGGATTGGGCCTGGGCTGACCCGAGTAAGGATGCGTAGTAGTGTTCAAAGATAACTCTTTGACCTTTAGACTCACTTCGGACACTTGCCCTTCAGGCACTTGAACCCAATTGGATCACATGCATGTACTTCCAGACATGCTGAGCTCCACATATTCTTGTACGGTCAAAGGGGTTTTCTCTCCTCTTCCCAGCCAGCTTTCAAAGCACATGCTTGGGCGCATTAAGGGTCTGTTCCTATATGAATACGAATTCGAGGGCCCTTTGAGTGACAAGAAAAGTTAGAAACAAAGGTATCTTCGTTTTACTTTTTTATTTAGAAGGGGTTGAAAAGACCATTACAACTATCATGCCCACCTTTTTTATGTACAGAAGATACAAATCCATACTTCGAATAACATAATAAACCCTAATTCCAAGCTTTCCAAAGCAACTCCTAGCCTTATTAAACCACAAAAATATAGTCTATATACACATACACATGTACAAGTACACTATTATAGTGAATAATTAGGATAGAAGTATAGCCTCAACCAACTTTAATCAAAGCATTACATCTCCTTTACACAACTTGCAAAACATTACTTGGGAATGAGAGAAGATTAAGGGTAAACACCATCACTCTGACTGGGCAGGAAGTTTTGCAGTTTGGCTGCCATGTAACCATTCCTTAAGGGTATTTTGATCAGGTGCCTTTAGTTAGAAAGTCCATCCTACTAAAATTAGCAAGTTAGAAAGTCCTTTAGTTTTTATCTTGAAATTTAGGAAACTTAGAATTTGGGTAAAAACTCCGAAAGAAACAAAAATCATTGGACTGTCGGTTTTTTACCAATATTGAACCCATAATTCGTTGGAAAGGGGGGGTTATTTGTTGTTGTAGCATTGAACCTAGACTTCATGTTGTACACAATTTAGTAGGATGGGCTGAGTCTTATTTGATGTAAAATACTAAAATTCAATCTTTTTAAACTAAATAGTAAATACCATGAATGAAAAAACGGGTGTAAGAGCCATTCAAATAACTGCAGAAAAGTACTATGCATTTACATGCAACAAATAAGATACAACCATCTAAAATTACTCAAAATCATCTATTTAACAGCCCTTTATGTCATCTAATCACCCATGATACACACATTTGCATTTATTCATAGTCAACCAAATTGTTTTCCCATTATGCAAAACTGTTCTTGAACAACTTCAAATTCCCACTATTGTGAAACGATCCCGGTACTTCTATAAAATGCCAAGATTCATATATTTATCCTGAGCAAGACCCTTCACCTAACAACCATTGATGTAATGGTCTTTTTTTATTTTTCACTTTAAATTTGAAATAATCAATATCAGCATGAAGTATAAAAGGTGCATGGTATGCAGAAAGAAAACCAAAATCAACTTTTTGAAACGTAGGCTTATAGTACAAACCAAAGAAAAATGAAATACTATACTTGTGTACAAGGCAATTAAACAACTAACAGCAGCGAAAACTAGAGAGAAGGTTAAAAAGTTGAAAGAGAATGCTATAATTTGAAGTGACAAAGTAGATTAAAGGAATAAGAATGGTCTATACTATAAGCCCCGAAGGGCCTTACCAAGAAAAAAGGGCTTTCAATGAACTGTACAATCAAAACACATGGCAAAAGCACCCCACATTGCTAAATAGATCAAACTAATCAACAAGAAGCTAAAATATTAAAAGTATAACTTGTCAAAGGAAAATAATCAACATCTTTTTATGAATACAAATTCCTAACAGTGCTAACAAAAAATAAATAAATTCACTAGAACCATCATCCCATATTTTACCTGGTCAGCAAGATCATAAATTAACTTCGAGTCTTCCCCATATTTTCCCATAAGAGTCTCTCTCAATTCAAAGACAGGAGTATCCAGGGCTGTGGCACCATGCCTCTTGAAAACTTCCACAATAATTGAGAATGCTTTCTCTCTTATGGCCATTTGTTCTTTCGCAAAATCACGAGTACCCTGATATGCAAAAGGGGAAAAAAAAAAAAAAAAAAAAAAAAAAAAAAAATTATTTAAATGTAAAAACATCTATTGTGGAAGTAAGAAGAGAAGAGGGTCAATTCTGGAGCTACAAAACAGGGTGGAAATAACTACAAAGTTCAGTTACATCAGTAAACATGCCCCCAGAAATGTGTCACTTATTAATCTAGCCCCTGCGCTAGCCAAAACGTCAGTTTAGTCATTTGTGGCTACACAACCAAGACCACCTCCCTTGCCAAGTCAGTAATATCCCTCACTCTATGCCAACATAACCAAGCTCCTTGCTTACTTTCCTTGGCTTTCAAATAGATGTTGATGAATTGCCTTCAACAACAACATTTCTTGGGCCAAGAACTTTATCATGTCTAAACCAAAAGGGCACCAACTTCCTCTTCAACTACAACACCTTAAACCACAAGGACTATGTGAGAACTGAGATCTATTCTCTCAAAACACCTCAATTCCAATAACCACAGAAATGTGCACATGATAATTCTAAGCCATAATAATCTACACTTACCACGTCCTGCTTTAACATTTAAAAAAAAATTATAAAACAAGGAATGCTGAACCAAAAAAAATATTGGACCAGAAATAATGTGAGGTAGGCCTTCTGTACAGTTCGTGTTGTTTAGCTTAAAGGAAGCGTCAAGTTTAACCAAAAATCCGTATGACAACAAAGAAAATAAAATTATTAAAGTTCAAATGTACCGGCTTAAATCTGTATAATCCCAAAGCAAGTTCACACTCCCAAACCCAATAGCTAAAAGGCATATCTTGACTATAAAGGGCTTAGTTATATCAGCTTGTAAAACAGGAAAACTCTTTGGTCAGCTAAGTTTGTGAAGACAAGAAAAAAATTGTGAAATCAATCTGGATACGTTAATAAACTGGATTAGGATACAATCAAACAAAAGCATAATGCATATAATACAGGGAGTAACCAAAAGAAGAAAAATATATATATATATATATATTTATTCACACTGTGGGAGTATCATATACAGTTCATATTACAACATGAAAGCATGTGATCTAGGGACATGCCCGCTGAGAATGTCAACATGTGAGCTCAGACAAACTTAGTTTGAACTCTACACATAGTCGGAACTCCCAAACTCCCTATATCAGCTAGACCAGACAAAATGAACCGACATCAGACCAGGAGCTCAAACATAAGGAATGACATGTCTACAAGAAGAACTTCTCTATGATATTCCGTTTATGCCTAGAGTTCCTTCCTAAACGGAGTAAATCTAAGCAACAAGGGAACATGTAATAAGGGGATCAACATTTATTCAATTCTTTTACAAGGACCAAGATTTATTCATAATAGAATAAGAAATCAAATTCAGGCTCCATCCAGTTTGGGTGTAGAGTTCAACTTTAAGTCAACTGCTTAACATGATAGGATAGGTTCAACCCAGTTCAGTAATCACCGAGAATATCAAAATGTGATCTTCATCTGCTGTAGATAGGTCACCTATAAAATACCAATTCTAAAAGGCCATAATATGCAATCTTTGTAACTGGTACTTGAAACTCTGCTAAATCATTCTCGAAACTTCTGACCTAATCATCCAAAACCCTTCAGTCAAACTCTATGCCTGTATTCTTGTTTACAAAAGCACATGAATCAAAGATCATGAAGTTAATATGACAGTGGAGGAATTCGACCCTCCACATGCACCATGATTGTTTAAATAACTTTTAACTCCAACAAGACCACCAATCATCTATTTGATCCCCTGTTTAACCATATTACTCTGTAACTATACAAAAAGCATCAAGTTTAGTTCATTTCATGTAAACTAAGCTTGAGACATATGTTGACGGCTTCAGTTTAAGTTCTATTTATGTTGCATCTTACAAAAATAAAGCTGCATTTTTCAATGGAATGAAATAAATGCCTTTGAAACAATAAATTTACAAAAAATAAATAATTATATAAATCAACAAAGCATCTGGCATCCTCTGCTTGTTAAGTCAGATGCACATCTTGAAGAAAAGAAGAATAAATTGCCAACTAGATTAATACATATGATTATTAAACAACTTGCATTAAACATTTAATTATTGCATCAATGCTTTGTCAAAATGAATCGTAAATTATTCTCACTAATTTTAATAAATAAAGCATCTGGCATCCTCTGCTTCTTAAGTCAGATACACATCTTGAAGAAAAGAAGAATAAATTGCCAACTAGATTTACACATATGATTATTAAACAACTTGCATTAAACATTTAATTATTACATCAATGCTTTGTCAAAAGGAATCGTAAATTACTCTCACTAATTTTAGACAAAACGAGCAGACCCATGATAATCCTATAGAAAAGCATGCCAACAGAGGTCATAAATTAGGAGAAGGAGAACAGGATGGCAAATGTTTTCTCAAATTGGCACCATTTCAGATTAAATGTAACAAATGAGCAGCATATTTGCGAATATGATGCTTGATACCCAGTCATATTGGTATATGCCATTTTTTGTATTTATTTTACAGGATCTAAATGTTTTCTAATAACACTAGATAATTACCTGATTCTGATATTTATATTTTATGTTTTTGGAAGGCCAAGTGATGAATGTGTTTAACAAGATAAAAAAAATCATAAAACTTGAGGTACTTTATTACCTTCGGAATCTTGGGTAGTCTTCTACTTTCATTACTTTCCACAATCTCTTTTACTTTCTGGAATAGGCTATCAAAACCAGACTCCTTTGGGTCGAAAAATGAAAGAAATTCCTGACAGAGTTTCTCCAATAGAGCTGATGGGTCAACTGCCTCACCTACTCCATTCTGCAACCTATCCTTAAGAAACTGCATCAAAACTGTAGTCCCTTTCCCAAAAACCTTCTTTCTCTTTTCACTCTTCTTATCTACTTTTGCATTTTCGCCTTTCATATCCACCTTCGAAGGCACATTGCCTTGAAGAGATTTTATTAATTCACCACCTTCAAGTGACAGAAAGGCAATAGTTGCCTCCCACGAGACAATTTTCCTCACAGTTTCTAATAAACTATTAATCTCATGCAAAAACTTAATGTAGTCCTCTTCAAAAGCTGCGAAAATATCCCTCAAACTATTGAGACTTGGACATCCCTTGTTAAGCATTTCCATCACACTGGAACGCAAATCATCATTAGTCATCGCATCAACATTAAGTTTTGCACGGCACAAACTATTCTCACCCAATTTCCGAAGCGCCGCGGCCAACGGTAACAAATCTGTTGCCAAACTCTTGCCGGTCCCTCCACTCTTGGAGCCACCACCTTTGACAGCAGCAGAATTCAACTCAACCCGAGTAGTCGAGTGCACTAATCTTGCAATTTTCCTCAGACTTCCGTGAACCTCGGGAATTTCAGATACCGCGTCGGACTCGAGCTTGCCCGCCAATTTGGAACCATTGAGCAAAATCTTGAGATCACTAGCAACGCTGATTTCGTCCTTGGCGGAGAACCCATCACCAGAATCCATCAAATTAAAGGCAGACACGTCGGCCCTCGAGGCCTCACAAGACAATGCAGCCACTGCATCAGCAATCCCCAACAACGCCGACGATTGGTGATCCAGAAGCCCGCAAATTCCACCCAGAACAGCAGAAGATTTCTCCAGAACAGCGAGTTCTTCTTGGGTAACATCGAATGGAATGGTACGATCAAGAGTTGGGGTTTGCTGCGAATTGAGAGTTTCTAAAACAAAACGTGGAATGGTGTCGCGAATACCACCACCACCACCGGAGGTGGCGGAGAGGAGAAGGCGGTTCAGGAGAAGCAAGAGAGAAGCTCTGAGTTCTTGTGGGGATAGATAATTGGGTACTGAGAATTGAAACTCGAGAGACGGGTTACGATCAGCATTGTTGGAAAGCTTGTCGAAAATGGAAGGATCGATTCGTACCTGAGAGAGGCCATTGGCGACGGCGAAGACAGAGGCTGATGAGAGAGAAGAGCCTTTGCCGCCAATTGTTATGACAGAAACTTGGCGTGTCTCAGCCGCCATCAAGAAATGGGAATATGATCGCCCCTTCTCTTCTCTTCTCTGGTAGATGATGCGCAAAAGGGAATATGATTCTTCCACCTGCTTTACTCGTCTTTCTACTCGTTCTAAGAGACTGAGTCAGCTAGGGTTCGGCGATGCTTACTAAAATTTTACATTGACACACCCCTGAATTTTGCCTTTATTTGCAAACTTGAAAAATGATTGTTGCACGGAATTGTTGCAATGAATTGATAAAACTAAAAAATAATTTTTGCACGGAATTATTACACGGTACAGACAAGCTTAGAAAATGATTCTCGCACGAAATTAATAAAACTAAAAAATAAGTATTAAAAATTTTAAGAGTTGAATTTTAAACATTTAAATTTTTAAGTAGTAATTAAAAAATAAATATTTTTTAAAATTTTTAATACAATTTTACTCTATTTAAATTAGGTTATAAAAAGCATTAATTAAATAAATAAGGAAGTGGAGCCCTCTTCTTAGTTGCATACCAAGCCCTCTATTTAATTATATTTGGTATAAATAACTAATTAAAAATTATTTAGTTACTTAATTGTATACCAAGCCTTCCACTTAATTATATTTTGTATAAATAGTTAATTAAAAATTATTCGGTTAGACATGTGTGATCTGGCATAAAATTTAAGTGGTGAAAAGTCAAATTTGCCCTCAAATGATTTTTTTATTTCAAAAAAATTGGCATGACAAATGACCTAAATGCCCCATCTTAAAAAAAAAAAAAAAAAAAAACCTCCCTCCCCACCTGTCACCTTCTTCCCTTCTCTCTCCCCACCGTCATCACTCCCTCCATCACCCCATTTCCACCACTCCAGCCCCGCCCACGCCCACCCCCACCCCTCTCTCTCTCCAATGCCCATTTAGATCACTCAAAATTTTTTGTTTGCAGTTTGTCTAAATTTAATCTATTAATACATGTCACGTTCGTTGTGTATAAAATTAATAAAATACATATTAACTAACTGTAATGTTAGCAGTTTTGAAAGTTGAATTTAATTACAAGGAGTGCATTTTGTAACAAGTTGACAGTTAAAAGGTGTTTTAATACAATTTTGCTAAACTTTTTTCAGATTAATCTCACACAAGGACTCGATATCCCTTACTGCACAACAATGAATTATCAAGCACGTTTTTGGCTGATTGAAAGACAAAGAAAGGGATCACCCATCCCTATACATACCTCAACCCCTACCATGCCATTTTCTCTTTTAACAAATTATTTTTATATTTTTAAATAACAGAATGTGGTAATCTGCAATATATTTTTGGCTGATTTTTTTGAGTCATATAACGTGATCCTAATTTATTGTTCTTTATTAATATAATTATCATAGCCACTATAAATTTGTTCCTAAAATGATTATGCTTACACTAAGAGCTCGAACTTTCATTCTTGATACAATTATGTGAAACTCACATGATGCAAAAAATACTTCTTGATTGTTTTTAGTATAAAATAATATATAAATTTGAATATTAAAATTACACCTTTCTTAATAACTTAAACTTTTAAAATAAATAATGGTTAATACTTAATAGACACAATAAATATATTTATATTTACAAAATTGTTTTTCTGATTTTATATATAATAATACCATGAATGTAATCAGCGGCACTTAGGGCTAAATGGGACAATGCGAGTGCTCTTTTTGTTTCCCAAAACATTATACTTTCAATAAATCCTTGATATGTCTTAAAATTGCATTTGAATCTCGTTAACAAAATAATTACAAAACCTATCAGGTCCATCATGTCCCAATACCAAAAACAAATCTTTCAAATTTCCAACACATTTCATGACCGCGTCGAACATAAATGTAACTGATTGGAGGAAAAATGACGATAATTCGGTTATTCCACATAATCCAACCACTTCCCAATCTTTGAACTAATTCTACATAACATTAAGGCAAAGAACATTTCTTAAATTTCGTTAGACTTCACTATATAAATGGCTTCTTACTCCCAAAAAAAAAAACTCATAAATTACAAAACAAAGGTAATATAATATGCCTTTCATTTTGTATATGTTTCTAGTGTACACAATATACCAAAAGGAACAACTCAATAGTAGTCATAGTCATCCCCCCGACGAGAACCACTGAGATCCGACCGCTGAACTAACCGGACTAATGCCTCCACCACTTCAGACATGGGCGGCCTGAATTCCGGCTCCAGCTAAAACAAAAATATCAAGAAACAAGTTAGAATAATGGATCAAAATACCAAAAAACAACAAAGACGGGATTACATGTTTAAGAAATTGTGGATCAACCATCTTCTGGTCAGATTCAATCTACTTAGAATGGGTTGCAACAACCATGTAAAGCAAGATGCAAGCTAAAAGTTGGTTAACAGAGATCATATGCGCCTGTTCCGGTGCCTACGTGGCAAAAAAAAAATAAATAATGCAAAGCATAACAAGATTGCTAGACAATACAATTGCCAAGCAGAACAACTTCAGGCTGGATTAGAGCCTGCATGACATTTATTAGTATATCTATTGCATTGGCAGAATTGAAAAGCTTAGCTATGAGTGTTTCGTTATTTTTTTCTTTTATTTTTTTGTTTTTGTTTTTGTTTTTTGTTTTTTTTTTTTTTTTTTTTGGTTAATTTCACTCACAACCCTTCAAGTTTGGTCATATATCATATTGAAACATCTTTCGAAAATTAACATCAATCACAATACAAATTTTTGGTCCATTTTTCACTCACACCCAAAAGTTACTTTTCAGTGTTGTCAGAGCACTTTTTCATGTAAAATGACATTTTTACCCTTCTGACTTTTGTTTTAACTTATAAAAGGATTAACTTATATATAAAATGACTTAACTACCCATAGTACCCATGTTAAGTGACCAAAATACCCATTACTCTATCAAAACTACCCAATCTTCTTTTCTTACCACTCTCTCTGTCTCCACCCACCAGCATCACCAACTGCATTGTTAATTTGTTATGCCATTGATAAAGCTTGAAATAAAAAATAAAAAATAAAAAGTTTTATATGATTCTCATATTGTCCTTTTGCACAACAAAAATGGGTCTCATTCAGCCACCACAATCACCATCGCCACCATGCTCACACCAGTCACACACACACACGTATATACACACAATCACACACATACATAATCAGACCACATAAGAACACAAATTTAAATATAGAATCTAAAAATTGAATGAGTATGCAGAATTTAAATGGGTATGCAGAATTTTTCACAACATAAAAATCGAATTTGCACAATATATAATTCATACTAATAAAGGGTTAATTTCACTCACACCCCCTCAGGTTTGGCCATTTTTCACCCTCAAACATCTTTCGAAAATAACTATCAGTTAGGTCCATTCTTACTTTTGAAATATATAAATATTTCTGTATAATTGTGGAGCAAAATCTTCCACCAATCATGGTAATCAGGTCAATTTCCTTCTAATTATAAATATTTCTATATAACGGTGGAACAAAATCATCCACCAATTATGGTACCTCATTTGACTATTGTACACCTTCCATATATTCTTATCTTTACCATGTCTATATATAGGCTTCTTGTACTCTAGCAATATATAAAAATGTAGTAGTGGCTCTTTGTCCATGGATGTAGGTCTTAGTGCTGAATCATGTATATGCCTGTGTTTTCCAAATTTCTCTCTTCCCTTTTCCTATTTGCATTTCTTATTTCCGCATCCAATTTTAACATGGTATCAAAGTCAAGTTGTTCTTGTCATCCCATCTAGAATTTTAGGAGGAGTATTAGAACTATTATCATGGAGCATATTCTCTCTGTCTTCACTTTCCTTTCCTAACGTAGTTTCGGCTTTTCCCGGCGTTGTTCCGGCCATTTCCCGGCGTTGTTCCAACTTTTTCTCGGCTTAGTTCCGGCCACTTCCCGACTTAGTTCCGGCCTTTCCAAGCTTTGTTCTAGACACTTTTGCATTATCTTTCAAGGCGTTTCTTTAGCAAGTTGAGCATTCATGATATTCATGCTCCAACTTGAGGGGGAGTGTTAAAAGATATAAATATTTCTGTATAATTATGGAGCAAAATCCTTCACCAATCATAGTGATCTGGTCAATTTCCTTCCAATTATAAATATTTCTATATAACGGTAGAACAAAATCCTCCACCAATATGCCTCCTTTGACTATTATCACCTTCCATATATTTTTATCTTTACCATGCCTATACAGAGGCTCCTTGTACTCGAGCAATATATAGTTCTGAATAATAAAAATGTAGCCCTTAATGGCTCTTTGTCCATGGATGTAGGCCTTAGTGCTGAACCATATATATGCCTATGTTTTTTATTTTTCTCTCTTCCCTTTTCATATTTGCATTTCTTTTTTCCGCATCCAATGTTAACACTTACTTTTTCGTTACGGTTTTCGTTAAAAAATTGTAAAAAGACAATTTTACCCTTAATTTTTTTAATCTATTTTATTCCCAAATATCAGATTACATAAATGACTAATATACCCCTTATCATTACACCTACCTACCACCACAACTCACACACCCGCCACAGGAGAAGGGCTCGCAGGAAATGACGTCACCGACCTAGGTTCTTGCTTTCTGTTCGCAATCACAGTTTCTTGGTTTGCAATTGCAATTCCATCTGGTGGCTTCATCACCCTTGGACGCCTCACCCACCAGAATCGAGTACTACGACATTGTTACAGACCTTCCTGGACCTCGATTTCACAATTACAACCATGGCCTTCATTGTAACCCCACGGCCAACTCAATTTCTATTCAATCTCATCTCTCACCACCACCAAAATTTCACGACCACCCCAGATTCCGCCATGTCCCCAAATTTTACTAAACCCATATTAGAATTGAAGGACGGCGAGAGGATCACGTCGACACCATTGGTGGGAAAGAAGACAACGAACCAGAGGGCTATGACGCCTCCGTCCTCATCTCCTCCACTCCCATTAACAAGGTCGAGCGCGACACTGACATCAAGCTCTCCCTCCCTGGCGACGCCTTCAATGTCGTCATCCGCGCTAAGACTGCCCTTGAGCTCGCCTGCCCTACCATCGTCTCCTGCACCGACATCATCGCCGTCGCTACCCCGGAGCTCGTCACCATGATGGTTCGCCTGCCCCACCGTCGTCTCCTGCGCCTGCTCAACCGCTGTCTCCTAAGCCAAGATCCTCGCCGGTGTTGGTGGTGGTGTTGTCTCCTGCACCTGCTCCGCCGCTGTCTCCTGCGCTGAGATCCTCGCCGGTGTTGGTGGTGGTGTTGTGCTTGTGTGTGTATGTATATGTATATATATATAATTTGTAAATTTACAAAATTTTGAGGGATAATTTAGTCTTTTAATGTAATTCTTTAGGCTAAAGAGTTATTTTGACAAAAGCAAAAGGTATTTAAGTCATTTAACATTGGGTCAAAACTGTCCAACTAACGGTTGGGGTGTGAGTGAAAAACGGAGCAAAAGCTTGTAATGTGAGTGATAATTATTTTCAAAAGAGGTTTAAGGGTGCAAAATGGCCAAACCTAAGCGGGTGTGAGTGAATTAACCCTAAAATAAAAGGGTAAAAAAAAAAAAACTGAGGAGATCCATAGCTTCATGTCACAATTTAAAATTAATTTTGCCTTCTCCGTTATAGATATATTGGGTCAGTGGGTCACATAAGGGAATGGACATTAGACAGCCACAAAACCAGCAATCTCTAATTGTGTGTATAAGCTTGTATATGTACACATATATACATGGGTTGTGGAGAAGAGAGATGCGTGGTCAGTGGGTCTGTTGAGGGGTCTGAGACCTTGGAAGGGAAAGTGGGTGTTCAGAAGGTTAGGAGATGAAAGATAAGAGTGTGAATTTTACAGAAAGAAATAAATGGGGGCAATTTTGTTTTTTAAGTTTGTTGATATTTTGGATTAAAATGCATTAAAAAAAATAGGGGTAAAATTGTCTTTTCACATGCTTTTAATGGTGTTAGTAACGGAAAAGTAAAATTGGACCTAAGTGAAAGTGATTTTCAAAGGTATTCAATGTGATATTTGGCCAAACCTGAGGGGGTGTTAATGAAATTAACCCTTTAAAAAAACAAAAAAAAAAGGTACAAGAGGAAAAGGGTGGCGGCTTTCACCTGCACACAGAGAGCAATCACATCAGCAAATCGAGAAACTGACTTAGGAGGGTAGAGTCCACGCAAGGCAGGATCCACCATTTTTCCCAATGCATCAATGTCATGGAGCTGTGGGGTGGCCCATCGGACTAGAGATTGTTCTAATCTTGGCTTTGAACTAAACAGAAAAGAAGCAACCAAACCATTTCAGATATGGGGTCTGCATAGATCAGCATAGTAAAAATAAATTGAATCTATGAAACACACCTGTCGAAAGGCATTCGACCTGTCAACAGCTCCAACATGACCACCCCAAAACTGTAAATGTCACTCTTCATTGTAAAAGCTGAAGACTTTGTGCATTCTGGTGCATTGTACCCATTCCCCAGGTTTTGACTAGTGCGCTGACAGAGTCAATTAGAATAACAATAAGTGAAGAATTCCTATCAAAAAAGGGGGGAAATATCTGAAAGACGAACAAATAGACAATATAGAGGCACACTTGCACAGTGAAACACCGGAGTTGGTGTCAAATCTTGGCATTAAGAAGACAAATAATAAAAAGGATGCAAATGTGCAAAGACAACAAATGAGCAACACAACATCATGAAGTCAGAAAAATCGTAATGTATACTGTTATACACGCAATGTAACTTTAATATTTCATCTACCGGTATTATTGCCATACTTCACCTTCACATAACTTCAGCTTAAAATGTGACTCCAAGGCTGCCACCTCATGGAGGATGCCTTGGTGTAGGTGGAGTTGATGGGGAAAACATTTAGAGGAAAAATTCTTTCTACAGGGTTTTCAAAGAAGGCACGGTCCTGGGCATCATTAGAGGACTACCTGTTGTACCAAAATTCCACCCAAGGTTGCATTTTTGGATAGATGGCTATTATGGGACACATGTTGACCACCAGCAGCTTGTTGAAGATACAGATTGTGGTCAACTGGTTTTCCATGTGCAAGTGGCCGAGGGACGGAATTAACCTGCCATTTCCTGCTTCGCTATTTGTGGGCCACGTTACCTTACCTTTGATGTAAACTACGAAATGCTTAGATTGGTATGAGATAAGCTCACCATCTAGGGAGGTGGTAAAATGGGTACAAAAGTTACGACAATGTAGTAGGTGGTTCCACCATGTCTTCCAAATGCATTTGGTATGAGAGCAATAGGATGTCCTCCGCAGGAGAGGAATCACCTATTAGAAAAGGATTTTAAGTTCCCTCTTGTTCTTTGTTTCTTCTGTTCAATTCTGTAGTAGAATTTCTGAGATAGATGAAAGTACAGCCTTGTATAGCCTACTTGTGTATACAATGTGGTGACATGGCATGCACCTCCTTAGCTAGGTGCCACCCTCTCCCCCCCCCCCCCCCCCCAAAAAAAAAATGAAAGAAAAAAGAGAGACCACATTCTGATGAAACTAAACAAAATATTGATGGGCAGAGCGAGATCTGAAACACCAGATATACCAATAAGTTTCATACAAGGAAAGGACATCTTAGTGAGATTCAATTCATGAAAAAATCAGAACCTTAAAAAATGAAATAATTTATGAAATAAAAGTTAAAAAATCTGTTGCAAGACCATTACCAGTATCTAGTTATATATAAGAAGCCAAACTACAAGTCAAGCCAACCTCTTTTACATGCTTTTCTCATGACATAGAAGCAAGTTATTTAATGAGTGTACCATACCGGTTCCCATAAGTTGCGTAACATTGTTTTTTTTTTTCCTTTTTCTTTTCTCAAATTTACATAACATTGTTTAACAAATAAAATTATGACACAAGAATAATTGGGTACCATATAAGTCATCCACGTGGCAAAAGATGCAATGACAGTTTGGCCATATGAGTAAAAGGTTTAACTGCGCTTAGCAGCTTTATCTATCTATTATCAATAATAATCTGATATGCTGAATTTTGCCCCTTGAATTTCCTTTGGTCTAGACCATCCAGTTTCAGTGCACAAAATTGAAAATGAAAACATATATCTGAATGAGTTCTATGGGAAGGATATAAAAACATCTAGTAAAAAGTTAATCAAATTCACCTCAAAGTGAGTAGTGCAAAGGCACCTAGCCTACTTTTCAGGCTAGTCAGCAAGCGACATAAGCAATGTTAGACTAGGTAAGCTCCCATCCATTGAGAGAATGCCTAAGCACTAGAAATCACTGATAGATTATTAACGACTGAAACCACACAACTAAAAAGAAAATCCTCAATACCAAGTAGGAACTACTATGGGTCAGCTACACGAACCATAGATTCTGTCCATAATATCTTTACCAGTCAATTCATTTTTCAGTATCAAGACATGATTTTTTGGTCTATTTTTGTACCCTTTCACGCCTTTAACTTGATTCAAATCACTCTGTGGACTGTGCCAATGCATTCCCCGGTTTATTTGTTGAAGATGACCGCACAGTCCTAGACTACTCTTACTCATTTTAGTTTCAATAGGAACCCACCTCTAACTTCTCATGAATGCAATTTCATATGCCAGTCATTCATTTGAACATCCTCGTTTTGCCTACTCAGGAACACACTTTCTTTTCTATTGATAACAAAGTCAACTCCTTTACCTAAAACCCTAACCCACAAAGGGTGAGATTACATACAGCCTAGTGGGGCAGCTGCCTCACTCAACTTACTTTAATTTCATTTTGTATACTTGATTTACAATAATTATATAAAATTTTCAAAATTCTCATTATTTAGTTTGAATCAGTCTATCCTTTTTATCTCAAACTCCCTCTCAACTCTCTCTTGCCCTCCCTCAAGTAAATTCCTAGCCTTGTCATTGTACCTCACCATAATCCTCCCCACTCAGTACAGTGGAACGGCTGGCTGGCCCCTGACAAAGAGATTGTTTAATTTGTTTACAAGATTTGAAACCCTAATACCTTTGAGAAGCCCCAGCAACAACACCAACGGACCAACTTGTGCTGGTGGATAAACTCATTTTTTCCAGCAAGTTTCTTCAATGCATGAATTATAGTCATCCTATAACATTTTTCTATTATCTGGCATGCAGTCCACAATCGCAGTCCATTCACTAAGTACTATCTAGTATACTCTGTTGATTTGAATAAAAAGTTATTAACATACACTACAGAAGGAAATTGATTGAATAATATCATCAAAATATTTAATACGTTGTACGAAAACTGAAAGAAGGTATATGGAACTTAGAGAAAGTCTACATAAACCTCAAAATCAAGGACACTATTACCAAAGCACTACCCAAATTATACAAACCCAAACTAGATATTTCAGGTGAATTTTACTCTATCTAAAACCACAGCAATCGCTGAAACTTGTTAATATGTATACATATAAACATTATATGTAATTTATTAATACTAAAGTACCTGATGAAAGATCCCCATGCCACAGTCAGAGAGTCGAGGATTGAGTTCGTTGTCAAGCAATATATTTGCAGATTTGATATTCTTGTGAATAGAGGATGGACAACAAACCTCATGCAGGTACCTAGACATAAAAAATTTATTGAAAAAATCAGCATATTCACGAAGGTAAAATCAATTAAACTGAAAATCAAAATATTGACACATGCATGTAAACTAAGGATGCAACTTGGGTCAATGCAGACTAATGTTAGACAACACAACTAAACCTTAGGCCAAATCAGGAAGGGTTTTTCTTCATTTGGTAGGTCATATGTTTACCAATTTGAACTGAAATGCAAAGTGGGTCATGGGCTTCAACCAACGAATCAATAATAATATAGATATGTGCAATTTAAACTGTAATACATATAATTTATGAGACTGGAAGTAGGGCAGATTAGGTGGATCTGGTTGGAGGCAAGCCTAAAAAAAAAAACCTCTTGAGTAGACAAATCCAATTCAAGCTGCCAACCCCAAGCCTATTTTTCTTTATCAGGCTGACTCGAGTTATGATGAGTTCAGTCCTGGTAGATACTGGGTAGGCTAGGTAGATGGAAAATTACAAATTTAAAACTCCAGAAATCCAAACAAAACCATTGGGAAAACTCCACAAAACTTAAAATAGGTTGAAAAGGGTATTAGGAACCTAATAGTTCAATCAATAAAACTAAAAATTCCAAGAAAATGGATAAGGAAACACTGATATATGGATGACAAATACTGGTATCAGAAGGTATGTAACTGAAAACTGTTTGTTAGTTTCTACCGACACAATAAAAACACAAGACAGAATATTGCAAGCTGTTTTTCCATTCTTAAATATATTGTCACCACACATCAATCTATCTTATGTTATATGCATAAGGTTAGGTAACAGCTCAATGTCACAACCATATCTTAACTCAATTGAGGTCAAATTGAAACTTATCTCACAAACCTATACAAGTTACAGAAAGACTAGCCCAACCCTATCCGATGATTTTGTTGGACCTGGGTTTGCCCGAGTTAAACACTTCAACCTGTCAAAATACAGCCATAAACACGTGTATATTCCACACACAAAAATATGCAGCCATTGAGACATCACCAATAGTCTTAGCTCTCCATCTTGACACTTTTTTCCCTCTACCAGTAAGTGATGCAGGACGGATAGTGTTGTCAAATCAAGTTGGTGCGGGACCAGAATGAAAGCAGGGGATCAGAATGAGAAGATGAGATGAGGCAAGAAGGAGGAGGTGAGAAAACAGACGAAAGGGGAGAGAAAACAGATTGAAAGGATAGGCTAGAGAGACTGGGGGTTGAGAAAAGCAAGAATAATGAGAGAGAAGAAGACAAAGGGAATAGTTCTCAAACTCGCTTAAGTATTTCAATATTCAAATTACGTAGAAGCCTGTATATACACAAAATCTTAACCAAACCCTAAAATAATGGAGTACTAAAATATCCCTAAAATTAAAACATTACCAATATATATATATATATATATATATATATATATATAGTAGTTACATCAAATTCCTAATGTCACACCCCGAATCCCAAAGACCAGGAACGCGATAAAAACAAAGGATACAAGGAACCCGGACCCGACCTAGACTTGAAACCCTAATGTCAAACCTCAAATCTGGGTGAAAAAAATCCCACAAATTTTGACACATAATGGTCCACGTGACCTCCCGAATATCACTCTCAAACCCAGCGGAAGCACTTACACATACACCATCGCATAAGGGTCAACTTGACCCTAAGCATCCTCTCTCAAACACGTCATCAACAGACCTCACATTCCTCACATGGGCAGTGACCATGACCACTCAAGGAGGGATTGAACAATCCCCAAGCCGTTATCTCGTCATCTTTAAATCTAAATAGAAGCATGTGGACGAACATCATCACACAATGGTCAGTGTAACCCTAACCCTCACCCTCGCGATACTCCATCAATCAAAATCACATCCCTCACATGAACACCTTCAATTCCTACTCAAAGAGGACCTGGTTTAATAGAAAAGGGCAAAGAAATGAGAATGGAAATCCAGATTAATTATCCTTTATTCACAATCAAGCGGAAGTAAACACACGCATGACAACCCATGAGAGTTAGCAGGACCTCAAGCAACATCCATGAGATATACTTTAAACAACCTTCGATTCGAATCCAATTAAGACCATCCCTGACACAAAGAGAAAACGTCCACTCAAACATTGCAAAGCAAGAACCCGTTTGGCTTAAAATGAGAAGAATAAAAGAGGGAGGGAAATTAGAAGGAAAAAGAAAAGATGGATGAACCTTCAACCTCTCATAAATGCAAGCGATGCCCCTCACTTGCCAAACAAACCCTTAAAGAAAGAAGAGAAAAGAAAAATAATAATAATGTTGCACCAATGCAGCATTTCTTGCACCGGTACAAAAAAGTGACTGATTTTTCAGGAGAAAAAGTAAATTGTTGCACCGGTGAAACAGTTTTGCACTGGTGCAACCTAGGAGCTGGTTTTTTTTTTATTATTATTATTTTTTTTTATAGGAGGAACCAACTTGAGTACTTCTAAATGTTTAAAAACAGCCCAAAGCATGCTTATAAATAAAAGAAGACGTTTTGGGTTTTGGCTTACTCAAACAGAGAGCCAAGAGCTATTTATATACAAGAATAGGGTACAAAGAAAGGAAACCAAATCAAATAAAAACAAGAAATATGCCAAAATCTACGTAATCCCATGATTACGGGGATCTTATCTACGTGATCCCTTGATAATAGGGATCTTACATAAAATACCTAATAAAAGGCTGAAAACAGCTAATAAAAATAAAAATAATGGTAATACATATATTTCAACACTCCCCTCAAGCTGGAGTGAAGATATCAATCAAGCCCAGCAGCAGCTAAACCAAGCTCTGGGAGATGTGTTCACCAAATCCGTTGGTCCATCTTTGCTTCATTCCTCGATTACCAAGTTGGGCTTGATTGATATCTTTACTCCAACTTGAGGGGGAGTGTTAAAATATCTTTATTATTATTATTATTATTATTATTATTATTATTAGCTGTTTTTAGCATTTTATTATGTGTTTTAACTTTTATATAAGATACCTATAATCATGGGATCATGTAGATAAGATTCCCGTAATCATGGGATCACGTAGATTTTGGCATATTTCCTATTTTTCTTTGATTTGGTTTCCTTTCTTTGTACCATATTCTTGTATATAAATATAGCTCTTGGCTCTCAGTTTGAGTAAGCCAAAACCAAAAACTTCTTTTGTACTCACACCCGAACACGTGTTATGGCCCCGTATCTCTGCCCTCGCTTTACGAGCTACTAACCCAACGGTAATGACACCCACTTGGTTAAGTTTTGAAATTTTCAACCTTAGGGCTCCGGGCCCTTTTTATTTAACCCAATCCAATCCAAACCCAGCATAAACTTCCAAATTCAAATACTTGCCCATTATGAATTTCACACCAAACACATGCACCATGACCATTTCACCAAATGATATGTAACCCATGTATGTCAATTTCAATATAACATCATTCAATTACTCTTTTAAGTATAATATCCACCTTATTATCACCAACAATTCATTTTTAATGCATCTATTTCACTTAAGCATTTCATCAAGTATGTGAGGAGCATATGGCACATATATGTATATACTCAATTTCAATACAATAGTCTGAACTGAACATTTAATTAAACATAAGGGGGCATATGACATATATGTATCTCATTTATACTATCTCGCGGCATTCAACATCAACTAAGCCTACCTTAAGCATGTACAACACCCAACTACACACTAAGCATCATGATTCACACAAAATACATAAAATGATCATACCCATTTCAACAATATCATATATATATGTATAGCATCTTACACGATTCCCTAGAAGTTCTACACATGCTAAACAACAACAAATCACATAATCATGCTTGCAAACCATATATCAAATGAATTAATACATACCCTACCTCAAGAAGAGCAACACCAAGAAATCCCACCATACTCGAACACTCCAAAACGAAAATTTAAACTGTATATGCCATAGAGAATTCGAGGAGAACAATTCTGCCTCTTGTGGCTTCTCCAAATTCCAACTCTAAGTGCTCCAAATTGTAAAGAGAAGATATAGATCTAATGTGGGTTTGATATAGATAGATATATAGAGAGTGTAGGAGAAAATGAGTGCCCATAATACCTCTCTTACTATTTATAGTTAACCCATCTTCCCTCTATTTACAATTTTAAACCCAAACTTTTCATACTAATCACACCCTTGTGCCAAGCAACTTTAGAGGAATTGCCAAATGGCTCTCCCTCTTTTCACGCTTTTCACTAAGGCCCTTAATGCCTTTCAATTGTACTCCCGACCAATCACGAGTCCAAGACTTGCCTTGTGCCCACACACCCAAAACCCGAATGAACACCCGACAAGAAAGAACAAATCTTAACACACTCATCCCGTGATCCCATGACGAAACTCTTAAAAACTCTCTTAGATAAAGAAAAACAATCCCAGTCTTTGCCCCTTCTCCGAGAATAGAGGCAGAAGACGTGCAGCTCAAGCATACGAATCATAACTCATTCTCCATCACAAAGCCACCAAGGCAGAGGCAGACCAGTATCTCCATCTTGACACTCGCCCTCTATTATATACAAAAATTATGAATTAACAATAATCAAGCAAAAAAGAAAACGTTTTCACCAACATTAACCTCAAACATGGAACTGCGTGAAGCAGATTTTCAATATATCACATTTGCGACCAAGACAAATGGTTTCAAGCCCATCACTTTCTGAATCTGAAAATCACCAATATGAAGAAGTTCTAATAATATATACAACTATTAGATATCTTATGGTGTATGTACACCCTTTAAAATGACTAATTGCAGACATGAAATGACATGGATATCAGTGGGATATGAACTCCTACTATTGGACATGTATTTGTTTGACATGTCTAGTACTAGAAGAGCAGATCATATTCCAAATTTTAACTGCAGTACAACATCCCTAAATTATCTTTTACTATAGTAATAGAACATCAATAGGATATTTGTTACATTGATATTGTCAAGCAGTTGATGCTTATAGTGCAGCACATGCTTACTTATGTAGATAGTTTTCTCTATCCTATGGTATACAAGAAAAAATGGATAGAATCCTTGATAGTTGATACTTCACCTAGGCCCCTGGATTTCTAAGACCGGGAATTAGATAAATCCATTACCTAGATGCACACCAGAACCCAACACATGCAGTTGAGTCAATGTAAATAAGTAGATTAATTTATTCTCAAAGGCGACCACAACAAAGGCATTGTTTTATGATCCAAAAAGAGCGGCACAAAATTAACTTACTCAACAGCTCGGGCTGTGCCAAGAGCAATTAAGACTCTGGTATTCCAGGTAAGTGGTCTGCTGAATTCATCTGACAAGTGTAGGAATTCGTGAAGTGAACCATTCCTGAAATACTCGTATACTAACATGTTCTGTCCCTGTTCTGAACAATAACCTACAAGTTCAGCAATGTTTGGATGGCGAAGCTTGGAGATGTTTGCAATAATTTCCGTAAAATCTGCCCCTTGCCCACCTTGGAAAAGTGACGAGTCTATCTTCTTCACTGCTAAAACCTGATAAATGGTACAAATCTAATTACCAACAGTTACAAGCCACAAGATAATAACAAAATCAAAGTAACAGAAACTTCTAGAATTTCAATGCAACAAAGATAATAAGAGGCTGGAGAGCACTAATGAAATAAAGTAACCAACAGCTGCTAAATCACGTGAAGACAAAAATCTCACATTAAGAGAGAACTAAGAAAAAGTCGGCCAAACAAGTTGAAGTGACAGAGGACTCATTTGGATCATGAAAATGATGATGTGACAAATATTTGAAAATCCTGAAACTAATTTAACAAACATCTACCCAAATTAGGTTTATATGGATTATGGACCATAAAGGAGATAAAAATGAAATCTCTTTGAATCAAGTTTAAGCCTAATTTGACTTCGTCAGTTCATATCTAAAAGTGAATGATAATAATAATACTACAAAGCTCTACCCCATGATGTTTCTTTATCTTCAACGGCAATGATTGGTTAACAAAAGGAAGTGGTAAACATGCAAACAAGTAGATGAAGGATATACAAATATAAATTAAAAAATGGTCTTGAATCTGAATTGGAAATTTTTAAAAATAAAACAGTTTAGACAGGATATTATTTAGTTTAATGTGATGCAATGTTTGCAAAACCCATACATGCAAGATTTATGACATAAGAACTAAATAAACCATAATGAACAATAAATAGCTATAATACATCAACAATCAAATAACATCTTATTTAGAATCCCAATCACCAGATACGTAGACTGGACAGTTAAGGAAAATTTACGACTCCATTGGGAAGAATTGATTACACTGCTCAACCATTGTGCTACAACTTCCTGCTACCCCATGCCAAATTTTCAAAGCCACCTTTCCAAAAGAGTGTTTATCACTATATGATATGGAACTGATTTCTGGCTACCACTCTTCCTTTTGGTGCACAAATCTTGTCCGCTATGGTACTTAAAATTCTTCACGCTTTACAGCCCACAAAGATTTCTTATATGAAATATAGCACCATGAGGGTTGGTCCCAAAGATATGAAATATGCGTTATTTCAACCTACAAAAAATTCAAATGTAGCATCATTTTCATACAGATGGGTTCTCGTGAACTATCTTTAATTGGTTCCTAGAGTAATTTTCCCCTGGACAGAGCTCTGAGTGCAAGGCATAAATAACTAGAGGGAGAGTACCCATTCTACACCTTCATTACAGAACTAACTCCATGATGTTTAGTAGGTAAAAGTTAGCTATCATTTGAATCAGAAAAGTTTAGTTCTTAGTCCTAATCCGACAAATGAATGAATAGGCATCAGGAAAAGGAAACAACATATTAAAACTGAAGATAAGGGAAGAATATGTCTAATAGTTTGCATCATTTTTTTTTTTGATGAAGCATCAAACAGTAAACCAAATAGTAAAAGCTTTGAAAATTCTCAAAACATATAATGCTCCTAAACCTGCAATCAGCATATCATGATGTGAAAGTTTATCATACGGAAAATATACATATTGTACAAGTGATACATGGATTATGTAAGTAAAAAACAAGCAAGCAAAACATACTTTCCCATCAGCGTATTTGGCCCTATATACTCGTCCAATGGATCCTTCAGCAAGAAGGCGACCTGTTGCGAAGTTACCAGTGGCAGCCTGCAAATCTGCCAAAGAACAACTTGTAACACTGATGGAGCTGCTCCTTTTGATACTTGTATGGTTTACAAACTCATTATCATCGAAAGATTTGAGATGATCCAAAGGCAGAGGCTTAATATCAATTGAAGGAGATGTTTGCAAACCCTTTACAGGAATTGAAGACAAAGAGTCTGATGACTTGAGTTCTGTCACCGGTACAGCATCTAATCAGTTAAATTCTAATGTGAAGTTCACGCTAACAGAAAAACATAAAAGGGTACAAAATAAGAACAAAACAATTCAGGAAAAATCGATAAAGTAATCATAAGGCAATTTAAGACGGAAATGAATATGAAGTTTCCAGGTAACACATCAGTCTCAACCATATAAAGGATAGTCCACCTCTTGGAGAAGGCATAGGCAAAATCAGATACCAATCACAGCAGGGTTCTGAAAATACTAACAAGAAACATCATCTGCCAGAAAGTTTACCAATATCCTCCTCAGATAGGTCATAGGTGTTTATATTATAGCAACTCATTAATTAATTATATCCAGACTGTGCAGCAACAATTGCCAGAGAAAACAAAAGAGCTGCAAAATCCGTCAAAACTTTCACTACATAAACAATGGGCCAAAGGAATAGGCAGAATCAGGCACTAATCACTGCAGGATTATGGACTCAGTGGAGAAAGATGGTGTCCCTCTATAGCTATTGTACCACAGATGTGGACTGATGTTCATCATCTATCGTTTTAAAAAAATTATTAGCAAGTGACTCAGTAAAGGAATTTCAGTCTCCCATATCCATTGCAGAAGTACTTCAAACGAAAAAATAAAAATAAAAAAATAAAATAAAATAATAATGGCCCATTTCTACAAGTAGGCAGAAGCAAGACACTAATCACTGCAGGATTCTAGACCCATCCCCAAGAAGAAAAAAAGTAGTATTTACACAATCAGTGGTAGTAGTTCAATGATTATTCATACCCTTCCCCCAAAATAAGAAATACTTCCCATACCAGGTGTTAGAAATTAGAATATATACATTGCTTCTGAACAACTCCATAACCAATAAACTTAACAAAATCTTGTTCCAAGCATTTGGGTTGACTATGTTAATCCCATTTTGTCCCTAGGACAAAAACATCAGTTTAACCATGTGCTGTCTGCATTTGTTTGCAACCTCACTCCAAGTTAATGGTCTTCCTTGTTCCTAAGAAGACCCTTAAAGTAAGATCACATCACTTGAAAGTGGAACTAGTTTAGGGCTATCCTATTTATGATCACATATTTGAATTAATACAAGTTCTCAAACACAAAAGAAAGGGGGAAAAAACCTAGCAAGCAAAGGATTACCTTTGTAGTTCTTGGAGTCACTAGATAACTCCTGGGATGCAAGTGGTGTAAAGGGTCTACGTTGGCTAAGCTTCTCTTCATCAAGAAGATGTGAAGGAGAAGAAGAAGATCTTCTTGAGACTACAGCAATTATAATAATTGCAAGTACCACCAAAACAGCAACTACTATTCCAGCAATGGCTGCTCCACTTAAACCAGACTTCTTTTTCGATTCTGTACCAGTGTGAGAGCTTCTTTGACCAGGGGGAGAAGGAGGAGCTGGCCCAGATGACCAAGAATTTCCTCCAGTCCTTCAGAAAGAGAATTGCGAAGTCATGAAATAACTTAAGCAGCATAGCATTCTCAAGCAAGAACAGCTTAACAAAATACTCACTCAATGTTTTTTATGTCCTTTAAACTATTCGGAACCCAGCCTGTAAATTGGTTATTTGCAACATTCCTGCAAGCATTGCAAATAAATTTATTATGGAAGGTTGTTCAGATTCCTAATAACTACTTTGACAGACGCCAAACAGAAGTTTATGACTTCTTTACATTTTACAAGAGCGTGGGGAACATAAAAAGTTATGAACACCACAAGAAAAATAGTACATTAAGACCTTGTCAAAATTCCCCAAGATAACAGGCATGCTTAATATTGGGATTGTGATTGAAAACCCATTGAAGTACACATTATTAGGAACATCAAGAGTCACAAAAAGCATTTCCAACATTGAAAATTTTAGTTGGGCTATAACTTATATTCTTCTACAACATTCCAACAACATTGAAAATGGGGGTTGATTCTCTGCTCCTTCAGAATTTGCACACCCCAAAAACATATGTAAGGATGGCAACATGTCAAGTTATGAGAAAAGGATACTGACCTTCACCCATTCAATGTTGAGACTATTATTAATATGTTGCCTCTCCTTATAATGAATGCTTTTGTCAATAATTAATTTTTGATGGAAAATTTTATATCGGACATCCCTAAAACCTAGAAGATGGCTGACTTCAGAAAAGAAAATGAAACATTAGAATAGACACTTAAAATCTATCATAATGAATTTCCTAATTGTAGAATAACTTAAGTACAAATAATAGGGAAACGAAGTGCAAAATCATCCTCTAACCAAAAAATGTGTTATGCTTTTAAGTGATGTTTAAAGAACATAAAATTATAAATTTAGCAATTCAGGCAAGATCTCATGAATAAATTAATCATGCCTTAGTCATTTGACGAAGATTCCAAAACTAATGATCATAGTGATGGAGATGGCTTGCCATCCAACCTAAAAGTTTAAGTTGTTGGGTAGTGCTGCATACTCGCCCTTATAAGCCTAAGGCCCTCCCCTATCCCCCCAATAGCAGGAGGACCAAGTAACGATCCGGACACCACCCAACTGGCCCGGTGCCCTCATTACCATTTGTAATGGGTCGGGCACTTGCCATATGACCCAAAAGCGAGGTGGTGCTGCATACCCGCCCTTATGTGTCCAAGACCTTCCCCATCCGGATCAGATGTGGGACAAGAATCTCTAACAGCTGGGAACAACAGCAGAACCAACTACATGTTTGTGGAGGCCACAGTAGTGGCAAGAACTATGGCAATGGTTGTAGAGGTGACAATTTAGATGGTAATTACAATAGCATGTGTGTTGGCAGCCATAAGGATGACAGTATAACAAAGGGGGTGCTGGGGTGGGGAGGTGGCAATAGCAGTGATAGCAAGAAGAATTAGTAATAAAGAGAATAGTTGTGGAGCAGCTGTGCAGTTGCTGCATGGTGCAGGTAATCATTGTGACAATTGCAATGGAAGTTTCTTAGCAATTTCAGAAATTTCAGAGTTTCCACTTATGCAATGAAGAATGTGTTTCATGGGTCCTCATAAATTTTTGTGAAATAATAAAGACCAATCTTCTAAAGATTAGGGAGACCTAATAATGGAATATAAAATCTACAAAAATTCATTCTTGAGTAACTAATAGATTTTTTTTTTTTTTCTATTGTTAAAAAAGCATTATTGATAACAATACATTTTCATACAGCAAAACCCAAAAGCATTTATTTTTGTAAGTTATGAACTATGTTCATGCACTCTTTTAAATGTGTGAAGTACCTGTATTGGATACACACCACTTGGTTATGGGTATGGGGTGTATCCAACGTGTTTGGTTCAACATGCACCTCAAAAACATATCTGATAATTCAAAATTTTATATTGAACATGAAACTATCTTAAGTATTCCTTCTATCACACTATTAACATGTTGTACTGAAACACCATTTTACCTTAGAGAATAAAAGCAGGATACTGAATATATGAATAATTATTAGTGTTTCCCATATCATTGGGTTTGTAGATTTGCTAAACTCGATAAATAGATTATCGATGCTCATAAAATCTAATCTACACTTCCAAAGAGAAATTCACACCTAACTGTTTGATTCTCTGAAGACACCACAACTGCTCACTGTTGCACAAACATGACAGTTTTTACCAACAAACCACCTTTATCCCAATGACTATAGCGGCCACCTTCACCATCTTTAACACCACCGCTACCGCAAATTGCCACCGCTGATACTACCGCCTATGCACATAAGAAATTGTTGCTTCATCTTAAGCCTAAGGTAAAATAGAACGTAGTTCTTTAGAAGTCATTATTTTTGCCATGGGCAGACCTTGGAGAAGAAATGTGGGAAATTTCAGTAGTCTGGAAATAGTCAAACAGAAAAAATGTATGGAAACACATGCAACCGCTTGATTGAGCAAAAATCCACCGTAAACAAGTCTACAAAAATTAGTAAGATAAAGCCTTTTAAAAATTGTACTACCAGAAACTTTGTAGCAAATGAATTGTCAGTTGTCAGACAGATTTTGATGATCATTTCTTGATTATTTTTTTCTTCATTTGCAAATAAAAAGTAATGAACCACCTGAACTCCTACGGCTACAAGATATCAAACAAATCTGACACAGGAATTGAGAACTTGTCAATCACAATAAAGGGCCTAAAGGCAGACTGCAGAAACATACCCAATGCCTTAATTCCTTAATGACTTGACAACAACATAAATCTAATATTACATATGCCAGGGAAAACCCCATAAAATAAGTTCTTATATGTATATACGAATTGTTAGCAGATATGATAGCCACGATTTATGGAATGACTTACCATATTAGCGATTATGCTTTGATTTGATTTAGATTTGATTTATTTTCCTTTCTTGTAATATGAGTATAGTGCTCTTTTTATCTATAAATACTAGTGCTGTGAATGAATGATTTATTTCATTCAAACCTTTACACAATTCTCTCATTTTTCTTCTTGGTATCAAAGCCAGGGTGGTCCAACTGCAATGATGGCATTGCAAGTTCGGCACCACCCATTTGAAAATGGTCTAAGGTGACATTGCACATCCGGGAGGTGTCGGATAGGCAGGATGGTCCGACCTCAATAAGGACATTGCGAGTTTGGCACCACCCATTCAGAAATGGTCTGAGGAGACTTAGTTTTTTTTTTTTTTTTTTAATGGTTTGAGGAAACATTGTTTATTCTTTCATGTACTTTGTTGAAACATATGTATGAAGGGGAATGGTTTGAGGAGACATTGTTGATTCTTCCATCTACATGTTGTAAACAAGTGAAGGGGAATGGTCTGAGGAGACATTGTTGATTCTTCCATCCACATGTTTTAAACATGTGAAGGGAAATGGTCTGAGGAGACATTGTTGGTTGTTTACAGTCTGAGGAGACATTGTTGGTTGTTTACAATTTGAGGAGACATGATTGGTTGTTTATGGTATGAGGAGACATTGTTAATTGTTTATGGTCTGAGGAAACATTTTTGATTTGTTGATCGGCACTTTTAATCTAGTCAGATTTGCACTCTGCAACTTCTAGATTCTAAAGAAGGGTGCTAGCAAGACCGTGTTTGCAGATGCGTTGTCCAAGTTGGGCGTCTCAAATATCCACGCACCAACTTGAGGGGGAGTGTTACTAGATATGATAGCCACGATTTATGGAATGACTTACCATATTACCAGAGATTTGATTATGCTATAGAATATGCTTTGATTTGATTTAGATCTGATATATTTTCTTTTCTTGTAATATGAGCATAGTGCTCTTTTTATCTATAAATACCATAACTGTGAATGAGTGATTTATCTCACTCAAGCCTTTACACAATTCTCTATTGTTTCTTCTATATTGTATTTCTATTGGAATATATATTATACAAGGCTTTATTAGAATACCATGTCCAAGAAAAGGATTAAAACCACTTGTTAGTGTACTTACAAATTATCGAGAGGAAGGCTTGCAAGCACATTTATTTTACCAGTAAACTGATTGTTCTGCAAATACCTGAGCAAAGACATGAAGATCTGCTTAGGAAAAAAAAAAAACAGACATGAAGATATGTTAGAAGCAAGTAATTTATAGGTTCTAAAAGCAAATATAGTTTCTCCTTACAATGTGTTGAGGCTTGTGAGAGATTTAAAACTCTGAGGCAAATTGCCTGACAGTGTGTTGAAGGAGAGATCCCTGGATGTCATCTCAAGAGTTAGATAATAAAATTCAACCTTCTTCAAAATACGCATCTCTTGAATAATAACAAAAGAAAGTGAAAACAAGAGAAAGAAGATCATATAATGCTAATGACATCAGCACAACTCATATTGTCAATACTCTATCTCTATAATAGAAATCACAATGTAGGATAAAGTTTTCTCATTCTTATCAGTGTTTTTGTTTTATATATTTTTATTATTACTTTTTGGTACGTCATCTAATTGTGTCATGTTAATGATCACATTTCAAAACTTTCACAAACATCTAAGCATACAAAGACATGTCATTATCAGCAAACTCCAATCATGACTGAACAATATGTACAAAAAATAGATTAGGAATCCACAACCCAAAAATATTCAAATAAATAGGATTTAAGAAAAAATTGTTTCAAAACAGCTATTTGATCTTGTAACATCAAGTTGGTTGAAAGAACAAATGTGCGAACAAACAAAAAACATTATAATGAGAAGAGTAAGTATGTTTGGGTTTCTAATCAGGCAAAAAACTTTTACAGTGGCATTCAGTACCTATTATCCAACTCACATAGAATATTGCTGCAGACAAATATGACAGGGCAAATGATACAATTTTTAAAAAGAGTATATGCAGCTCACTGCTGAATGTTTTTTTCTATTCGATCTCCGATACTATTGATTTTATTGAAGTGTTGGTCCATCCAAGGTTCCCAAGATGATGAATTCTAATGGCAATGTCCTGGGATTGCCATTTGCCAGGCAAAATGTTCATTATTAATAGTTTCGAACTTTGAAATTTTTCTTGTTTATTGCGGATATTTTTTATGCCTTTTCTGTTTATATATCTGATGCTCACCTCTGCCCATCTGCTAGTTATGTTGCTGCTTATGTCTATACAGATCTAATGATAAAAACACCAGTTGTCTACTCATTCATTGTCATTTCTCTACTACTCTCTGGCAGACTTCCACTCATTGCAGGATTTTATTGGGAGATTCCAGTAGACATTGCTCCTTACCTGAGACCTCTTTCAGGGATCTTGGTTAGGGGAGAGACCAAGCCTTTGCTAAGGTGTGTCATATTGGCCATTATTTAGGTAGTCTGGACCAAAAATTAAAGAAAATAAAAAAAAAAGAATTTCAAAGTGTTTCACTTCCCTTTGGGTTTCAGCCTCTACTAATCTTAAATGTCTTCCCCTGGTTAAGATTTTGGATGATTGGACTGTGGTGAATGACACAAGCAAGAAGGAAAAAGTTGTCTAGCTTTGAATGAAGTCATTGCCTAAAGACAAAGTGAAGCACAACTTCAATGGTTGTTATAATGGTAACCAAGGGTATTCTGTAATTTGGGGTATATTCCCAAAATACAATTTCCTTATTTTCCATTTTAGCAGGAGTGACTTTCGCTATTAAGGCAAAGATCGTGCTCTTTTGGATGGTATAGTGAAAGCTTCTGCCTTTTTGATTGAGGGGAGCTTCAAGGTTGTGGTTGGGTTAGATTTGCCACCCTGGGCTCCTCTACCTATTGTCATCTTATGAAAGAGATCTTGGTCACATTTATCTTTAGTGGCTAAATTTGATGGATTCCTAGATCGGACAATGAAAATGCGGATGAGCTAGTCAAGTTTGAACTTGTCTTTATATCCCTTAATGACTTGTGAGACCTCTGCATTTCTTTAATTTCCTTTTACTTTCTTGTAAACTCTGTTTTGTTCTTCTTAAAATCTTGTTTCATATCAAAATTAAAAAATAAAAAAAAGAACTTGATGACTTAGAAGAATAGGCCTTGCTTATATTACACGTGGATTATTTTAGGAAAAAAAAATGACAATTAGATCAGACAGTTGTGAGCAATACCATTATTAACTGGTTGAAGTCAAGTTTACCCAAGCCAAGGAAAGATTATGCAACCAACGTGCCAAGAAGGTTCAGAAAGCATTACAAGAGAAGAGGAAACTAAATTTAATGGCCAATGTAGTTATTTGGAAAGATTAATATTCCAAGCTTGCCTGAGATATTAATCTTTTCGTTCCACTGCTGTTTCAAAAAAAAAAAAAATTCTCTTTGTAGTTTGATTTTGGGCTTTAGAGTGACCTACTATAACAGGTTAGGCGCTTGTCATCCAACCCAAAAGCTTCAGCTGTTCGGTAGAGCTGCCCACCCACCCTTATGTGCCCAATACCCTCCCCATCCAGATCCGATGTGGGACAAGAACCTCTAACATTCTCCCCTACCCGAACTTCCTGTCCCCCCAATGGTGGGAGGACCCAATAATGACCCGAACCCAGACACTCCTAATTGGGCCCTTGGCGTGACACTGGATCCAGGACTGGCCATACCACTTGTAATGGGCCGGGCGCTTGCCATCCGACCGAAAAGCTTAAGCTGTTAAATGGAGCTGCCACCCTCCCTTATACGCCCAAGACCCTCCCCATCTGGATCCGATGTGAGACAAGAACCTCTAGTACCTACCATAGTGAGCTCACCTAAGTATTTCTTTTGTTAGGTTTGGTGGGTTTAAAAGAAGGTGCAAATCATTAGTCTTACTGCATGACCAAGTTCCCAAGTCTTCGAGCTATAGTCTAAGTGATCTACAGAATGACAAGAAGCGAAAAACTTGCTCTTGAAGAAATTATACTTACAATTGAGACAATTTGGGAAGCTGTCCAAACATATCACTCAACTGTCCATTGAGCTGATTATGACCAAGATTTCTGCATCCATACACAAAATATTTATAAAAGCAAACCAACTGTTAAGAATCCAACAGATAACGAGCACCACTTACAGGTATTTAAGGCCTTTCATCTGTGAAATTGAGTAAGGCACATTACCAGTGAAGTCATTGTTTGAAAGATCTCTGCACAACAAGCTCATATTATGATACGGTCATTCTTCTGAAATCAGGTTATAGAATAATTTAAAAACACTAAAATTGCAAAACCTACATATGGTACCACTACAACAATAAGATTCATTTGATGATGGATCATACCAATAGGTGCAGAAGCTACTGAGATTTGGTCTCCATAATGTGAGGTGTTGAGACTAGGAAGGGTGGATAGGGTATACAACTAGCCTTTTGAAACTGCAGTCTCAGGCTTCACAGCCTGAGCTATTACAATTGCACCAAGCAATGGACCCTTCTAACTGATATATGTGTCATACCAAATCCAATTACGAAAAGTGATAAATATAAAGACAACCTGACATGTAGATGCTATGCAGGATATAAATAATCATTGGTAGTGTCATAAATGTATTATGACTCGTGTAATATATATATAGAAATGGTAAAATTACGAAACATTATTTGTTCAATATGAAAATGTGAAATGTTTTTCTGCTGACTTACATGTTAGTAGCGTTAGGAGGAAGTTGATACGGTATATCACCCTTGAGGTTGTTTTTGCTTAGATCACTGTACTATGAAAGACAAATGCATCACTTTGGGTTGAACTTCTTTCAGCAAAATAAGAATAATAGTAATAATGATATTAATGATGATGAATATTTGATAACGATGATCAAACACAAAAAAGTTCCTAATTTCCTATGCTCAAAATCTGGGCCTTACAAGGAGGAGACAGATGTCAGGCTTGAAAGTTGGTAACCCATTGATCCAGTGAGTCCAAGGCCAGATAATTTACTGCAAAGCACATATAAGAAATGAAGCACGTATCAAAAGATTTGGACAAATCCTCTATACTTCATGAAGTGGAAGCCTTCAACTCTACGACGTACATGTATAACATATTAAAATACACACATAAATATGTTGAACCTTTAAAAAGAAATAAATTATATATATATATATCAATACATTTCAGTTACAGATGAGCCTGAGCATTTGATTCCTTTCCATGAACTGCCACAAGGGTCACCTCCGCTTGATTTCCAACCATCCAGTTGAGAAGGAGAATTCAAGCTACTATACATGACATTCAGAGCAGAAACTGCATAAATTATTACCAAACATCAGAATTTTGAAATGTAACGACAGGTTCGATATAATATGACCACTTATCGCTTTCATGGAGAGCATAATTTCACAGAGATTGGGAGAAGAAAGAGAAGGCCTTGCAACTTTCTCCATGAACAAAGATTCTGGAAGTGTTAACTCCACGAAGCTTTGTCTTGCTTAATGATTTGACATTCCAGAACTAAGACTAGATGTGTGGTTCAGAATTCAACAATATTCAACACTTCTAATCTTGTCTGGGATGTGCCTTAACTCGTCTCTTAGTGCCAAAAAAAAAAATCTATATATATATATATATAAATTTGATTTCTCCAGTTTCATATTTCTGTAAGAAAGTTCATCTCAAAGACCTATCTAAGAATCTTGGATTTAATTATAAACCTCCCCATCACAAGATAAATGTGGATGGACACTGTAGAAAACTGGACTTGGTGGCCTGTGGATACATTCTTAGGAATGCAACTGACTCTTTTCTTGGTGCTTTTGCAAACTTTTATGGCTAGTTCGAACACAAAAAAACTAATGCGGTTATTCCTTGTCAGGACCCGCCTCACATTGTGCCTTATAAGTGCCAGCAACTTATCCCACCAGGTGATGTCCACTTTGCACTCTCTTGGCACACAGTTTTAGAACGTGTATACACAAAGTAGGAGGTATCCCCCTTATAAGTGCCAGCAACTTTTCCCCCAGGCAATGTGGGACGTCACATTCCTGTTTCTTAGTGTTGTTCTTGTTGCTTCTAGAAAAAAACAATAACACCATATCAACTATGAGATATCAAGTCTCAGAAGAATGCAAGTTCCTTACCATTGGTTTATCTTACTCCAAACATACAAAACTGGAAGCTGCGTTTTCTCAAATATGGAGGATGATTTGAATCTTTTTAATCAGGTTTTGGGTTGAGTTTGAATCTTTATCTACCTTTATTTTAAGTTAACAGACTATTGATTAAATTTATTTGTACGATTAAGTTTTTAGGAGTCAAAATAGTTTAGTAACTTGTAGATTTGCTAAGAATGGTCTGTAGTAGTCCAAAGGTCGTATTTGGGGCCAAGCAATGCAATTGGTCTTCATATGGAGTCTTTAGCTGGTCTAGAATAGTCTCTCTCTCTTGGACCCTTAGTAATCAAAGGATCTAAGTTCATGCATTGAACCACAGTCCAAGTAAAAGTAGAATAAATCCATTATTGTATAAAAGTTGTGTAATCTTTCTATTCATTTTATCATTCCTGGTGCTTACTGTTAACAGGTACTATCCAGATAATTTTTATCCTTTTATGTGACGTAGCTTAAGCTCAATCATTAAAAGGATGAAGCGTAAGATCCATTATACTCTGAGATGATTATTTTTTCTCCCTCTTCTTCAACCAGATATGCTTTAACCTCCTTTTACGCTTAAAATCTTATTTCACAAGCCCAAACCTTTTCGTTCCTCAATCATTCATCCATAGGGCACAAAAGGACCAAATTCCTGGTGCTTACTGTTAACAGGTACTATCCAAAAACACCCTGAACAACTACATCAATTTTTTTTTGTCTAAACAGAACCTCAAACCATTAACCATTTCTTATACTCTTCAGAAGTCCTAGAATCCTATAACTGCACAATCCTTTTAGCCACTAAAACCAATGATAATCAGTACCATACACGCGCGTGCGTGCACAAAAAAAAAAAAAACTCTCTTTACAGATATACTACATCAATTGCAGCCAATAACATTAACCAGTAGGATTTATTTTCTCCACTCATGTCCTTTGTGAAGACTTCTGTCTTGTCATTCATTCTATACAGTAACATCCATCTGTGGTATAAAACTGGGAGAGAAGGGGTTTGGCGACAAGCTCTAGGGGCTAAAAACATATGAATGAGGTATGAGATTGTTGAGCCAGCGAAGTAACGAAATCATCAAAGTGATTGCCTTGACAATTCCAAAAAGTTCCCTAAGCCTCAGTATGACTACTTTAATGAGCTTGTTGAGGATTGCAATAACTACCTCTAAATGAGTTCCTGCAACAAGGTTTATGACATTTGTGCGTCTTCTAATTTTTAGCCCACTTCAAAAGCTTCAAAGCTATATTGTGAGGCTGAAGTTTAAGCCTATATCGCAAGTATATCACCTTATCTAAGTTCCAAACTTTGTTCCTGAGAAGGCTGCTGCTAAACACTGTCGCACCAGGATCCCATTAGAGCATCAATTCTTATTTAGTTTTTCTGAATTCTGCAAGAGAAGGTGGTCAGGTGGGTAAAAATTTCTGATGGCTTATCTTACTTATCAAAAATAAAAAAATTCTGATGGCTTAGATTACTATCAGAAGATAGTGACACCATAACTATCTTGGAACTAAACGTCGAGGCATGGGAAATTGGTCATTTTTTTTCTTTCTTCAAACAAAACCTTTCACCTCCAATTTTCTATATTATTATGCGTTTGTTGAATTTTGGTGATTCCACGACAAACAAAGACATCATTTGTATCGGGACTGAATTGGCAATTACTCAATGTTGGTCTTGCTAACTGAGGGTGCTAGGGGAAGAATTGGTAATAAACCTAAGGTTTAGCATTTTCTACACAAAGTAGTTATCCTCAAAAAATCAAATCATTTTTCTTAGGCTTGACAACCCAGACTTTTACCACTGTAGCAAGCACTGCACACTTATATGGATAGTGGACATTATATCAATTTCCAAGTCTAACACTGATATACATGTCCATTCTATTACGACCACCTTCACTATTTGCATTAGTAAGATTGTAACAGAGATAAATAAATCATAATTTTGACAAAATAATCAAATATTCATGGATGATGCAACTAGTTACAGAACCCCGTTTGGGGTAGCTTATATAGTCTGTAGGTTGTGTTTAAACTCCCCGGTGCGGGTATCATAAGGGATTAGTCCCGGTGGGGATTTACCCTCCATTGTCCCTGCACTCCTTCCACATGAGAGCAAATAAACAAACAATATATAGCAATGTTACAGCCCAAGTAATTAATTTAAAATAACAAGCAAAATAAAAAAAGAATTAACATGTTAGGATACCACAGGAGAGAGAGAGTACCATCAGATGAATCTGTTTTGGAGTGGACCAAAGTAATGGTGATAGTGAAGACAATGAGAGAGAGAACAATACAGGGCCCTCTAAATTGAATATAAGGGACCATCTTCAGAACAAAAACAAAAAATAAAAATAAAAAAATAAAATGGTCTATCGAAGAAATGGAGGACAGAACTACAGCTACTCATCTAAAGTTACGAGAATCAATCAGAACTCCAACAATGATAACGGTGGTGATGAGGAGGAGGAAGAAGAGGATGGGCAAAACAAGTTGGTAACGCCGTCGTCATGCATAAAAACGATGAATGAAGAACCAACGAACAAACAAAATGAGAGCCAAACAAAAGCCAATTCTCTTTGCTATTCGTTTTCCAATATCGTTGCTGACAAAGGGGAAAAAAAAATTAAAAAAAAATGTTTGAACAGTTTGCTATTTTTAGAGGTTGAGAAGTGTTTTTGTATTACCGATTTCCATTTGGTGAAATAGCCGCTGAATTAAATTAGGGAAATGTCTGAATTTGAAGCAGTTGGAGAGGAGAGCGGCATTGGTGGGAGTCTACAAGCGACAGGTACGCCTCAAATGTGGGAGAGCCTCTCACTGTTTCTCTTTCTAGAGAGAGAAGATAGAGCATATGCACCGGCATCAATATTCTCCTCTCCTCTTCTGTTTTTATTATTTTTATGTTTAATGAAATAACAAAATAGGAAAATGTTCATTATTTTGAGAGTGGAGCAATCATTAATTTAATAATTGGCACTCATTTTATATATAAAAAAAAAAAAATACAGTATGTATTATTTTTCTTTCTAGCCACATTTTTCTTTCTAGCCATTTAATAAGCTAAATTCAAGTACTGAATTCTCACGCTCGGGTATTTTGCCTTTATTTTTTCTCTCGTTGTATGTTCTCCTCACTGTTAATGGCTTGAATGGCTTGAAGTTTAAAAATTGTGGGGACCAAAAATAAGGGAATAGAAGAATATGGGAATGCCATTTAAACACACATTACCCGAAAAAAGCCAAATGCAGACATTTTGTTATGCTTTTATTGGTGCATTGGATGAAAATTTTGAAGAAAAATAATTGAAAAAGATGTTCACAAGGAAAGGCAAAAGTCTTTCACATTTGGGAGTATATTATTTGGTTGAAAATTGAATAAAAAAAGGAAAAATATAATGCAAGACATCAGTTATCAACATTGAACTTACATATAAAGAAATAATTGTGTTTCTTGACATATATACAAGGAAAAAACAATAATAAAGTCATTTCCCACTTTTATGCCCTAGTTTTAGGGGGAAAAAAGAAAAAGAAGAGAAATTCCATCTTCTCCAAGGAAGCAGATTAGTCTTGACATCCCTACAAAGATACAAATGCAGTAATGTGTACATCAAACCATCCAGCAAACAGGTAAAATTTCGAGTGTGTGGTTATGATACTGCAGCAGCATTCATCGATGCAATTCGCAACATGGTACAGTTACTAACATTCAGAAACTCGCTTGCAATGTTACAACAAACTCGTGTCTAAACTTGCCTGCTTTGGCTTGATGAAGCACCACGCTTGGTGAACTTGCTCAAAATGTATGCCATGGCAAGCTTTCCACCCAAGTTAGAGTGACCACGAGACACGCAGATTACACCCCCAAGGAGAATCAGCACATTGGCTATCAATTTATTTGAAGGCCTTGAGGATTTTTTCGTAATGCCATCGTGAGCAATTTGGCGGGGGGTGGGAGTAGCACTCACTGCAGCTGTTTCCAGATTAGCTCTTCCGATTGTTTTGTTTATTGGATCTAATTCAGGCGGTACCTACATGAAAAATAAACATCCATGAACAGAATAGTATTCTACAAAAACAATCCATCAATGGTATTGGTAGTCCTATTATCAGGCTGTGAATTATAATCAATGTCCTAAAAACCAAACAACTACTTATTTGGCCAGGAAGGCAAATTGGTTAACCCCGGTTTGACCGATGGGTCAGTTTGTAAAGAGAACTCTTTTAAACGCTGCATAAAGGTCCAAGTGAAGGCCTAGTCCCGTGTCCTGAGGGATTTTAGTCGGGTTTTGACAGCACAAGGATGGTCCACATTAAGTACTTCTAGAATTCACGGTGCTGCAGGTAATAGGAGTCAGGAGAGCAACACATCCTTGCATATCAACATTAGTTGAAGGAAATCAATACAAATAGCTAAAATTAAGCACCATTTACTACTATCTAGTGTCAGAAACTATTTTACTTCAATCATCTTTCTGATTATTTTGATGTATGGATCTGATACCTGGCCATAATCCCAAACCAGAAGTTAAATACAAAGGGAACAGTAATGACCTTATGAATAAGAGTGACTGCAGTCACAGCTGAACTAACTTTTGGACGGCCAATGACAGAAAGACGGATGGCAGAGTATCGACGCAGTGCATTATCCATCTTACAAACATAACTCCATATGCCCTTTGCAAAGGCCAGCTTTGCCATTTCCACATTCAAACCAGCATCTTCTTGGTGTACCATTTTGATCTCACAGGCATTCCTACCAGGTACTGCAATAAGATAATCACACAACCAAATCACACTATACTCACCTTACAAGAGCTAGAAACAAATTTAAAAATAAAAAATTGTTTTTCACCTAGTTTGCCATGTTGCGATACCAAAGATTAACAGAGGTTAGTCGTACAAATGAGCTTAGTCAACCTGAGCATTGGGCTGTTCAAGTAACCTTGTCAGATCTACTAGGCTCAAGGAAATTTGGTTGCCTCTAAGCTACAAGCCTTTTTTCACCCAACAATCATTTTCAAATCACAATTCAAGTGTCCACCTATACCAGAGTACCAGTGTATCTTAGCAACCACAAGAAGCACCAAAAGCTTACTCAATCCTGGGACTTACCTCACTGGATTAATCACTAATGTCACTTGTGAACTTAGTTATTTTTAAATTTTACTTTGTTAAATTCTTAATAGGTGACATTTTGGGAACAAATATCTAAATACATCACAAGCCCAGTCAACACAAGCCCAGTCAATCTGAACTTGGTGTCACTCAAACTTCACAGTTAGGCAACAAAGCAAGATATATAAGCTTGAGCAATTATATTCTTGAACAATTAGTTTTTTTCCTCAAAGCCTCATATTAGGAACGGGAATTTTTTTTTTTTTTTTTTGATAAGTATATTAGGAACGGGAATTATTCACAAGCACCTTGGTTCATTTCTCGGTCATAAGATTCATAACTAAAATTAACCATTTAACTTTAGGATACATGGAACTCAAGCAGCATTTGTAAATCTTCCATTTGTCCACTGTATCCAATGGAAAAAAACTTGAAACAACATCTACCAGAATAATTTGTATATTTGTGTTTGCTTGCATGGTTATTTATTGCTTCTTCTCTTTTCTTTTTCTTTTTCCATTAATCAGTGAAAGCAAAACTAAAAGGACAATTGACATCATATTCCACAGTTCAACTAAGACAAGTACTTAGGTTTGAAGGGAAGGCAACCTGCTTATTATGGGACAATTTATTGGTGCTCCTGAAAACAAGGAGAAGAATAAAAGGGGTAAATCACGAACTTGCCTTTCCTGATTCGCCAACCAGATCTAAAGAACCCAACACGTACATACTTCTTCTGTCTTGGGGCCAAAGGATGTTCACATTCCTAACCATAATCACGAACAAAAAATGATACAATAAAAGATCAGGTGATCATCACAGAGGTAAACCACACAAATGTCAAGAGAATAAAAAATTTGGAAGAATAAGTAATACTCAAAAAATAAAAAATTCCTTACTATTTAAAATGTGTAAAAAATTACATATAAATAAAAAGTAAAAAAAGAGGAACATGCATTATGCGAACTACTTTAATTATAAGGAAGCCACTGTGCCACACAAATGACCAAGCATTTAACTCGTGGTCATGACCTTGGCAGCGGTCTTGCTATTTCGGACTGTAGCAGGTTACATAACAGGTATCAGCTGTCGCGATTTTGAAACTTTTTTAAAAAATAAATAAAGAATTATACAAACGAATTGATACACACGCTTCAACTCCAAAATTTAATAGAACCATTTGTTAATATTTTTTAATAAATTTACTAAATATTCAAAGGTGATTTCATATGAGTAATGGCCTATAGATTAAATTTTGAGGTGCAGCAGCAGTATCGGTGTAATAATTTTTTACTTTGCACTAAATCTATGGAAACAAGTACATACTAAAACAATAAATAAAATGTCATATGACCAAAAAAAAACACTAATAACTCAGAAGTTGAAAATTAGTATAGCTGTAGTTGGAACAGGGAAATCATATACACTAGAGATAACTCTTACATAACTCTTACATAATTGCTTGTTTCTATTTTTTTATTTTTTGTTTTTGTTAAATAATAATACTTCTTAACGAATTTTATCAATTTTCTGTTTTGTAAGTCACTTTTTTATTGAATCTTTTATGTATAACAAATGTATACTAACATATGCTTCATAAAAAGTATGCTTTTAACATTATTAATACACATATAATGGTAGTTCACTAATTTTTTTTGTACTTACCAGTTAATCTCGAGTTTGGAACATTTATAATGTAAATCACTAAATCTATCGAAAAAACTAAAGTTTTTTGTTTCTTGATTTGTAAATCTATTGTTTGGTAGAGTGGGGTTTGTTTTCTCACTATATCAGTCTTAAGATTTTGAAACATCCGAGAGGGAAGCTAAAAATACGATTTCTAGACTTGGGCCAAAAATCAGAGTCGTCTCAGCCAAGTCAAGCCGAGTCGGGGCTAAGACAGCAGCTCTGGCTGAATCACAACTGTCTCGGCCAAGATAGCAGTTCTGGCCAAATTATGGCCGTCTCGGCCAAGACAACAATTCTGGCTAAATCACGGTCTTCTTGGCCAAGTCAGGCAAAGATTCTGCCATATCAACCAAGCGAGATTGAGTAGTAGAGTCAGCAACAATTTTTATTTTGGCTGAGATTTTGGCATAATTCGAACTTGACTCTAGAGGAGTCCAAGTCGAGTTGGCCGGGTTTTGAAACTATGCAATTGACCTACAAGTGATATTGCACTGGTCAATCATTCAATTATAAATTTATAACCTATGTCAATTCTCAACTCTAATCAACAAAGTCGAATCCCAACTACTTGAATAATAATCATGATTGTTACATCTAATGTGATCCTAAATTTTATGATCTTACGAATTTGGATGGATATGGATCCCACAAAAAATCCGAGAGAAATCTTTAGAAACCTTATAAACCATGATTCACAGATAAAATCTAGGTTGAGGAAGGAAGTGCACATTATGAATCTTAAGCTTTCTTCTATCACATGTTTGCTACCACATGACAGAGAACAAAAACAGGGTTAGAGAGAGAAAGAGATGCAACCACAGTAGCATGCATATATAATAGATGAAGTCAAGAACATTCAGAGCACTGCCACATGCAACCTGAGAACTACAAAAAAATGCTCATCTGTGACTAAAAAGAGACTAGTTGTGTGATCAAGACTGAAATTTCATGACAAATACCTTAATAAAACAGTAGAAGGTTCTATCTTTTCCTTCCCACACTCTCCAAGCTAATACATATTCTCTTGGTGTCAAAAGTGGGAACTTCTTTACTGTACGACCAATTTCAGTTCCATTACTTTCATCCACCTGCAATTGTTCATGCTCAGTCAGGGTTCTGTCCCACTTCTTTCTATATTCATTGTCCATGTAGAAGTCTCTCAGCATCTCAGCAGAGCAATTCTCAAATATTGTCACACTCAAATATTTCAGGGGACCATCCTGCCAACGGAAAGAGATTTTTATCTTAGATTTTTAACCAGTAAAAAGAAGTTGAGTAACAAGTACCACTACCTACACGAATTGTGAAGATATACTCGGTCAAGCAAGATAAATCTTTATCAGCCTGGGTGTAATAAACTTGCAAACCGATACAAATACACAATAATATACTGTCGTACCTGTTTAGCTGAGAGAGTGCTTTCAATTTAAAAGGAACAAAAAATTACCAAGAACCCCATAGAGTGAGAATCATAATGCAGCTAACTTATGCTTCAAATTTAAAAACCAGGCACACTGATTAATTACATACGAGTTTTTGATAAACACTTCACAGGCCTCTCATAGTGTGGAAAAACATAGCTGACAGCGCGCAGAGATGTTAAGAAACCACAATAAAAGGAGCAACCCTAACATTTTCTTCCAAGAATGAAAAAACTTCAATTTTCTTCAGCCTACTGATTCTAATCAATTTTATACAAATTATCTTCTGTATTCCACATAGATCAAGCATAAAAGCAGTAACCTTTGGTTTACAGCATTGTGCATTGTAGGAAAGACAACTCCTTGTTTTGTCTACAACATTATCCCATTTCTCATTGTCACAAGGCTTCTGATCCAAATTGTGAATCAAGTTCTTCAAATCCAAATCAGATACAATCTCCAAATTTCTGCAGGAAGAAACAGAACTTTGACATAAGTGAAGTAACCAAATATATAGAATTTTAGAATTACTCCAAAAAAACATAATCAATCAAGACGTTGAATTACAGCCATATTTCCAACCCAAGTCTAAAATTATTATGCTTAAACATTACTGCCATTGGTGTGAGTTCGACCCAGAGCAGCCCCTTTGTAAAATACTAAATGTTAAGTCTGTCTTGAACACTCCGTCCTCATGACCCTAAGTTAGCAGGGCCGACTGGGTAATGTCCCTTCATATTGCCATTTCGACCCAGAGCAGCCACTTTGTAAAACACTAGATGTTAAGTGACACTAATTTAGCAGGACGAATTGGGTAATGTCCCTCTAGATTGGGATTTCGACCCAGAGCAGCCACTTTGTAAAATACTAAATGCTAAGTCTTGGTCTTGTCTGAAATAACCAAGGGCGTTGTATATCTCCTCTACCTCCCACAGTGGATGGTGAGGGTTCAAGTCCCCATACGGGGCAAATTGGTGGATGAGTTACTTGCCAAGGAAAAAAAAAAAAAAAAAACAGAAAGTTTGTCTCAAATACTCCGTCCCCATGACCCTAATTTAGCAGGACGAATTGGGTAATGTCCCTTTAGCTTATCACCAGTTTTTATCCCTCAAACACATCAAAATATAGCTAGCAAAGTCAATAATATGGGTACACTTCAAACGAAACAATCAGAAAACTGGAGAGTTGATAAAGCAAATGAATTCATTCTAATCCCTTCATAAACAAAACAATCAGAAAATTGAAGTGTTGCTCATTCCAATCTATTCATAAATTCCTCCGAACAGGTATTATAATTAACATAAACAAAACATATAAAGAGATGATTACCGGATTTGAGGATCATGAGATTGAGATACACGGATTTGGGGAGCAGGAGATTGAGATACACGGATTTGGGGATCAGGAGATTGAGATACGGCGGTGGATTTCTTGGAGTCGGAGTGAGAAATAGCAGAATAAGCAACTGCTGATATGGATCGGGGAATTTTTTTCAATAACTCCGGAGTATCTAGTTTGTAGTTCCCCCACCCAATGAAAGAAAATTTGGATTTGGCGGCCAAGTATTGAAATGTGATTATGAAGGTTAGGACGGTGATGGTATTGAATGCCCATCCAAATCCGCTTATGTTTCCCTTCCAGAACTCTTCCGATGATACTGTGTGAAACATTTCACTCTACCTTCTTGTTTAACACACACACTCTTCTCTATCGCTTTTGAAGAAAATTTCAACCCCATATATATATATATATGTATATATATCTATATTGAATTCTGATATTGAAAGCTGAGGTCTGTCACGTGACAACTGACATATGTAGATAGGATCAATGTCAAGTGTCAACAAATTACATACATATATAAAGGAAAACTTCGTGGACACGAAAAAAACAATTTCTTTCTTTTTCCGTTAATAACAAGTGCCCTTTTCCATTGCCACCACATAATATACAATTTTTTTTTTTTTTTTTTTTTTTGGTATTTTACTTTTAAAAATGTACTGAATCTGACGTGACGTGTTACATTTAAATTTTGAAAATAATTTTCAAAATTTAAATGATATATATTATTTTTTTACTTGATTTTGAAATGCATGTGACTACAAAAATATAATTAAAAAATGAAACAATAATTATGAAATGATTTATTAATGTAAAGATGCATGAAATGCATAATTTCAGTTTCAGTCACCATTTAAATGTTTATTTTTTATTTATTTTTTCTCGAACTTCAGTTGGTCAAATATAAAAAACTTGTATTGCCTTTAGAAGAAAAGGTAAATTTCCCCCTCTTAGATTATTAATTGAATAATATTTAAAAATTCAAACTAAAATTTGCCAAAATCGTTTTTGATATTTTTAAAAATCGCTTGAAAATCTGAATAAAAGCAAAAGTTGCAAAACTATAAAGTCATTTAATAAATCAAGTATATTCTGATGATAGTACATTTGTAATAATAATAATAGAATAGTAATATTTTTTCCCTAAATAATTATATAAAAAAATTCTTTAATAAATAAAAATAAAAAAATGAGTCTAATTTCAGTGCTAAAACTAGGGTTTCACGAGTAATCGACGCATTGGAAAGATTCCTCTTTGGAACCATAAAAAAAAAAAAAAAAAAGCAACTTAGGCTATCACATGTGAATAACTTGTTTTGCAAGAATGGTACCTGCCGCAAACCATTCCAATCAAATCTAGCAAATTCTACTGTTACAAAACTACAGTCGCATAACATAAATATATATACTGCATCATTTTTCAGTACCATATTTGTATTTTGCTTTTTAGAATATTAGTAATTGAATAAAGTTATAAAACATAAAGAAAAAAGAAAATATAAAATTTTAAATATGTAAGTAATTTAGTACATGTATCATATTTTGAAAGAAAAAAAATTTAATTCATTTTCATCTCATTAAATTGGATCGGGACCTTGCCATTTCATTTGGAAACCAATTGTTGTCCTTCAATGCTAGGGCTCGCTCGTGCAAGAAGTCCCCCACGTGATGCTCTCTTGTGAATTGAATCTATATCTTAAAATTTGATACCACTTAGTTGAATCAAATTGTGCCATCTCATCTGAAGGTGTTCAGGTGAAGAAAGGACGCACCTTTTATGACATTCTACATTAGAGTCCACCCGTGCAAGGATTGACTTTGGATGCTGCACCACCCAACATATTGGATATTATATTTAGCAAGTAACATGAAGTGGATGTTACTATGAATTATAATTTCTTTTTGTTTCCATTTTTATTTCAGATTATCATAATTTCTTTATTATTTTCACAAATACCATTATCACATAGGGCCTCACATGTTTTTTGCTTCGGGCCAGTTACTGTAGCAAAATTCTGGCCCAACACATGTTTAGTGAAAACTGCTACGCTTCCAAACAGTGCTGAAACACTTTCGAAAATGAGCTTACTTTTAAAAGCATCAAAATGATGATGCTTTTTGTTGCTTCGAGAACTGTAACGGTAAAATACTTCCTCCACTATAACCCATTAGTGGAATCATTGGGCCCAAAATACTTGAAGCAATTATTCCATATCCAGCCACAAATGTTGAAAGCAAACGAGAGCAAACCCTCGAGCGATTCGGAGGCGATTCCACTGTGCACCGAGCTTCAACCATCCCGTCGCTACAAACGTTGTTCTTGCAGGCTCTGATTGGTAAACATAACTCCATTTTGTTCTTGTTCATCTTCTTCTTCGTCTTGATGGTAATTTTTTCCTATTTCGTGTTAGTTTTTTGCTTGGATCTGAAACCCTAGTGGTGAAGGTTTCAGTTTTGTTACTTGGATTAGTTTTTTGTCATGTTGTGTAACATTTTGGTTCGACTTTGTGCTTGGATCTGGAAATCGTACTTCAGAAATTCAAGTTTTGTCATTTCGATTCAGATTTTACTATCTTGTGTCTTATTTTTTGTTGAATTTGTGCTTTGATCTGAAAATCGTACTTCGAAAATTCAAGTCACTTCGATTCAGATTTTATTATCTTCTGTCATATTTTGGGTTGAATTTGTGCTTAGATCTAAAAATCGTACTTCGGTATTTCAAGTTTTCTTTACTTCGTTTCATATTTTATTATGTTGTGCATAATTTTGTGTTTATTTCTGTCTTGGATTTGGAAACCTTTCTTCTGAAAAATCTTTTCTGGTACTTTGATTCAATTTTGTTTTATGTTGTGTATGACTTTGGGTCTATTTGTGTCTTCGATTTGGATACCCTACTTCTTCTGAAATGAAATTTCAACTGTTTTTAACATTTTTGTCACTTCAATTAAATTTTTTGTGTTTGTGTTGGGTTGTTAGTTTATAGAGTATGAGTGTTGCAGTGGCATGACGTTGTCACTGGCCTTTAATTCGTCTTAAAAGTAAAAATTTCAACAGTACATCTGAATTTACAGATTGGTGTTGGATAAATTTTTGTTTTATGCTGTGTATAAATTTGGGTTTTTTTTTGTCTTCCATTTTTCTGAATTTACAGATTGGTTACTTCGATTCATTTTTTATATGTTGTGTCTAATGATCTTATTTGTGTTGAATTACAGATTGGTTAGTTCGATTACTTGTGAAAAAAAAAAATTTATGTAAAAATCTTTTGTCATTGGTTACTGAAGCTCAATTTTTGTATACAACAAAATGCAAACCGGAATTGAAACCAAATTGATCTATTTGTTAAAACTGTTTATCATGCTACCTATATGCAAAAAAAAGAAAAAAAATTGATTGGTTCTCAGTAAGAGTTCTAATATATCTTCTTATACTTTTTATTTGTGCTGAACTCGAGTTATTGTGTATAACTATATGAAAACTAAATTGAAACTAATTGATCAAATTGTAAAACCGTGTATCATGCTACATATATGCAAAGTGACTTTCAATTGCGGGATGACCGTATGCCAAAGCTGACACACCTCAACCCAATTTACACTATTAAATAAATTAAACAATTAGAATGTATCTAACCATCTGCATTAACCTCATACATACATGACGGCATCATATATCAGAGTGCTTGCTTAAAAGTTTACAATTAAAAATGAACTATAAATCCACCAGCAAATTCTAAGAAGACTAAACCGTTAACTATAAGTCACAATATTAAATTCTACTACAATATTTACATTTTATACAAAAAAAAAAAAAAAAAAAACCTTCCTTTGTTATTTTTCCCAGTCACACTCAAGACTCTAGACCTGGCAATAGCAACCTAACCTGATACCTGAAAAATATAGATATGGAAGGACTGAGCTTAAAGCACAGTGAATGCAACACTACTACATCAGATTAATATAAACAAATATTATCTGATAACTTCAATTAAACTTCATTAACATATTACAGGCATTAAAATATAGTACTCTCCTTCTAGACCAGAGTATGGACCTTATATAATATAGTACTCTCCTTCTAGGCCAGAGTATGAACCTTATTTAAATATAATACTCTCATTCTTGGCCAGAGTATGGACCTTATTTAATATAGTACTCTCCTTCCAGACCAGAGTATGGATCTTATATAATATATTACTCTCCTACCAGGTCAGAGTATGGACCTTATTTAATATAGTACTCTCCTTCTAGGCAAGAGTATGAACCTTATATGATATAATCAAGTTATATATATTTATTTTCATTTCACATAAACAGTTTCAATACTTCAATTAAACACATCCAAGTATAAACTTCCAGTGAGTACAATCACCTTGGCTACTTCCCAAATTATTTACTTATCACTTGGAAATATTGAAGCTGTCAACTCCTTCTCCTTGCCTATACAACATTATAATCATGTCATATATATTTCCAAAGAGAGTATCAACTTCATAACAAATCTCAATTATAGTGGAAATTCCAACAAGAATAATGATAGTAACTTCACCTCAACAATTGCATCAACTAACAATTATTTAAACTTAGATGTTATAGTACTTGAATCAAGTAAAATAAATAATATAGATAGAATTTATGTAAAATTTATTAACCTAATTGCTCATTGGAACACCGACTATAAACTTTCAACATAAAAATTTATTCTTTACTTTTAGTACTAGCTATCAAAAATTCCAGAGAGAAAATTTTCAGTTCCTTCTTTCTCTCCTTTCTCTCCTTTCTATCTCTTTCCTTCTCACCTTCTCCCCAGTCACTCCTTCCCATGAATTTCATCTTTTAGTTAATTTTTGTGGGTTCAAAAATAGCAGCCACAGAATACTATAATTTTGTTTTCTCCCACCATAAATCTTTTCACACAAAGCTTCCAGGACCAACTTCTCAATCTCATCCTTTACCATAATTAAATTTATCCAATAAAGATATCAATATACAAATCTAATATATTTACATATACCCAGCAAGATTTTTCCAATCTAAAAGAAATTTACAACCAAATTAAGATAGAACTAATGAATAAATAGAATTTATTCAAGAACAGATTATTATATCAACTACAAGGGCTTCAAATAATAAATCTGAAGGATGAAGATGTAAAAGACTTATTTATATACCTATATTCCTCAGTCCTTGCCTACAGCTTTTGTGGCAACCCTTCCTTTTTCTTTTCTTCTTTTATGGCCGGAACCCCTTCTATTTTTACTTCTTTTCTTTTTCCTTCTCAATTTCAGTGTATACCTTATTTAAAACTCTTCATTTATGCATGTACAAGTGTATTGTGTGTGTGCTGGCAACTTAAAAACCCATGTGCTAGCAGCTAATTTCTCTCTATAAAACTCGAAACATCACTTCCTTTATAATATAATAATATACACATTTACTAATCAAATCACAAAAGTT